TATTAGAAATTATATATTCTAAATAAGAACATTTATTAAGGATGGTGTGTCAGCATTAGCAGCTGACTTGGTTCATTTCTCAGGCCTAGTACACATTACAGGTACAAAATTGAAGTTACAGGATTTAAAATAGTTTTATGGCACACTCGTAAATATAGTACACATCTCACACATGTACAGGGTAGACCAAAAAAGTCCACATTTTTGATTTTGTAATATCTGCTGATGTGTTCCATAAATCCATAAATTATATATCATTAGGAAGATAATAGAATTTCCAACAAAATGATTCCTAAAATATGAATGGCTATTGGTGACTCTATGATAATTTCTAGATGTGTTGAACTTGTTCCATAATATTATATTGCTTAATCAACATTTTTAGGTTTTTATATACCAAGAAAAAGTATCGGGGTTGTTTGTTATCATTGTATAGCTTTAAAATAATCATAGAATCTATTTTTATGCATTGCAGTTTGTTATTAAATAGATTGTTAGAGACATTGATATTTGCAAAGAAAATCAATTGAAATTTTTCCATAACCCGTAATATATTGAATACATTTCCATTATTTCCTCTTCTGGAGCATATAATTGCATTGTTTGCCATTTAAAATCTCAGTTAAGCTTGGTTATATAAGTAAAACATCATTATTGACCAAAATTCTACCGATGATTACAAGGAGTGTTCATGTTATTATTTTTAAATTATACAATATTATCAAGTTTCATAGCTTCAAACAGCTTTGGAGTCCAAGAGATGCCATGTTGTCAAATAAAATATAAGCTTGAAATTACCGCATAGTAGTCAGTAGAAGACTGAGATGCAGCTCTACAACAGTGGCATTTCCCTCAGGAGTCAGTCTCATACATTCCCACTCACACAGATGTATAGAGTACGCACGTAGATGTCAGCATTACTGAAATAAATTGAATTTGATATAAGAAATTACATATTCTACTAGTAAATGTATACAAATAATATTTAATAATGATGTTGTGGCAGTATTCAGGTGTCACAGTAAAAAAAACAAAATCTGTCCAAAATTTGGATAAAATCTCATGAAACATACACAAGAGCAGGATTTAGTACATGTATTTAGTAAGTCTTCTTGAAATTAAATTGAAAGGCCTCACATACCGCATTTCGAAAACATTGGTCTACTATTGGAGTACTACACGCATAATAAAGCCTAAGCTCTAAGCCAAAGTGACTGGAACTTTATATGGGCATTTAATATACAGGGTGTCCAGAAAGTATGGGGGCCCCCCTAGGCAGACATTTTTCAATGTCTCCATAGTATGTGCCATATATCATTTGAAAGATCATCCAAAATTACACCGATCTGCCAAGTATCACGGTTGAACTCAAAATGGGAAAAAGTTAAAAAAAAATTAAAGTCAGTTTTACACCAAAATAATAGTTGGTGTGTCTCCCAGAGTCCCTAAGCCATGTTAATGGCAGCAATGCTTTCCATATATGACCTTAAACGTGCTTCAAATAGGGATTTGGCATTTTTTATCCTCATAAAACTTTTTTAAAGCATTCTAGAAGAGTTTCCCTGGAGTATCTACCCCCAACTTCCTCTTTTTAGAACTCAATATCCATCCTTTTGTCGACAATAGCTCTCATATTTTCGGTCATATTCAGGTCAGGGCTGTTACCAGGATACTGAAATGAACTATATGTTTAGCTAAACACTGAGTTTTGAAATGCCTGTAACTATTTACCTTTTGTGAGTTGAACCATGATACTTGGAAAATTAATGTAAGTTTGGATAAGCTTTAAAATGATATATGACACATACTATGAAGACATTGGTATATGTCCGCCTAGGGGGCCCCCATACTTTCGGGACACCCTGTACAGGGTATCAAATAAATATGTTCTCCCCCTTAACTTTATGATCCACATAATGTTGGGTAACTTTTTTGTCTGCATGATATCTGAATTGTTCCTTAGCACAGTAAAACTATCTATCATATTTATTTGACACTCTGTACATTCGATTTATCTAACATTGTGTACATACCTCGAAAATCACATTTTTCTGCAACATGGCAGATCTCAATCATTGGCATAACATTCAAAGATGGAGTCAACAGGTAAAGAGGCATGGTTGCTAGTCATGTCCATTCTCACTCGGTAGCTGGAAGAAAATAAGTGTACATTATTGATAATGAATAATATTGATCATTTAGAAGGTATAAAAAGCTTTTATATGTGTAATTTGAATGAATGTTGCACCCATCAATGTTGCACCCATCAATTTAGACCCAATAAAATACAAAATAAAACTAGTGAACTGGTAAATAAAATGAGCTTGAGATCATATAATACATGTATTGTCATATATTGTATTATTATATCTTTTCATGTGGTATTTAAACGCCATATAAGGAAATCAAATAATCCGAACCGGACTACAGACCCACATTTGAGGTCTTGGGGGTACAAATGTTGATGGATGAGAAAATCTACTTGGAGTTTATCTTAGCTATTACATACACATTAAGCTGAATACATGAACCTTCAGAAATAAACTTTTCAAGTGGTGCATGTCTGAACTCTGAACACCATATAAGGAAATCGAACAATCCAAACCAGACTGGGGAGTCGGGGACCCACATTTGAGATCTCGGGGGTACAAATGGCGATAGGTGAGAAAATATACTAGGAGTTATGCTTAGCTAATACACACATACTAAGCTGATTATATGAACCTTCAGAAATAAACTTTTCAAGTGGTGTCTGAACACCATTTAGGAAATCGAACAATCCAAACCAGATTACATGGATTAGGGACCCACATTTGAGGTCTCAGGGGTAAAACTGGCGATGGATCAGAAAATATACCAGGAGTTATGCTTAGCTATTTAACACACATTAAGATGAATATATGAACCTTTAGAAATAATCTTTCATATGGTGTATAAACACCATATAATGAAATCGAACTATCAGAATTGGACTAGGGACCCACATTTGAGGTCTCGTGGGGTACAAATGGCCATGGATGAGAAAATCTACCAGGAGTTATGCTTAGCTATTTAACACACATTAAGCTGAATATATGAACCTTCAGAAATAATCTTTCATATGGTGTATAAACACCATATAAGGAAATCGAACTATCCGAATTGGACTAGGGACTCACATTTGAGATCTCAGGGGTAAAACTGGCGATGGATCAGAAAATCTACCAGGAGTTATGCTTAGCTATTTAACACACATTAAGCTGAATATATGATTGAACCTTCAGAAATAATCTTTCATATGGTGTATAAACACCATATAATAAAATCGAACTATCCGAATTGGACTAGGGGTCGACCCACATTTGAGGTCTCGGGGGGTACAAATGGCCATGGATGAGAAAATCTACCAGGAGTTATGCTCAGATATTACACACACATTAAGCTGAATATATGAACCTTCAGAAATAATCTTTCATATGGTGTATAAACACCATATAATGAAATCGAACTATCCGAACTGGACTTGGGACCCACATTTGAGGTCTCGGGGGTACAAATGGCTATGGATGAGAAAATCTATCAGGAGTTATGCTTAGCTATTTAACACACATTAAGCTGAATATATGAACCTTCGGAAATAATCGTTCATATGGTGTCTAAACACCATATAAGGAAATCGAACAATTCGAACTGGACTAGGGACCCACATTTGAGGTCTCGGGGGGTACAAATGGCGATGGATGAGAAAATCTACCAGGAGTTATGCTTAGATATTACACACACATTGACCTGTATTCATGAACCCTCAGAAATAAGCTTTTCACAACTTTTCCTCAAAATCCCTTATCTAGAGACGCTGAAAACTAACAATTTGAACTGCAAATGACACCAAAATCCACCAACACTTTGGTTGATAATTCCGTCAAAATTTGATGAATAATTTTCAAAGTTGCTCAAATGTACACCTGTTATGTGCTCCAAATGTGTACCAAAGAAAAAATTTCTAACCTTCTAGCAAAGTACTGGAAATTAAGAAGAGGCTGGGTCTCAGGAAAAGCACCTGTTTTTATTCATCAAAGTTTGAGAGTCTCGATCAGTAAGAAATCGCAATATTTATGGATCCTTTTTCATACCACGTCAAAGCTGTGAATCTCAGGATTCCAGTGGCATTCCTCGTTTTAAACTTACCTTAATAATACCGAAGATTGTCCATGAAACGTGCAAAAAGGCTGCATTGTCGTGACCCGTTCAGACACTGCAGCGCGTTCCTCTATCCTGTTAGTTCAAGGTCAAAACGTTGCTATAGTGACGTTATAGTACGCGCGCGCTAAACCCGGGTATCTTGGAATGAAGGTGCAAAACGAATTTTGCGCAAAAATAAAAAATTGAAAAAATGATCGGGCATCAAACTTGAGGGTTGTGTCATGTGGGCAACATGGTGGTCGAAGGATTTCCCGGGAGTAATTGTACCCCTGCCCTTCCCTTAACAGTTGCTCCCTTCCCTTAACAGTTGCTCCCTTTCCTCAACAGTTGCTCCCTTTTCTCAACAATTCCTACGTTTCCAAACAGCTTTGTATCATCAGCGTATACACATGCATGTTATCACCACCTTTGGAGGCCTGTTCTCAGAGTACCAGTTCTAGTTTAGAATGCTTATATTGACTATATTGACTTAAACAATAGGTGGAGACATAGTGCCAGGCCATAGTGGTCATTAATCACCCTGGTCCAGGGTGAAAACGAGTTGTACTTACTTTTCAATAGGTAGTGATAAAATAACCTCATTTCAGCTCGTTGCATGATCTTTGGCCAAGATTTCACTTCACACATATTACCCTTTGTTGTAATAACTGTACTATACTGTACACATTTTGACCGTATGTTATTTATATTTTCAGAAAACTTTCACGATGTTGCCCTTTGTTGTAATGAGATAATTTGCATATTATTTATATTTTCAGAAAACGTTCACGATGTTGCCCTTTGTTGTAATGAGATAATTTACATATTATTTATGTTTTCAGAAAATTTGAAATATACCGAGGAGAGAAAGGGTATGCCACCAATAAGACAAGCCAAATATGTGCCATGGGAGCCGTATAAAGGTGCTGTAAAACACAGTCCCGGACTCCAAAATAAACCACCATTTGATTCACACAGCCCCGATGTATCCAAGGTCAAACTAGTGCCTTATCAAATTTCTCCACAAGGAACAGAACCAATATCTAGACTTAAAAAAGACAATGATATAGATATGGTGATTAAGAATATTAAAAAGCATTCCCCATCCGTGACAAATATCAACAAGTTCGAGCAAAATCAGCCAAAATTGGAATCTCAATATAACACCTCAAGACCATTCCAAACTGAACACAATGTAAAAAAGGTGACTGGAAACCATTTCCAAACCTTAAAGCAACTGGATGGCAATAGTTTAAACAAACAAAATAGTTCACAAGGATCTAGTCAGTGGGATAAAATGAGTACGTCAAGTGGGGGAAAAGATGGCAAACTGTCACCTAGGTGCTTGTCTCCAAAGCCTGTCAACAAAGTTGGGCCTTTAAAAAACCAAGCCAAGATCCCAACACCCCCACCCTCTCGTGCTGCCACCTATATTGATATAGATGGCAGTTTTGAAAGTCATGGTGATGCCATCTTGAATAACAGTCTCGAGGTGAAGAAATTGAAGGAGGAGAATGGACAGTTGAAGGAATACAAGAAGAGACTGCTTGAGGAAAAAGAAGGGATGAAGGAGGAGCTAGATAAACAGATAGAGGTATTGTAAGATAGTATGTAAAATCCTGTTATTGCATTGGAATGGACTTATGGTAGTTCCACACTGATTCCACAAAATAGTTGAAAAAACATTTAAATGATAATGTTTTGTTCCTGAAATCAGCATATTCTACCAATGAAAGTATGTAATGTTACATCCCTTTTTATGTTGCGTACATTATATTGCATATACATGAGTACTTTCATATCCAAATATCAAATGTTTTGATATACATGAGTGTACTTAATAGACATATGTAGAAAGCATGTATGGATATGCTTATTCTTAAATTTTCAGGTCAATCGTGACTTAAAGAAACTTCTTGTGGCCTCTGTTGGCGATGAACTGGAGTATAAAGTTGAAAGAATGGCACAGTGAGTCATGTACAGAGTGAACCTGATGGTTTTAATCAGATTATGAGAAATTAAATCATTATGTTCGATAAGAAATTAAAAATGTACTATATTTTTTAAGTCACTTTTTAGAATACCATTTTCTCAAATAAACATTCATTTTCCATTAAATATCTTAGTTTTTTTTAGAACCACTCCCTTTTCATGTGGCAGATGCTCTGATACTAATTAAATATTTGTGTTACATTTACAACTGGTTTCATAGTTTTTGTTAATATATTTAGGTTATGGAAGTGGGTATGCATAAACTGCAATTTTTTATACACTGAATTTATTTCATTGTTTCAGCAATTTTTCAAGATGGCTTCCATGTGCTTCTTAAATATCTTCATTTATAGCTTTAATAATGTCCTATATAATTTTTATTTTACATTTAAAACATATTGCTATTACAGTTTTACATATTGCACCTAAATTACTGTAAAATCAGCACTAAAATGGCCACCATTTTTAAATAAGTGGCCATTTTGAAAATCGCCTTTCGAGCAGAACTTCTACCCCCATAGGGTATATACATGTATATACAAAATATGAACAAAATTGTGCCAAGGGTATTTGAGTTATTGCCCGGACGGACGGACGTCTGTACGTACGGACATACATACTGATGGACAGACGGACGGACAGAGGCGTTCCCTATATCCCACTGAACTTCGTTCGATGGGATAATAATTGAAAATATGCAAGAGACAAAATCAGCATAAATTGGTCAGAATTCAAGACTTTACAAATTCAATCTGCATTCTGTGGAACTGTTAAAGTGGAATGTGTTTATGTAAAAGTGGAATGTGTTTATGTAAAAGTGGAATGCGTTTATGTAAAAGTGGAATGTATTTATGTAAAAGTGGAATGTGTTTATGCTATGATTCAGTGATCTGTGATACTTCTAGGGACAATGCCCAGCTGAGCAAAGACATGATAGATGTCACTGAGAGACGTGAAGAAGACTACGAACACTTGGATAAAATGACGATCGCTGCTGATGTGTGGAGGTCAAAATATATGGCTAGCAGGTAAGATATAGAAATTATCCCATGTGAGGTTCAGAATATTGGAATTATTTCATAGTCTTGGGTTCTGAGGATAGCTATATTGTATTTCGGAGGGACAGTGCCAATATACAAAGTAACTAGAGGATGATGTTTTTATGTTCTTTGATTGGGACTAATAGTAAGATATTCAATGATTCATTATAAATACTTTGCATTCAGATTGTCTTTACTAAAAAGAAAAACATTTAATGTCCTTTAGTTTCTCTATATTTAACTTTGTTTTTATAAGTTAATTTTCAATGATAATAGAGAGATTTCGCACATAAGTGAAAGTACAACTTATACGTATATGTATAGTTTAAAGGGTCATGTTGAACTATTATATTTACTAAAATCAATTTTAAATTGTACTTAATGGAACATAACTAATTCCGTTATAGAAAAGCTCCATCAACTAGAGACTATGAGTGCACTGTCATCTGCACGTGTAGATTATGCACATTATAATAAATGCTTGCTTCCGTGTCCTTGTAGTTGTAGTGTATTATAAACACGATCCTTTAAAGGGAGTCATGCTTCTTTAAACTGAGTCATTACATAAACAAGTTGATTATTTCAATGTTTTCATGATCAGTATAAGTTCAATGAACTTACAAAACGGTATATTTACGTAGATGATAACGTATACAGTTGGATCTCCGTATAAAGATTTGCCTACATGTGTGTGGTAACAATTGACCGCAAGCATTTTTTAAAATTAATTGGCTGAGTGGGTCTTCATTTGTTAAACATCCATGATGCTTCGCTACATGACATATTGGACTGAGGAATGGGAATGGCATGCCAAAGGGGGGACTAGGACATGCTTGAATATCGGTGTGAGGTCAATTCGGCCGAGTAATCGCCTCCTGCTGTATACTCCCCGTCCATATGAGCTATCATATGGAACACCTGTGGTCTGGTGGTAGACCACATAAACAAGCATTGTTCTAGTGGGACTTAGGTGGACTGGGTCGCCTTTGGGTTCCACTTATCTCTTCTTCTGATCCACAGCCATCTGGAGCTGTCTTCTGCTGCTGAGCTGATAGACTTTAAGGCACTCTTGAGCTCCTTGGGTTGCAATCCTATCTTGGATAATAGGTTTCTGACTGATGTTGCTGGAAACCCCCTGCAACCAACTTCGATAGGGAAGACGGATGCGTGCCACCCTCTTGTCTCAGCTTCGTCTTTAAGGTCTTGATACTTTGTTGCTTTGATCTCGTGTGAAACCTCTAGCCTATCCTCCCATGGGACTGTTAGTTCGATGATGATAATGGTCTTGGTTGAACTGGAAGTCATAACCATGTCTGGGCGCAGGGTTGTTACGGCCACATTCTGTGGGAAGACTAGTTTCTGATAGAGATCTACCTGGAGTTGCCAATCTGTTGCTTTGGCTAAAATGCTTGGCTTGGGTTTGGGGGTCTTTGCAGCTTTGGGTTTTCCTTCCCTGATAAATTCTATTTGCTTTTGCCGTTGAGTGATGGAACCTCTATTGGCAATGCCTCTTTGCTGGTCTATGTACTTAGAGATTTCTTGGAGTACCTTGTTATGTCTCCATGTGAATCTTCCTTCACTCAGGGATTGGGGGCAAGAGCTGAGGATGTGTCGCAGGTTGCAGCAGTCTCCCTTGCAAAGTGCACACTTGTCAGAATCTTCTTTACCCCATACTCTCAAATTGGCTGGCGTTGGTAAGAGGTCAGTGAATGCGCGCAGAAGAAAGCTGAGGCGGCCCTGATCCTGGGTCCAAAGCTCTTTCCAAGTAAGAGGTCTCTGTAGAGCTGCCTCCCAGTTGGTCCATCTTCCTTGTTTGGCCTGCCCTACAGCTTTTATGTGCCTATCTTCTTCTGTTGATCTCCTCACCTCCTGGACAATCTGGCTCCTTTTCTCCTTAGGGGTGATTGCTTGAGGACCATAGTGACCAAGACCCAAACGGCCCTTGCACACAACGCCAACTATGTCCTTGTGTCGCAGTCTCTCTTCTGCCTCTCTGATCGAATCTTCAGGTTTCCACTTTCTGCCACAAGTTATGCCTTCACCTACGGTGTTGACCTTCTTGTCCTTTGACATCCGGAGTGTGGTTATAGCCCGCACCTTTGTGGCTTTGTACTCTTCCTCAACAGAAGATAAGGGAAGGGACAGCTTGGATGTCTTTCCATAAAGATTTGCTGTACTAAAGCTCTGTGGAACACCCATCCACTTCCGGAGATGTCGGCTACATAACCTCTCCATGGCTTCTATTGCGGTCATTGGTATATCATAGAGTTGGAATGGCCACTGTAGTCTTGGAATGACGCCAAATTGGAAGCACCATGCCTTGAATCTACCTTGCAGCTGACTTCCATCTATGACTTTCATCCACTTGTTGAGGTCTTGCACAACATTGGCGGTATTCGTAACATCACCTAGGGACTTGTCAAATGTCTTTCCAAGACATCTGATAGGCTGATCTTGGATAGTTGGTATTACTTCTCCCTGGATGAAGAATCTGAGTTGAGTTGGTTTTCCTGCCTGCAATGATAGACTTCTTGACTTTGCAGGTTTGAAACGCATTCGCGCCCAGTTGGTCATTTCTTCTAGTGCTTCTAGAGCCCATCTGGTTCCTGCAATTGAGTGTGTCATTACAGTGATGTCGTCCATGAAGGCTCTGCACACTGGGTGTTTAGTACCATCCTCTGCAAGGGGTCCTCTGCACCTTGACTCTCCTGCTTGCAGAATCATGTTCATAGCTGCTACAAACAGGACAACAGATATGGTGCAGCCCGCCATAATGCCCTTTTCGAGCCTCTGCCAGGTGGTGGTAAAATCTCCTACTGTGAATCTCATCTGTAAAACATTCATGTGTGCCATGACAAAGTTGACTATGTTGTTTGGGACATGGTAGTGTACGAGAGACTCTAATAGGAGTTGGTGGGGGACACTGGGGTAGGCTTTGGCCAAGTCTAGCCAGACTACAGACATGGTTCTCTTCTTGCCCTTAGCTTCTTTTATCAGCTGGCTGATAGCTGCAGTGTGTTCAAGGCAGGCTGAGTGATCTGGTATGCCGCCTTTCTGGATGCTTGGGTCCACATACTTGTTGCCTATCAGAAAAGAGGTGAGTCTCTTGGCGACTACTGCCCAAAAGATCTTTCCTTCGATATCAAGGAGGGAAATTTCTCTGAACTGCTCAAGTCCCTTGGAATTTGCTTCTTTTGGAACGAAACAGCCTTCAGCAAAGGACCAGGTGTTTGGTAGATCCTTTTTCTTCCTCCAGATATCTCTAATGAGTCTCCAAAGACGCCTCAATAACTTTGGACAGCATTTGTAGATCTTGTAAGTAAGTCCGGTGGGGCCAGGAGCGGACTTTGCTCTGGCCTTCTTCACGATGGCCTGGACCTCTTCAAACTTGATGTCAGATGTGTTGAAAGGGATTGTGGGGTTTGGTGTTATTATCTCAATGGGAGGGTCACCTAATGGGAACTCTCTATCAAGATCACTGTGGGATTGCCGAACACTCTCTTCAACCTCCTCTCTGGAGCATTCTAAAACACCAGATTTGGGCGTGCCCAGCAGTTTTGTTGTGAACTTGAAGGGATTGTTGAAGAAAGCTTTCCGTGATCTTCTCTTCTCATGCTGCTTCTTACGAAGGTTTTCGGCCTGTCTAAGTTGAAGGAGTTTCCTTCTGAGGGGGTTCTGAAGTAATCTGATGGCATCTTTTTCTTGCTGGGATGACTGCTTCCATCTCTGCTGGAGTGCTCGTAGATCGCATCTGATTGCTGCAATCTCTCTCTGGCGTCTGCTTGGACCAGCCTGGTGTTTCTTCTTTCTGGAGTCGCTAACTCCAAAAGCTTCGCTGCACTGATCATAAACAATGGTTGTCATCAGCTCTAGTTTCTTTCTTGGACTGCCTCTCAGTGTGTTGTCTAAGATGGTGTCTAGCTCACTGTCCAGTACTTTCCAGTAAGAATCCTTGGCTCCTGGTAGCTTCAGTCTTGGTTTCCTTTCCAGAATGGGGTAATTACTCTCCCTATGCTTTACCTTAGTGACAGGATTAGCATTGGCTTGGGGGCTCAGAGCACTGTGGTGAGTTTCCTGGCTTTGAACCTCCGACGAATTATGAGTAGCACTTGCTGCTTGACGTTGCCTTTGCTTTTCCTTACACTTTGTCTTTCCTTGATGGATCTTCACGCCCTTCTCATTCTTGAAAGTATTTCCGCAACTGTTACATCTTCTTCTAACAGAACAGTATCCAATCAGATACTTTAAACATCAATTTGAAACACCAATCAAACCAGTAGGTTCTAGCAATTCCTGGAAACGACCCATTCAGTAGCTCAACATATGACATACAGGGTGTTTCATTAAGCGAGCATCTCCAAAAAGTCAATTTGAGAAGAGATGGGTCTATAACATATGTACTATATATGAGCCTATTTTATTCTAGACAAACACATTTGGATTAACGAAACATGCTACAATTCAAGAAAGTACAAATGGCATCCCTTTGACCTGTATTTATTACAGTCCGAGAAGATCTTTCCTGACGAAAAGCTCACATTATGAAACACCTTGTACGTTTACCTATAAGTATACGTTATAAGTTGTACTTTCACTAGGTGCGAAATCTCTCTATTAAATATGTACCTGTCTTAGTAAGCACCTCTCTCTAGTGAACACCACTCCAAGACACATTTTACATTGACTCCTGTATAAAATCCCCTTTATGTAGTGAACAACTACCTACAGTAAACACTTTTTGTGGCTCATCTGATATACAGGTTAACAGTATGTTTAAAAACATGATTGCCTCTGTCTTCAACAATAATTGCCACCAGTTATTTAACTTTGATCATCATTCTTGTAAGATGAACCTTGTAAGGAAGTCCTGGCCATCTTATTGAAGCATCTGGTTTGTTCCTCAAATATTCTGCAATTGTGTTCAAACCATTTAGTACACATTTGCAATAGTCATATCTGGAATCCTGGCCGTAGGGGTACCACCATCCACCGTTACATACTTTTGCTTGATGGTGGTAATTACCATAGTCCTTTGTTGAAAATTCCATCCAGTGATCGCTGTTAATAAAACAATCTGTTGCATTACCTTTCATTTTATCACTGAGATATATATTTGATGTTCTTCTGTTATGATTGCGGTAGACACCATTAATTGTTTTCCGTCCAATGCTAAAGTGGGTTGTGCTCAGATATGGCCGTTTTAATGTTACCATGTCAGGCTTGCTGAAGTCAAGCTCATTAAATTGGACTTTAAAATCATTATAGTGGATGAATTCATAGTCTCCCTTCCAGTCCCACATCTGAAAGCAAGCAAAATCATTGTAATGGATCAATTCATAGTCTCCTTTCCAGCCCCACATCTGAAATCAAGCAAAATCATTGTAAAGGATAAATTCATAGTCTCCTTTCCAGCCCCACATCTGAAATCAAGCAAAATCATTGTAATGGTTGAATTCATAGTCTCCCTTCCAGTCCCACATCTGAAAGCAAGCAAAATCATTGTAATGGATAAATTCATAGTCTCCTTTCCAGCCCCACAACTGAAAGCAAGCAAAATCACTGTAATGGATGAATTCATTTTCTCCTTCCCAGCCCTACATCTGAAATGAAGCAAACTCATCGTAGTGGATGAATTAATAGTCTCTTTTCAAGTCCCTTGTCTGAAATAAAGCCAAATCATTGTTATATTATGGATGAATTCATAGTTTCATTTCCTGAAAATAAACAGATTTGCCTCCAAAAGTGATTAAGTTTCCTGAATAAGCCACACCACTTTGTTCATTTTCTAAATAATCTAACACAAAAATGGTACATTTACCTCGATTTTCAGTACAGAGTTTTCTGAGTTAGCATATATGTTCTCTAACCACCAGAATTCTCCTTCTAAATCGCCAAATCCTTTAGAGTAATCATTCCAACCAAGGTCAAAGTTCAATGAGCCATCTGTACGTCTCTGTATCATTATCCAATCACCTTCTGAGTCAAAATAGCATCTCATTTTCACACCTGGGAACTTTGGGTCACGCTGAATAGTGTACACTCCTGTAAAAATATATAAGACAGTTAAATGGGTTCAGTTATATAAAATTCTATAATAACATATGCAGAAGACATGTCTAAATACCATTCACCCTCTTGATGTCACAACCGAGCAATGACAACAAGCCACCATTTTTGTGTCCAGAAGTTGGCTTTGTCATTTGGTATTTTTGAGTGTTATGTGGTGTGCTTGATATATCAGATAAATTCCTACCTTCAAATGTAGTGTTTTGTGGAATCTTTAAGGCATGCCTGACAGCTGTACAGTTTGTATGCATTACAGGTCTGACCTTAATTTCCACTTTCTTTAATGTCACCATCATTTGTCTTTTCCACCCGTACCACCACATACCTTAACATAAAAATTTTATCTTCATAATATATTCAAAATATATCTACATGAAAATATGTACCATTGTTATATTGAATTCGCATTTCCTTTTTTTGATTGCTAAATTAACAATTATACTAGAAGCTAAGTATTTATTCGACATACCATGTATGAAGGAATCATGAGGATTATCAACTTTGTCCCTTTTCATTGACTTGGAATATTTCTTCTTGCTAACCACATTATATCCATTTACATTAAGGTCAGTACAGTTGGTGTACCACATGCCCCCTCCTAACATTTCTGCACAGTTGGCATCATCAGCAAAGTCATTATCTCTATCATATGTGGTAAAGTTAACACATGGGGGATCAAATTTACTGAACCCAAAAGGATCTCGACCAGTAATGTTATTTACACAAAGTTCATAATTATGAGCTTCATTTTTCATTGTGACACTGTCGTAGATTGCAATGGAACTTTGATCTTCATGATCCCATGCTTCAATCACCATCCTCATAGGGGTAGTTTGGTGGTTTAATACATCAAATATGTTGTCATTTCCAAGCCAGAAGGTACTGTTATCTTTGAAACCATGTTTGTAGTTGTTCCAATCAAGTTTCATGGACTTTAAGCCAAAGTTTCTTTGGATAACAGTCCATCCTTGTAGTTCTGTCGTTTGGTCACAGTAGACTTTGATTTTTCTTTTTGTGCTGTTCTCACGGGGTTCAATTATATACCAGCCTGAAACCAGATTTCTAATCAATGAGTACAAAGCTATAATATATCATACCTCTCTTAATCCTTTGCCCAATGAATTATTTAAGATACAGTGAATTTAAAGTGATTATTGATGATACAATAGAAAATTAAGGAAAACTCTCGCTGGGGAACTGTACTTAAATATTAATATAGCCTAATATAGTACATAGTATAATAACAACTCTGACTTTAGATTATGTGATTGCTACTTGGTAGTTCTGAATCACCTGAATTTTCTCCTCCATTCTCAAGAACTTCAAAGCAATCTTTAGAGCTGAACTTTCCATCGGGGATGTAGTTCAAAGCTTTCACTTCAATGTCTGTCAGTTTGAATGTGTCTTGGGCAACTCTTCTCGATGTTTCAACTAAAACTATAGACAGAATACACAATTTTGCATTTTAATGACACAATATACAAAAATAATCTTTAGAGCTGAATTTTCCATCTGGAATGTAGTTCAAAGCTTGCACTTCATTGTCTGTCAGTTTGAATGTGTCTTGAGCAACTCTTCTGGATGTTTCAACTAAAACTATAAAGGCAGAACACAAGATTGTACATTTTAATGATGTACAGAAATACTTGACATACTTATCATGCAATAAATTGAATATCAAAAACTCTATGTTGTGCATTAACAAAAATTAACACATGGCTAAATGTAGCAACCACTCACAAAATCTTAGACCATATAGTCTTGAAATAAGATAGATATGAATGTTTTTTAAAATATAAGTCAAACTATAACTTACCCTCATTATAACACAACAGCAAAGCAACCACTAAAATCCCCTTCATGTTGTACCAACTTTACTCTGTCTAGCCCTCTGAGGAGTTATCAACGAATGAATAGTTCTTTGTTATAAGCTATGCAATATCAAGTAAATAGAATTAAAGTTAACTCTGAGGTCATGAGCAGTTGAGTTTCTCATAAAGGGCTGTGCTAAAAATAAGACAATGCTAAAAGATAACATTCACAACTTACTTGAGAAAACTTGATAATGTAAGAAAACTTGACTATGAATTGCTATATTTATGATACTTGTGTAATTTGGTATATGTTTGAAGAGATTAACCCATTCACACAAAAAATAAATGTTTGTGTGTATGTATTAGAATATTCAGAGTCCTGTTTCTGTTTCTAAAGGGTTAATTTGAATTGATTTGAATTGTTTCGTATTATGTTTAACATATCTATTGTTGAACAACTTCAACCTCTTAAAATCAAGTTCATCCCACAATGCCATATACTGCCAAATGTTCAAATTCAACCAATGAGCATAGAGTGTTATAATTTTAGAATAGACTAACAATATCATTGGATCCTTCTTTTAGTATAACAATTTATTCAATTTTGAGTAATGAAAAATATATTTGCTATGTGCAGCATATTTCAGTGATCTGAATTCATTGTTTTCAGAATACAATAGACGATACTTAACAATTATTTAATGTTTGATGTTTCGATTCATGATTCATAATGCACCTCTATATATCGCAAAGTTATTCTCACATTGCAAGTTGAAGGATATATTTTACAAGTTATAAAATGATGTCCATTAAACTTGATTGCCACTCTGATATTTTTCACCAGTTATTTAACTTTGATCATCATTCTAGTAAGATGAACCTTATAAGGAAGTCCTGGCCATCTTATGGAAGCATCTGGTTTGTTCCTCAGATATTCTGCGATTGTGTTTAAGCCATTCAATACACATTTACAGTAATCTTCCCCTTGGTTACTGAAAAACCACCATCCTCCATTGCACAATTTTGCTTTACCTGAATAATCGCTATGATCCTTTGTGGAAAATTGCATCCAAGACTTTGATATTATTTTTACTTTTTTTCGATTGGTCCAGCCTCTCTGTTCAAGCTCGTACTTAGCTTGTGCATCATATCCATACCTTTCTTCTCTCTTAATGTAACAATCTGTTGCATTACCTTTGATTTTATCTCCTAGCCAAATATTTGATGTTTTCACACGGTGCTCATGTTTGACCCCCTTAATTGCTTTCTGTCCAATAGAAAAGTGAGTTGTACTCAGATATTGCCGTTTTAAGGCTACCATGTCACCCTTACTGAAGTCAAGCGCATTAAGTTGGACTTTAAAATCATTGTAGTGGATAAATTCATAGTCTCCTTTCCAATCCCACATCTGAAACCAAGTGCAGATTCATAACATCTCGACACATTTCCCTTGAAAGGTTGTAAAAATTTACAATGATGATTGTCATTAAGTATACTCAAGTTTTATTGCATAGGCTAAAGTCAATAGAAATAATTTTTAAATAAAGATGGCATGGTAATCGATCTGTGTTTATTTATAAATATTCTCTTCAGGTACTCAATGGGAGCCAAAGTGGTACTTTTAAAATCCACATTTTGCCCCTAAATGTCGATCGTTCTTGTGAAACAGCCCTACTGTTTGATAAAAGACAATCATATCCATACCAAGTGTGTAGTGTTGATCAAACACTAACTGAAATAGGCATAATATACCTAAGAACAGCAAAGTTGCAGTTTGCGTAAATGGCCATGGCAGATTTCCAGAAGTATTAATTATTTCCTTCTTTCTGCGATTAGACATTTATTTTCAAACATCAACAAACGATCTGAAATGTATCTAGTGTTTTTTTCGTACTTTTAGAATGATATGCTTATGTTTAAAGGCTTAGCTAAAAGTCGGTAAGTACCAATTGTATGCTTTGCGCATTCGCAAAATCAATAAACACTTGATTCCTGCCATGGCCAATTTCGCAAAGCGCGACAGTGCCGTTTAATGACATGTCAGCCCCTCAGTATGTCATTACATATTGATTTAATGTGCTACATAGGTCATTCGATATGTTTTCTTTATATCTAGTTATTTTTTACATTGGGAATGGCTTTAGGTCGACGTATATTAAAATTCAAAAACTAAATCAACAACTCTTTGAGCACCTGAGAGAAAAAGAAAATACTAGATCCTGTTGGTGCTGCCATCTTTATATCAGGCCTTTTCAAAATGTTATTTTAAATACAGGGTGGTCAAAAAAATGGAAACCCTGCATTTTCCTTATATCTTTGTCACTTTAAGGAATTACTCCTTGATATTTGATACATTTGTACGTCATTCAATTTCCTACCACCCTACCACATTTCATGACCATCAGACTGATAGTCACAATTTTACAGCCTTTTGAATAACATGCTTCAGATTTGGCCATTATCGCGCTGTAGGCAAAACAGCACAGTTGTCATGGACCCGAATGCATTCCTCAGCAGGTATGGGCTGATTGACACAAATGATCTCACTTTTGAGGTTTGCAATTGTCCTGAGGTCATTCTCATATACTCTATCTCTGCCATATCCCCACAGGTAGGGACATTTTAGACGATGAGTACAGGTTTCCCCACAACGCAATAGTGTCCACTGGGCATGTTCTTTAAAGTACTGTAACATTGTGGCTATCAATCTGATGGTCATGAAATAAAGTAGGCTGGTAGCAAATTGAATGATGTACACAGGTGTAAAATATCAGGGAGTTACTTCATAAAATGACAAAGATATGAGGAAAATGGTATTAGGGTTTCCATTTTTTTGGACCACCCTGTATATGCATAGCACATCAGTAAAAAAAGAACATTTCCATAGTTGTACCTCCATTTTTAATACTGAGTTTTCTGAGTTAGCATATATGTTCTCCAACCCCCACCAGAATTCTCCCTCCAAATCTCCAAATCCTTTAGAGTAGTCATTCCAACCAAGGTCAAAGTTCAATGAGCCATCTGTACGTCTCTGTATCATTATCCAATCACCTTCTGAGTCGAAATAGCATCTCATTTTCACACCTGGGAACTTTGGGTCACGCTGAATGTGGTACACTCCTGTAAAAATTATATAATAATGTTATATGTTCTGTCGAATATTAGATAAGAAAGCTGTCTTAGAAACACATGTGACTGTGTAAATGCCTGTCCAAAAGACATCCATCCTTTAGACATTGAAATAAGATCTGTTTCAAAAAGAGAACCTTTGTTATTATGTAGTTCTTTATAGGTTTATTTTTAGCCCAGGAAAATATGATAATATGATGTGTAAAATAATTGATATGAGTCTGTCTGGTCTATCGGATAAACTGTATTACCTTCAAATGTAGAGTTTTTTGGAATCTTTAAGGCATGCCTGACAGCTGTACAGTTTGTATGCATCACATGTCTGATCTTAATCTCCACTTTCTTTAATGTCACCATCATTTGTCTTTTCCACCCATACCACCACATACCTAAACATATAAAGTGTTTCTTCATATTTGTGTAGAAAAACATAATGTATGTACCATGGTACATTATAATTTGAAATTGCAAGTACCTTTTTAAATTCCAAACAAAACATGATATAAAATACTAAAAAATCAGTATTTATTCAACATACCATGTATAAAGGAATTATGAGGATTATCAGCTTTGTCCCTTTTCATCGACTTGGATGATTTCTTCTTGCTGACAACATTATATCCATTAACATTAAGGTCAGTACAGTTGGTGTACCACATGCCCCCTCCTAACATTTCTGCGCAGTTCGCATTTTCAGCAAAGTCATTATCTCTATCATATGTGGTAAAGTTAACACATGGGGGATCAAATTTGCTGAACCCAAAAGGATCTGGACCAGTAATGTTATTTACACAAAGTTCAAAATTATGAGCTTCATCTTTCATTGTGACACTGTCATAGATTGCAGTCCTGTTTTTATCCTCGTGATCCCACGCTTCAATCACCATCCTAATAGGGGTAGTTTGGTGGTCAAATATATCAAATATGTTGTCATTTCCAAGCCAGAAGGTGCTGCCATCTTTGAAACCATGCTTATACGTGTTCCAGCCATATCTCATGGATTTCAAGCCAAAGTTTCTCTGGATAACAGTCCATCCTTGTAGCTCAGTTGTTTGGTCGCAGTAGACTTTGATTTTTCTTTTAGTGCTGTTCTCACGGGGTTCAATTATATACCAGCCTGAAACAAAGTTCATTATATCAATTAAGGTAAAAAAAATGAAAGCTGCATTTTTGAAGGGGGAGTATTTTTTTGTTTAGTTTCTAAATAAATACATCTGATAACTCAAATACAACATTCAGGTTTAATTTTGAAGCTTAGAGAATTCATTTTTCCGTAATATTTTGTTCTATTTATTTTATTTTTTACTTTTGTGAAATTTTTGAATAACTCAATGTGCTGTTTGTTATATTTGTTATGTTTATAATGCAAACTACATGTAACCTTTATACCTGAGTCTCTCCTACCACTCTTTAGGACTTCAAGGCAGTTTTTAAAGTTGAACTTTCCATCAGGAATATAGTTCAACGCCTTTACTTCAGTGTCTGTCAGTTTGAATGGGTTTTCGGTAAATGATAGTGTTGTCACAAAAGCTATAAGAACAAGGGACAACATTTAAAAGAGGATAAACACCTAAAGATATAATGCATATTATACTAAATCATATTATATGAAATTATTATTATACTAAATACTAATACTAAACTATCAAATATTCACATATTCACATATTCATATTCACATTTTCACATAAACATATTCACATATACATATTCACATTTTACAGTGAAAACCTCTCTAATCTGAACACTTCTCAATGTGAACATCTTTTTGGTCCCATTTTTTATTTAATCTCCCATGTTTATCTACCAGTGTTAAAAAAATTCATAATCTGAGGACCTGGCGATCTGAACAGCTTTGGCTACTCCTCGTTGTGTTTGAATTAAAGGCACACTATACTTAATTTAGAAGAAAAAAGAAAAAAATAATCATTGAAACATGTTACTTACACACTTGCTCAAATATGACACAAAATATTGAAAATTCCCAAAGTGGGCCTTTAAATAGTTTTTACTATATTTGCAAGAATGGAAATAGAAAGCTTTGCGCATTAAAGAATGAGAAGATGTAAAATACTTACTTGGATGTGAAAACAACAGCAAAACAAAGATCAAGAACCCAAGCATGCTGTTTCAAATTGAACGTTCTTGTTAGAATCCTAAAATTTCACTGAGAATGAATGATAAAACACCACCAGGGTTCAACTAGAGTTGAGTTTCTCAGTGAGGGCTGTGCTAAAAATAAGACAATGCTAAAAGATAACATTCAAAACTTACTTGAGAAAACTTGAAAATGTAAGAAAACTTGATTATGAATTGCTATGTATGATACTTGTGTAATGTGGTACATGTTTGAACAAATTAACCCATTCATGCCAAAACATGAGATTTTGTATTTATTTGAATATTCAGACCCCTGTTTCTGTTTCTAAAGGGTTAATTTGATTTGTATTGTTTCATATTATGTTCTGAATAACAATAGAAGATATGACATAGAGCATGTTTTTCCCATGATGCAACTTGGTATCATCATATATATATTTAGCCAATAAGCTTTACCCAAGATGCAACCGGATGCATTCATATTCAACCAATGAACTTCACAAGATACAGTCATATTATGTTTATAAGTAGAATATATGACTTAAAGTTCTGAGAATCAAAAGTATGTTTTACCCAAGGTGCAAGATGATGTCATGCTTACCCAAAATGCAACTTGATGCCATCAGTTTTCCCATACGCATATCAATTCCAACTGTTGATTTTAGTTGTACAAATCCACATTTTCCCATAAAATTGACAAATTCTATATTGTACATTTTCCCATAAAATTGACAAAATCTATATTATACATTTCCCCATAAAATTGACAAATTCTATATTATACATTTTCCAATAAAATTGACAAATTCTATATTATACATTTTCCCATAAAATTGACAAATTCTATATTATTAATTATACATTTTCCAATAAAATTGACAAATTCTATATTATACATTTTCCAATAAAATTGACAAATTCTGTATTATACATTTTCCCATAAAATTGACCAATTCTATATTATACATTTTTCCATAAAATTGACAAATTCTATATTATACATTTTCCCATAAAATTGACAAATTCTTTATTATACATTTTCCCATAAAATTGACAAATTCTATATTGTACATTTTCCCATAAAATTGACAAATTCTATATTGTACATTTTCCCATAAAATTGACAAATTCTATATTGTACATTTTCCCCAAAAATTGACAAATTCTATATTGTATATTTTCCCCAAAAATTGACAAATTCTATATTGTATATTTTCCCCAAAAAATGACAAATTCTATATTGTATATTTCAGAGTGATGATAGATGAGTTGGCGAACTGGAAGGCTCATTTACAGCGCAAGTACAAGGAATCCCAAGATGCACTGCAGCAGATTCTTGATGAGCGCCATGACTTGCGTACAAATTTGATCAAGACTTATGGGTAAGTAGATATTAAGGAAAATATATTCAGCACATGGTAACTGTTACGCATAACTGAAGCAAAATTTAACCAAATTACAAAAAACACAATATATATACACTGTATGCTAAGATAAAATTTTGTCCATTACTTTTTGACCAACCCGCGTATAAGTTATTTGAAGATGCCAAACCATCCAAAAGACTCCATTCGATTCCTTATGTGCATTTAATTGATGAAAACACATGAAATCTGCATCCAATTTATCTATGTCTTCCGACACTGATTTTGACACCAAAAGACATTGTTTATAAATTGAATGTCAAATATGTATTGAGATCTTGTGTCAAATAGACAAAGAAAATGGTTGGTATCGAAACAACATGTATGTCAAAATTTGTTGTTGACATACTAATGCTGAAATAGTGCCATTGAATCTACAACAAATTGTGTTGAATGCATATGTGTTATAGGTGCCTCAGACAGTATGTATGTCAAGATTCGTTGTTGACATACTGATGCTGAAATAGTGACTTTGAATCTACAACAAATTGTGTTGAATGCATATGTGTTATAGGTGCCTCAGACAGTATGTATGTCAAGATTCGTTGTCAAGATTCGTTGTTGACATACTGATGCTGAAATAGTGACTTTGAATCTACAACAAATTGTGTTGAATGCATATGTGTTATAGGTGCCTCAGACAGTATGTATGTCAAGATTCGTTGTCAAAATTCGTTGTTGACATACTGATGCTCAAATAGTGCCATTGAATCTACAACAAATTGTGTTGAATGCATATGTGTTATAGGTGCCTCAGACAGTATGTATGTCAAGATTCGTTGTCAAGATTAGTTGTTGACATACTAATGCTGAAATAGTGCTATTGAATCTACAACAAATTGTATTGAATGCATATGTGTTATAGGTGCCTCAGGCAGCTAAAGGATGGATTTGAGCTCATGAGCAACACCTATTCTCAAACTTTCTCACCCTCGGGGAATGTCATCGAGCTTGCTAGTATTAACAGTCAGCTTGTAGCAACCATACAAATGAGGTAAGTAAACATGAAAATAAAAATACAAAGGTAAAGGTAAAAGTTCATTTGAAAAAGGAAAGTAATTGTCTCATTCAAATATAGAACAAATATGAAAAATACACATATCCTTCCAGTAAAGGTTCCGTTGAAGCGAAGTAATTGTCTCATTCACAAAAACAGGAGTGAGTATTAGCACATGTATTGATGAAAACAATGCCTCATAATAACATGCAAAATTGCACCGCCTATCATTTGTTACAGATGCCAACCACCAAACGCCGAATACCCAACTGCCAAACATTATCCGCAAAAAAGTTGGAGACTTTATCAATATGTCCCTACTTAAGGTGGTGACATAATAATTAGAGTAAATGAAGATATTTCCCCTAATTCAAGCATAATCTGACTTGGGTAAATGCAAGCATAATTACTTAGAAATTTCATATAATAAGGGATGAACATAACCCTCTGATTTTGCTGAAGCAAAAAAGCAAAACTGAATTCTTTTTTTAAAAATTGTTTAGTTGAAATCTCTCAAAAGGCAGCAGAAAACTATCTGAATTTTTAAACATTGGGAAAGTACTTTGGTGCAAGTTTGCAAAAATAAATTCATATGAAACCTGTATATCCAAACACCTCTCTAACATTCTCGATGTGAACACTTTTCTCTGTCCCAATTTTGTCAACTCCCATAAACTCACATTTTAAGAAAGCCTTGAAGTGTGAACACCTGCTAATTTGAACACTTGTGGCCAATTTTAGTGGTGTTCCGATTAGACAGGTTTTACATAAAATGAATATCACCTTCAGAAAAAGATATTAAATATAGGATATCCTTTGATTTTAAGTGATATCATTTTTATCCATGAGTTGATATCAATATCTGGATGAGTGAGCGTAGCGAGTGAGTGCAGATTTTGATTTCACATATCCTATTTATTCCATAGTCCACATAAACTAAAACCAGCATTTCAAAACAACATTCATCACGTGGTGATGCATGAAATCATCATGTAACAATACACACCACATTTGCAGGAGTTTTCATATCCGTGGATGGCTTTTTTCCATGCATTTGCAAAATATCAAAACTATATTTACATGTTATCGTACAGAATTGACCTCAACTATGGGATAATATGAAAATATATTAAATATGCATGTTACAGTATACAATTGTTGACCTCTCCAGAGGTCAACCGGCAAAATTGTATACCGAGACTGTAAACTGAGAAACTACTGTTGACAGAGACCGAAGGTCGAGGTCAACAGTAGTTTCAAGGTTTACAGTCGAGGTATACGATTTTGACGGTTGACCGAATGGAGAGGTCTACAATTGTTTTGTTAGTCCGAAGAAACTAGTAATACACAATCATATAGACGGCAATCATCAATCGGCATGGCTTCATTTCATAATCTTTTCTCCGAACCACGTCAGCAATATTTTTTTAGAAATTCCGAAGATAGTGGTAGCTAAACTCTCTATATTCGGCACATCACGGTAGAGTCATTAGTAAATTAATGTTGATTTTACGTTTCTATTTGCATTTTTGCCATTCTTGTCGTCTAGTAAACTCAAAAAATCACTTTCATCAACGTTTACAATATTATGACGTCATGGAACTTTTTTCAAAAGTAGCGGTCAACAGTATCTAGTAGCGGTCAACAGTGCATATTGTTGACCGCTAATCAACCAATCAGAATCGAGTATTTCAGTTGAGGTACTAACAATACTATATGAGGGCCGTTTCTTGTTGATTTATTCTAAAGCATTTGGTTTTACACAGGTTGCTTGGCAAAGTCTCCTCCAGTGTTGCCCTGAACATGGATATGGGTGAAGATTTGACATACGCAGAATGGCTTGCTAAACAGGTACGAACAGTTTGACTTGGGAGGGAATCGGCATTGAATTTCAGCATTTTATAGCTCTGTATTTCAGCATTTGAAAAGTGCAGAATCACTACCTTCAAAGTAAAATATTCCTTAGAGAACATGTTCAGAACATGTTTTTTGTGGTTGATATGGTTATAAAAATTGGTCAAATCAGCTATCAAATGACGGTTTATATTATTATTGTTTCAAGACTTACGCTATTATGGGCTGTTTCAATCTCCATATTTATTAAGCATTTACTTACTGAAGGTCTGTTTTCCAGCTGCTAGAGGGCCAGAGCAATACTAACGCTGCTTCAAGGGGAGGCACACAGGAACAGCAATCAGTAGATTCACTGAGGCGACAACATTATGAACGTTACCACCCAAATGTTCGATATGAAAATGTCACATTTAACTGTTGCGCTCAATGCACTGGAGATGTTATGGTTGTTTAAGTGTGTGATGGTTGATTGTGTTCAGCGTTATGGTTGAAAACGGTTGTGTATTGTACAATGTATCAGTCAACCTGAATGTGGGTGGCAAAAGTTGTTCAATGTAATCATGTTTGTTTAACGCATATTATGCGACATCTTTGCAAAATGAATTTATACCAAATAGAGTCAATTTGGCGGGTAATCAACAAGCGGAATATATCATCACAATATCCTCTGCATATTGGGTTTTCCGGAGTATATCGTCATGAAATCCTCCGCATATTGGTTTTCCAGAGTATATCTTGGCAATATCCTCCGGTTATTCATTTATTTATTTAATTTATTTTTAATGTTATTATACATTTAGCACACTAAGTGTAGGATAATATTCAAGATGTCATACTTGGAAAAAGATTGACTCATGGTACTCATATTTTGAATTTCAAATCATGAACACTTTTTCCACCACAGTATATTTTAATATGTAATTTACTTAATCATTTGCAAACTAGGAAATCTGGAGAATGTGCCATATATGTATTTATCCCATACATACAGAGGTTCTTGGTAGATAACCTGTTTAGTGTGTCTAGGATGTGGGATGGATATTTTCTGTATCTCCCCTGGTATCTCTGAGATCCAGATTATATCCCAGTTATATTAGTATGAGTCATACTGCAAAACATTTATGGAATTTTTATTTCAAAAACTTATATTTTATGTTATAAATACATGGTCTCTCATGTGTACCTAAAAGCTCAGTCATTTTATGATTTCACATGTAATCGAGTCTGCCATTTTGTGTTATATTCAAGAAAAACATACAGCATGTAAAGGGGTCTTCACAAGGCTGAAGCCATATCTATTCTATTTAAAAGTATTTTTTAACTTTGGAACCAGTGCAGGCCCGTAGCCAGGGAGGGTCGATGGGTTCGAGCGAACCTCCCCCACCTGGCCAAAAAATCTTTCAAAATCATGCAGTTTTTCACCATTCTGCACACTTTTTTTTAGTGATTTTGGCCATTTTTGGACCAAAATTGTCTCAAGTGAACCCCCCTGGAATTTTTCAAAAAGTGAACCCCCTTGGCAAATCCTGGCTACGGGCCTGCATTGTCATATTCAATTGAGTCATTATATTCAGCATTTGCTTTATTATTAAGGAGCATGTTATATGGGATCAGATATTCAGACAATCTAGGGGTGTAAACGAAGTCAGAAAAAGGCCAGGCAGATTGATTTTGGGGAAAGGAAATAATGTTACTCTGTAAGATTAGCTTCAGTTAAACATTAAATGTGAATTCTGTGAATGTGAAAATTTCTGTAGAATTCTTGTGAGGCAATTCATCACTCTACTATACCTTGCATTTGGTGTTCATGAGCAACCCATTTGGCTTATCAGTAATGATTATGTTATTTGTTTTTATTTGTTTATTCCTTATTAATGGTTTATCGGATGACTGTTAGATGTTAATAAGGTACTTTTCCGTAACCCAAAATCATCTGAAGTGCTATATATGCCTGTATGAATACATAGAAAGTCAAAACATGTTCACATGTTATACAGTAAAAAATAAATTGAATAAATTATATATTTTCAAATGTATGAATTATTTTATTTCTTCAATATAAACATATGTTGTTCTTATGAGCATACTCATTGCCAAATCTATATCACTATTATCTGTAAACTTAAAGGACAATACACTGTAGTACAATCAGCCTGAAACTTTATCAGAATGTTTCTGCAGTTAAAAATTAAAGTACCCATAGCTCCATTGGTAAAAATTTAAAAAAAACAATGATGTCATTCTTACATTTTCATAGCAGAAATGTAATCACGTATTGCTAAATTTTAACATGGGCTTCGGAAACCCATGATTTTAACAAGGCATTAACATGACAGAATTTACTCACTTCGAGAGCCATGTTAGATTTTGAAACTTATGGCTCTCAAACGGAGAAGTGAACAGCTGATCAATAGTGACCTTTGAAATTGAATTAAGTCGATCCGCGGCTTACTTTTGGTCTCTAACTGTGTCTTACATCAGTATCATCAATCCGTGTAAGTATTGGGGCGCTGGAGTACTTCTTTTTCGATCAAGACTTGTAAATTGTTCATCGAGTTAAAGTTTTACAGACCTATTTCCAATATGGCGGTTTGCTAGGTGCGAGATACGCAACGAACGAAATGAATTTTGAGAATTAGTTAGGTTCGGACAACCTCCGGAGATTTACGAAAATATCCGAGCAGAAACCGCCATATTGGAATTTGGCAGTAAAACGATTCACTCGACTACCAATTACAAGTCTTGATCGAAAAAGAAGTACTCCAGCGCTCCAATACTTACACGGATTGATGATACTGATGTAAGACACAGTTAGAGACCAAAAGTAAGCCGCGGATCGACTTAATTCGATTTCAAAGGTCACGATCATTGAGCTGTCCAAATGCTCCGTGGGAAAGCTATTATATCAAAATCCAAATAGCTTTCGCAGGAAGTAAGACAGAATGTCACCATCGCCTGTTATTGAAAAATGTACGACAGAAACAGTTTCAACAATATTTCGAGCAAGATATATATCACGCGGTCCGTAACTTCGACCGTTATTTTAAATTTTTGACCACCTGCTGTTTGAAAATCAAGGATTACGAGTCTCATACTGCACCGTTTTTCTTCAAACTTGTTCCATTCAAAGCATAACAAAAATTCCTTTCTGATGGTACATTATTCTCTTAAACAGAGTCCCTACTTCAAGCGGCATTTTGGTCCGCAGCTGTAAGAAGGCTTTCTAACAGCTGGGGACCAAAACGCTGCTAGAACGAGGGACTCTTTACAATAAAGTAATACACCGACAGAAAGGCAATTTTGTAAAGTCATGTTAGTTGATTGTACAGAAATTAGAAGTATACAATTTACAGCTAGCAATCGTAATTTCTCGTTTCTCCTTCATTACATTTCAATGATCAAATTACCAATAGTGTAGGTAATTAATGAACTTTGCAATACTGAAAGGTGTAGACCATTTGAGGTATGAGCTACACCGGAGCTTCATGTACACGTAGCTCTAAACTGAGACTAACATAGATTTTATGATCACGGTGATGATGGTCTCAGCTCTAGGAACTCCTATTCGGAAATTTTAACATTTCTGAGCATGGGGAAATATCTTGAACTTGAAACTGAAGTTAGGTTATTGGTCGTTCAGTTTTCTTGTTTTTTTGTCATTTTGAATTGCAAACAAAACACTTGAGTTAGCCACGCATAATTAGTAATACGCGTAATCAGATTATTTCAAGCTCCGAAATAGCTTATTTTCCTCGACGTATCCACACAAACCTATTCACTTACCGTTATGTTGATCGATCTAGGCGCCCAAATTATAATTGTTTTCACTTCGCGGTCTCTTTTATTTCATTTATTTGAGACGCAATTGATCTTTTGGCAACAAATCAAACAATAAACTTTAAACAAGTTTTCTTAATTTTGGAATGTTTCTCTTTATTGATTGTCAAAGATGCGTCTTAAGTGTGATCTAGAATATTTCACTTTCTGTGCTCTACCACTCCCGTACACATTTGCAAGAGTTGTGAGTTCATTCCGTTTCCTTGATCGTTGGTCGAACTTCGATTCCAACTAAATTAGATTAATCAACTGAGAAATGTTTGTATCATGTTTATCCAAGCAAATAATTGTAACAACTACATTACTTTTTAGCAGTTTTGACACCTAAGCAGGGTAGCCTAGTGGTGTAGACTGAGGCTACTTTGCGGTTGAACGTCGTGGGATACGGAGGTCCCGCGTTCGAGCCCCAGGTACGGAGTTGTTGATCATTGTCACTACGGACACCCGGTCCGAAGGTCCAACCGTTTACCGGCCCTTGGCATGGGTTGGTTCTCTGGCCGCTCTTGTCGGAGACAGATTGTGAGACTGTGGTTGGTTCCTCCACTAACGTGCTTTAGTAAACTCCGGGAGTCATATAGTATGGTAGCGGGCCCCCACCAAGGGCAGTAGTGGAACGACGCGAATCGGTCCCAGTATGGTTGCCTTGCAACTGAAGAGACTCGAGGAAATCATGCCATTCGCAGTGACCCAGAAAAGACTTTTGCTTCTTAATTTGACGTTTTAATTCATTTATCAATATATACATGTACTTTATTGATTCGCACCAGAATAGCCTGACAGCGGTAAAGTCATATAGTACCATTTTCACAAATGACGGACATAACCGTCTTCAATTAGGGAGGTAACTAAACTGAACTAAACTAAACGTAACTTTATCACATGTATTATGACTCTGAGCATGTAAGTTTAGCTACAAGCCCTTGTGACATAAGTTATTAGAATAAATAACCCAGGGTCTTGAAGCAAGACTATAAGCTTGTATTCTCGAATGCAAATAACGGCTACCACGTCGATTGCAATTTTAATGGCAAACTCATTAAATATGAAGAGTATACATGTCTTGTATCCTGGTAGCTGATTCGCTAATTCACGGGTTAATTTATGAAAATTAATAGGTTAATCCGGCCGCCGACAGTTATAGTTGACTCGCGAATACTAGTTAAGAGTAAACAACTCGTTTTCGAGACCAGAGTTTTATTTTCATTTACAAAATCGTATTTCGTGGCAAATTGATCGCTATTTTCAAAATGCGATATGTACTATTAAATGTTCATTGCTCGTAAACATTTATTTTCATACGACAAGACGCCTGCCTAATGGTTTCTAAAGCAGTTAATCAAATTTGAAATATAGCGTCATGTATGAGTGATTTCGCAACATTAGGTAATCAGTCAAATGAAAAACTAGCAATCTGAAAACACTGACGTTTAACTATCTCAAACATCATGCCTAGTAACACAAAACTCACGGCACATGTATCTCTATGGAGTTTTATTAAATCCTTTGTTTTTATTCATTGATGGTTTTCTCAACCATGAATGATCTGTATTTGATCAAAAACAAGATGCTACAATTAAGTGGCGACAAATGAAGCGCTCAAATCCCCTATGAACTACATGCCTGAGGAATATCATCATTGAGTGGGAAATCCACATTTCCAACACCATTAGGATGGGGAGAAGGGGTAAGTGTTGTTTGAAACCCTAATAATGTCCAGCTAGTGTTATTTTCACAAATACATATATAATCGTAAACCATACTCAAATAAACAACAAGATCCACCGTATCTAAAATACAATGATTGCTACGTAACATCGACCTCCTCACAGAAATATTAACGTAACCATCTGCTAATGCATACGTAACGTAAACCTACACTTACTTCTCGTATCCAAAATGTATTAAAATCTTTAATACGTCAATTATGGATAAGCAAAATGGTTGAAATGATTCAATATATTTGAAGAAAAAACTTTTTGATTCAGACTGCACCTATGTTCCTCCTGTGGCAAAAATTACAAGTCGCTAAATGGATTAAAGAGCCATATGGCCCTGACCCGCGGTGTTGTAAAGCATCGTCGTAATGAATCGGTAATATATTTTGCAAACCAATTCAATCATCGAATATAAATGACTTCTTATACTCAATCTGAGTATTGGAGTAAGACATACAGGTAACTATAAATGCTGTATAAAGTTAACGATATTGCAAATCATACATGGGAACCCATGCAATTTATTCAACATTCTATTCATTTTCATGGTCTAAAATTATTTACTCCACATTTAACAGAAAATGTTCCAATGGCCAAGTTCTTAAAAATATGTAATTAGTAATTGTAAGAGATCTGTCTGCCAGCATAACATTCTCAGCAGATTCCACGTCTTCTATAAAATTACGTATATCACTTGCTTCTTCATCTCTTTTACAATTGTGTAGATTTTGGCATTTCCTGAGTGGATTTAACACCCATTGGTTCAATCGCACCGTGCAGTTTTTACTGTCGATTAAGAGTTCCTCTCCATTTTCTGTAATAGATTGAGGAACGACACCTATATCTATTTTGTTAAATGCGAAATGTCCCGAAATTTCATTCAACCCCTGTGATTCGCCTACCACCAGTGATTTGTCTGCATGTTTTACGATATTGTGATTTATTACATCTTCGAAAGTGTGAATATTTGGATTCTGACAACGCCTGACCCAAGTAAAATGCCCTTGTTCCAAAGTAAAGACGTGTGATCACACTGAAATAAGACACATCACTAAATAACTTTTAAATGGCGTAAACACGACTGGGGAGGAAGGTTTCTCAAAGAAACCAGGAAAGTTTATTTCATTAAAAAAACTTCCTCGTTTCCTAATCGAGGGAACTGATTTGTGAATATCCCAGCAATGGCAGAATTCATTTCTAAGTTGTAATCATATTTTGAAGCCGGTGTAAATGGGTAGGTCCTATTAATTTATGGTCCTACTCTCCATTGATTTATATGATGACCTCTTTCCCTTATTATCTTATACACAATCAGGGTCAGCAAGGGCCGTTAAAGAGGGGGACCATAATCCCTGGGGGACCATAATTTCTTTCACACCGGAACTACATACCCTGTACTTGCCGAATATTTTGTTGTGATTTGAATTCCTCCCCAGTGCTATACCGGACTTGTACAAGTACAGGTTTGTGTATATGTATTCCAAATAACTTATATCGAAAGGTCTCTAATATGACACCTAGAACTTTAAATAAGAGGTCAAAATGTTTTCACAGAATACAATGTAAATAACCAAATACAAATGTATACACACTATTTCCAAATATCAAATCTCATTTCTACCGAAAACAAAAATTGTCACACATTTTGTAGCATAATGGGGTCACCTTTCTCAGTCTATCCGGGTTTAAAGTCTTAAATATTCTCCAAAGTATAATTTGTTTTTGAATTAGTTAAACATATAAGTTAGAATTCACATCTATGAGACAGAATACAGTAAGAAATTAATCTAATACATTTAATTATAATATAAATAAATAATAATATTTTCAAATGTATAAATTATTTTATTTCTTTATTATAAACATACACTGTATGTTGTTCTTATAAATAGCAAATAAAGAACAATAAACTGGGACTTTATCAAACGATTTCTGCAGTACAAATTAACACCAGGCAACAATCATAATCTGTTTTCATGATTATTTTGGTGTAGCTTTTATAAAAAAAACCTGCCCAAATCCTCAGATAGGTCATCTCCAGAGGAAGACATGCTGAGTACGCAATCAGTAACTTGTGTTTTTAGAATTAATTGAGTAATCACATCAGGAATTATCGTATGATCTGTAAAATGAAGCAATCTGATTGGTCAGTTCTTGTGCTGTGCCAATCTGTATTGCTACTGAGATTGTCCCCATTGATCATCTCCATCACAATACAGAAAAAATATTGATACGGAGGGGACATACTCAGTAGCAATACAGAGGATCACACAATAAAAACGTTATAGAATGATTTGAAGTGCAATACATGATATATTCTGCTCTCGATATTCTGTATTGGCACTCAACTTCATCTTATTACAACACACAATTTCCCAAGCAGAATATATATCCTGTATTTAATTCATTCAATAACTTATAATATCAGTACTATGTCAGTTCATACTCATGAGCCTTCATGCCAGGAGCACTCATTTTGTACTAATTGAGTAATCTGCATATCTCCCTCCGATAATGTCTGTTAGATTTTTCATGATGACATCTGACACACAGGGTGACACTAAAAAGATGAAACTATCTATAACTTCGAAATAACAACCTCACTGTTTCATTTTTGAGTCACCCTGTATTACACCATTTTCACTTTAACATGATTTAATTTGGCAATTTATATCCATGAATTTGGCTTTGAATTAGTTTGGCTAATTTCTCATAATTCTTACTTAAAGGAAGATCAAGTACTATCAACAAATGAGCCTCCACTTTTCGATTTTCACACATACTAATAGCATACTTCAGTACCCTTTGCATTTGTTCGACTTGGCTTCTTAAAAGAGCTCTTCATCGATAACTAGACTGCATGCAGTAGAGGTGTCAAGTATTAACCGGTTAACCGCCGATAATGCCTTGACCGGTCTGTGTTTTTATGGGCGGTTAGTTGACCGTGTATAATTCTGTTATTTCCCGCGCTTTTTTGCATTTTGCATGCTAATCCGTTTGGTTTTATGGTGTCAGTTTCACGTAAGCTACTCATACATGTCATAAGTCCTATAACTCCTTACAAACATCCAATCAGCAACTTTAATCCCTGCCACATTGCTTTCCCGCGCTTACTTTGCATTTTAAGCTGTTTGTTTTTCAAGCGTCAGTTTCATGTGAGCTACTCATACATGTGATAGGTCCGATAATTCCTTACAAACATCCAATCAGCAACTTTAATTCCTGCCACATTGCTTTCCCGCGCTTACTTACATAGAATAGAGTAAAGCTTGACGAACGTAAAAATAAACGCCGATATATCATTTTTCCAATTTTTTTCAACTTTCAAGATCGAAGATGAAGATTTCATTTGAAATTATCAGTTCAAATTTCCCGCCGGTTAACCGACTTTAACCGGTAAAAAAAAAAGGTTAACCGGTTAATGCTCAAGCGGTTAATTGACACCACTAGCATGCAGGGTAGTGCTTTGTGTTTAAAACCCCAAGCTTTCTTCTCATTAAAAGAATTAGAATGAATGAGTGATGTTGGCAAAGAATGGAATGGAAGCAATCGTTTCAAAAATATGCCAGAATTTCTCTAGGAAACCCAATTCTCTTGAAGGATTATCCTAAAACAAGATCAGAAATCGGTAACAATAGTGACTTAACGCCAATGGCTGCACACAAAAATGGCTCTATGTCATCCAAACTCTTAATTACGGGTGACTATTTTTAAACAGCATGATTTATAAATAAAGTAATTGGAACGTTATACTGGAACATCCCTATATATTTCTTCAATAAATCGTAATCTCAGAGCATGGGCTTTTTATCTTGAGAGCACATGTCTCAGAGCTTATATTTTGTACATTCAAATTGCCCAAGTGTGTTTTGGCTTTAATTTTTGATTGAACCAAGATGCCTTGATCAATTTAGTTTATGATAAACATACTGAATTTTTAAAACTAAGAAAAGGGAAAATGGTATAATGCTGGGGAGATCACTGTTATGGGACCCTATCAACATGTATATTCTGGTTCTGTTCTCTCATTCATGTTGAGCATACTTTTTCCGATTTAATTTTTCTTTCAAAAGAGAGCTTTATCTACATTAAAGTAGCTCTGACCCTCAGGGCAGCATTGGTTAAATGTAGTGTTAAAAAGATTCTTTCTGGGGCTGAATCTGACCAACAGAGCCATCTTTTGTCATAAACAGTGATGATAAGTCTCATTCCTGATATTATGGTGATATGTTGAACTTGAAAACTTCCCATTTGAGCACTAAGCTGCTCAATGGCATTAATCACACTATGGCATTAATCAATATGCCAATGCATGATTGTTTTAAACTGCTATAGCGATTATTATGCCATTGCCATAGCAATAACAATTTATCCTTATAAGGATGTTGCTGTAGAGATTATCTGGTTGCTATAGAGTTCTGTCAGCTGTTTTCATCATCTTTAGAAGGGGTCTTTGCAGCCAATCTGCTCCTCCTGAAATGAGAAAATAATCCTATCATAGAATTATGTCATGTTAAAAAAAAGAATGTAAAAAAAAGAATCATGTCATGTTTTAAAATGTAAGTAGAGTGAGAAAGTGCACTTAAAAAGGAAATACAGTAAAAGAGATTCGAACATGACTGTATTCACGCCTTCTATAAACTGTGAACAAAGTCAACATTTCCCCCGGAGTATATTCCCGAACAATACCCCTGGTAATACGAGTAATGTGTGACATCATAATGGCGGCCCCTTGTAATTGCAGGCCCAAATGAATATTTGAAACATTTTGGTGAGTTTTCATGTTCGAATTGTAATATAGACCTCAGAGCAGAGATAATAAATGGACTGACTAGTCCGGTGGCAAATTTTTGGTATCAAAAGGTTTCGGTGCCGGAACGGGGTCGAAACAGTGCCGGAACAGAGCCGAATTTTTTTGATGCCGAATTATTTTTGGCTGTGTACTCTACTTACTGTACATGCAACTCCATCATGGAAAATCGTCTTGTAAGAAACATTTCCATCATTCAGATTCCAAAATGGATTAAAAGTTTAAAAGTTTAAAATTAATTAATTTACAACTCTTCAATGATAGAGGAAGTTTTCTCAAATGATGTTAAAAAGTGAAGAGGCAAATGCCTCACTTGCCTCCTCCTGGCAACGCTACAATAGAGATATACAAATAATATGTTTCAATACTTAACTGCTATACAATATTGACACTAGCTACTGACCTTAGCTCAAGCCTGGAACATTTGGGACATTTATCTGGTATATAACAGTCACTATGGTAGCAGGCTTTACAGTCTAAAAATAAACAATACATATTGGTCACTATGGAAACAGGCTTTACAGTCTAAAAACAAACAAAACATTGGTTACCATGGAAGCAGGCCTTACAGTCTAAAAACAAGCAAAACATATTGGTCACTATGGAAACAGGCTTTAGTCTAAAAACAAACAGAAATGACATGAACGCATAATTTAAACCAAAGGAAAATAACATTACAACTTCCATACTTCAATTTTGGCCTGTACTGATATGTGAAGGGGACATACATGTAGTCATAATGATTTTGATATAATTTAAAATGAAAACTCTTCAACATGATCTGAGATATTTATTATGAGATAAAATTATATATTGCGGCATTTATTATTTTGATATATGCATAGATATACCCTCTTATCATCATCAAGTGGCCATCATATAACAATGCTTATGCCTGGGTCACATTTGCTCCGATCCATCGGCAGGCGCCTGGCCGATTGAGTGTTTTGTTCAATATTGTATTCAATTTTGAACAAAATACTCAATCGGCCAGGTGCCGTAGTGAAAATCGGAGCAAATGTGACCAAGGCATTATAGAAGATAATAATAAAGTGAACTTACCAGGACATTGCATCACTCTGTTCAACTCATATGCAAATATGATATCATTGGAGTTGTTACACAGCTCACAAATGAACCCCTTGGCCTGGCATAGCTAAAACAATAAAACATACATTGTAATACATTGCATCACTCTGTTCAACTCATATGCAAATATGATATCATTGGAGTTGTTACACAGCTCACAAATGAACCCCTTGGCCTGGCATAACTGAAACAAATACATTCATTGTAATACAATGCATTACTCTGTTCAACTCATATGCAAATATGATATCATTGGAGTTGTTACACAGCTCACAAATGAACCCCTTGGCCTGACATAGCTAAAACAACAAAAACATACATTGTAATACATTGCATCACTCTGTTCAACTCATATGCAAATATGATATCATTGGAGTTGTTAAACAGCTGACAAATGAACCCCTTGGCCTGGCATAACTGAAACAAATACATACATTGTAATACAATGCATTACTCTGTTCAACTCATACGCAAATATGATATCATTGGAGTTGTTACACAGCTCACAAATGAACCCCTTGGCCTGGCATAGCTAAAACAAAAACATACATTGTAATACAATGCATTACTCTGTTCAACTCATATGCAAATATAATATCATTGGAGTTGTTACACAGCTCACAAATGAACCCCTTGGCCTGGCATAACTGAAACAAATACATTCATTGTAATACAATGCATTACTCTGTTCAACTCATATGCAAATATGATATCATTGGAGTTGTTACACAGCTCATAAATGAACCCCTTGGCCTGGCATAGCTAAAACAAAAACATACATTGTAATACAATGCATCACTCTGTTCAACTCATATGCAAATATGATATCATTGGAGTTGTTACACAGCTCACAAATGAACCCCTTGGCCTGGCATAGCTAAAACAAAAACATACATTGTAATACAATGCATCACTCTGTTCAACTCATATGCAAATATGATATCATTGGAGTTGTTACACAGCTCACAAATGAATCCCTTGGCCTGGCATAACTGAAACAAAAACATACATTGTAATACATTGCATCACTCTGTTCAACTCATATGCAAATATGATGTCATTGGAGTTGTTACACAGCTCACAAATAAACCCCTTGGCCTGGCATAGCTAAAACAACAAATACATACATTGTAATACATTGCATCACTCTGTTCAACTCATATGCAAAGATGATATCATTGGAGTTGTTACACAGCTCACAAATAAACCCCTCGGCCTGGCATAGCTAAAACAACAAATACATACATTGTAATACATTGCATCACTCTGTTCAACTCATATGCAAATATGATGTCATTGGAGTTGTTACACAGCTCACAAATGAATCCCTTGGCCTGGCATTACTGAAACAAATACATGCATTGTAATACATTGCATCACTCTGTTCAACTCATATGCAAATATGATGTTATTGGAGTTGTAACACAGCTCACAAATGAACCCCTTGGCCTGACATAGCTAAAACAACAAAAACATACATTGTTATACATTGCATTACTCTGTTCAACTCATATGCAAATATGATGTCATTGGAGTTGTTACACAGCTCACAAATGAATCCCTTGGCCTGGCATAACTAAAACAAAAACATACATTGTAATACAATGCATCACTCTGTCCAACTCATATGCAAATATGATATCATTGGTGTTGTTACACAGCTCACAAATGAACCCCTTGACCTGGCATAGCTAAAACAACAAGTACATACATTGTAATACATTGCATCACTCTGTTCAACTCATATGCAAATATGATATCATTGGAGTTGTTACACAGCTCACAAATGAACCCCTTGGCCTGGCATAACTGAAACAAAAACATACATTGTAATACATTGCATCACTCTGTTCAACTCATATGCAAATATGATGTCATTGGAGTTGTTACACAGCTCACAAATAAACCCCTTGGCCTGGCATAGCTAAAACAACAAATACATACATTGTAATACAATGCATCACTCTGTTCAACTCATATGCAAATATGATATCATTGGAGTTGTTACACAGCTCACAAATGAACCCCTTGGCCTGGCATAGCTAAAACAAATACATACATTGTAATACATTGCATCACTCTGTTCAACTCATATGCAAATATGATATCATTGGAGTTGTTACACAGCTCACAAATGAACCCCTTGGCCTGGCATAACTGAAACAAATACATACATTGTAATACAGTGAGAATTAAGATTATCAAGAAAGAAAGAAATGCATCCGACTGTTTCTATGCATAATTTTGGTTTGTATATTTTGTATCAATTTCCAATTATTTCTTTGTATGGACAATATGGTTTTATAAACTGTATAAGTTCTCTATCTAATATATGTAGAACATTGTTAATTGCATTTTTTGTGAAATGGCATATTAGCACAAGTGAAATGGCATACAATATTTGGAAAATGGCATATTAAAATTTTATGAAATGGCATTTGACAAATGGCATACCATCATTTATGAAAAGGCATACTAATATTTGTGAAATGGCATACTAAGATTCATAAAATGGCATACTAATATTTGTGAAATGGCATACTAAGATTCATAAAATGGCATACTAATATTTGTGAAATGGCATACTAAGATTCATAAAATGGCATACTAATATTTGTGAAATGGCATACTTAGATTCGTAAAATGGCATAATAACATTTGTGAAATGGGATTATAGCATCTGTGAAATGGCATACTAAAATTCCTAAAATGGCATACTAAGATTCGTAAAATGGCATAATGACATTTGTGAAATAACATACAAAAACGGCATACAAACATTTATGAAATGGCATACTAACCTGGCACTGTTTCACATGTTTAATGCACTCAGTCACATGTTTCTTTACAACTGGCAGAAGTTCTCTGTGTTTCACCTGGCGAAAACAATCAATTTGTTACAAACAATTAAAATATACATGATGTTGATATATGGTTATATAATGAATTGAACAAGTATGCGTTGAATAAGATAATTTTCAGAAATCAGAAATTGATTGCATGATTGTACAGATAGAAGGAAAAACAATTTTCTCTATAAATAACTGATAGCAAGGCTTTAACATGCAAAATGTCACCACCTGCCATTTGTTACACATGCTGACTGCCAAACTCAAACTGCAGAACACCATGCCCCAAAAAGTTGGAGAACATTACAATGTGTCACCACATCTGGTGACATAATATGAGTATTGGCAAAAATAAATTGGATGAAAATAGTTCCAGTAAATTGGATGAAAATAGTTCCAGTACCTGCACAAGGTCACTGAGTGAGTAGGTGTGTGGGTCATCTGACCAATGAGAAGGCTGCTGCTCAATCACTACCATTAATCTGCAAAACATACATTGCAATTGATATCTCAATTATCTGGTGATGTTTGATTATGGTGAGGCTATAATGTGAGGCACAATATAGATACAATATACATGTACATGTAGTGTGGACTGTTAATTAAATTGGGCCAGATTCTCAAATATGTATGTAAAATTATGTAGTTCAAAAAACTACACTCATTTTACAGTATATAAACCATGCTTTGCAATTTCATTCTACTATACCTAGCCCCTAGAAATGCATAAGATACTCTGTTTGTCTAATTGTATTGTTTAGTATATTTTTCAAAGTACCTTATTAACATCTAACAGTCATCCGATAAACCATTAAAGAGAGAATCAGATCTAGCGAGCAGGTCAACGAAAAATTGTTTCAATTTTAGAATATTTCTGGCTGATGTCATTCCTTGTCATGTCTATTTTCTAAAAATCCCCAAAATGCAGACTTTATTTTAGGAAAACTAAAGATTTTTACAATAATGTATTATTTTTCTATTAGTCTAAGAATGGTTACCATTCTTATTATTTCGGAGAATTTACACATTTTTCACCTATTTTTGCACTTTGAATTCATAATAACTTCACCAATTTATAACATATCATGAATCTTTTTGGAGATATTGTATTTGATATTGTAAGGAATAGATTGGTAGGTCAGTTGTAATTTTGTCACCCCTATAGATCTGATTCCCTTTAATAATTGGAACCGACAAATAAAAACAAATAACATAATCATTACTGATAAGGCAAATGGGTTGCTCATGAACACAAGAGTGAATTTATGGTAGAAGAAAACTCAAGGATGTGAATAAAAGCTAGGTTTGAGGAAGACGAGGCAACTGCAAATCTTTGAAAAATAATAATTTCTAGATTTTTCACTGAAACTGTGAACAAATGCCCTAATAGTGGTATTATAGGATGTTCTTATTATCCTACACTTACAAGGAGTGTAATAAATGTATAATATCATTGCAAAATGAATTTCATGCTAAATGGAGTCAATTTGGCGGGAAATCAACAAGCGGAGTATATCTTCACAATATCCTCCGCCCGGAGTATATCGTTACGATATCCTCCGCTGTTACGATATCCGGATATTCATTTTGCCAATAAATATCAAATTTATTTTTTAATGTTATTATACATTTAGTACACTAATTATAGGATAAAATAAAATATCCTCTTTCGCTAAAGTTATTTTGCTTAGCCTTTTTTAACTTTGCCTCGAATCCTCTCTACATCCGTGATATTTCAATCAATACTCACTCTGTTGCGAATCTACATGTTCTGACAAGTGGTACCAGATGATAATACTGCATTCGAAATTCTCTGACTTGTTCCAATGTTCGACTTTTCTTATACAATCCAGGGCCGCAGTCTAATATATTAAATAACGGGTCAAAGAACATGCGCTCTAGGAGATCCCGTGAAAAGTTCGACACGCTATATTTCGTAAAGTCCCATTTTTGGAGAATCCTTCCTGGTATAAATGCTGTATCATTACTATGGCAACACTGGCAGAAATATTTTCCGAGATATTCGCAATATCGGAATCTCTTGATAAAACCTGGAATAGAAGATGTATTTATTCAATTTATTTGCTATTCTAATTGATTTTTTGTGAGTACATTATGGCATATCGATAGCATAATTATGAAAAATGACCATTTAAACCATTTTTGGGTAGCTATAATAAGTCCAAACACACAGAAGTTTGAGAAATTAATGAATTCAAACAAAAATATACATGTATTAATATAACTTTAATAAATTTTTAATCGAGGCTGGGCAAAAAAGTACACATATAAATGTTATTTTAATGCTTGTTACTGTATTAGTTAAGCTTGTCTTTTGTATATTCTTAAACCCTATACGGGGTGAATTGAGAAATCAATAAATAAAATAAAAAAAAAAAAAAAAATGCAGAGCAGTACTTAGAGCTTAGATGGCCGAGATTGGCTGTGGAATACCTTATAAGGATGGACTACCTTATAAGGAAATGTTTATCTCACCTTGCTCTACTTTCATACCACACCCAGCACATCTGAAATTCTGCTTTCCAAGAACCACCTTCCGTCTGCAAATAGATAATGTCATGGGGTCATTTTTGAAATGTGAAATTGAGAAATAAGAGTGGAATCAGGTAGAAATAAAGTAAATAGGCATGTAGTTAACACTCTAAATTGTATAGAAATGCAAGAAATCAACAAGTTTATAGAAAAATGAGTGAAATCAACAAGGAATAAAGAAAAACAGACATGTAGTCAACACTCTACATTATGGAAATGCAAGAACATGAAGAAGTTTATTCTTTTGGAGAAATAGTCACTTCATTCAAAATTTTAAGAATTATTTAAAAACTAAGTCAAATCATACCACAGATGCGTCTATTTGTGAAACTAAAGCTACGTGTACTTTATTTTTGATATTATTATATTGTATAAAAAAATCAAGACCGAAAAAATACACACAAACAAAATAAATAGCAAAACCAATTTTAATATTTTTATCTTTGCCCAATCCTGTGTTTGACACTTTTGGTCCAATCGAGTTAATCTATGAGTGCACCAGAACACTGGAATTCACGATTTTATGATCCATTAATGAAAATTACCATTAGGCTTAATTGGATAAATATTTGAGATATTTACGGCGTACTAATCTGCCACTACTTTATTTTTTCTCAAGGTGGCTGGGTTACAGAGAAGTTTAAATCACTGTCCTACTTATTAATTACTCTATATCAGGGCTATATAAGTGGTTTGTACACAAATTGCAATTTGTTTTAATTTACTATTTGAACCGTATTCACACTACTTTTCCATAAAAGATCATCTACCCAATCTTGCTTAATTTATCACATTTTACACATTTCTTTCTCTAGGATTTCATGGAGGGCAAAATTTTCTTAAATTTCTACAAAATGTTGTGTGTTTTATTGATACATAAAGTTTATTTTGTTTGTTGCTTATTCCACTCAGTATGTTTTATTTCATGATTTAAGAAAAACAGAATTTTGTTCGTGGGAAAAATTGCAAGGGTCAATTTGAAACTCTGGCTATTTCCCGATTTCTCCAATTTTCTTTGTTTTTCTTTTAAAGTTATACAATGATCAATTTTAGATATTTTGTGATATTAAATTTTGAGTTGAGAATTTGGAATTATCTCAAAAAGATAGATACATGTATATCCTATATTGTCTATTATGGTTGAATTTGCAATCACTTGTAAAATATTTTATATCCAACATAGATTGTTCAACAGCACTTAAGAGTTTTTTAATGAAATATTCATACAGCTCGTAAATTGGCAAATAATGCTTTATTACAAGTACAAATAGGTTTTCTTCGGTTAATTCTGAGTAAAACATAATTAGACGTAAAAGAGGAAGGGACATTTTGAAATCAGATCTAGAGTTGAAAGATTATGAATTCTACACAATTCAAAAGGAAAGAAGGAATGGCACCTGTAAATTGTTCTGAGTCTTTGGAGATAAAAGGTAACCTTTGTTATTTTTATCATTTTTTGTATTCATGTACTTATTTTGATTTTTTAAAAAATAATATTAAGGGTTTCTCTACACAAAAAAATCAAGTAGATCAGAATTATATTCAGCATAATGCCATAGAATGTTTTATTTGTTTTTTGGTGAAATCATTTTTTTGTTTTTTTTATATCAACAGTCTGGATACTTGAATTTAAATAAACGAGTAGTTATTTTACCTACCAGCTTTTATTGTAATGATGCCCTGGGCATTTAAATGTAAGGACGGTCTAATTCCAAGTATGTTTTCATTCATAATAAATGCCCATGGGGTGTTTTAAGAAATCCCTTAACAAAGGTCTGGATATTTGAATTAAAACTCAGCATATCATATATATTGATATTGTGATTTAAAAAAAATTATCTATCAAAGATATAATAAAAAGAAAAAAATATTTTCAGATAAGTCGAAGAAAATCCGTCTGAGAACTAACTTTTCGTCATGGCAATTAGAAGAGCTTGAAGCTGTGTTCCGACTAACCCACTACCCAGATGTCTTCCTCAGAGAGGCCATTGCATTCAGACTGGACCTCAATGAGGAGAGAATTCAGGTTAGTGCTTGTATTTCAAATAATATTTAATCTGACCACGCCCATTCTCTGCTTTCTATCAATGAAGAGAGAATTCAGGTTAGTGCTTGTATTTCAAATAATATTTAATCTGACCACGCCCATTCTCTGCTTTCTATCAATGAAGAGAGAATTCAGGTTAGTGCTTGTATTTCAATATTTAATCTGACCATGCCCATTCTATGCTTTCTATCAATGAGGAGAGAATTCAGGTTAGTGCTTGTATTTCAATATTTAATATGCCCATTCTATGCTTTCTATCAATGAGGAGAGAATTCAGGTTAGTGCTTGTATTTCAAATAATATTTAATCTGACCATGCCCATTCTATGCTTTCTATCAATGAGGAGAGAATTCAGGTTAGTGCTTGTATTTCAATATTTAATATGCCCATTCTATGCTTTCTATCAATGAGGAGAGAATTCAGGTTAGTGCTTGTATTTCAAATAATATTTAATCTGACCATGCCCATTCTATGCTTTCTATCAATGAGGAGAGAATTCAGGTTAGTGCTTGTATTTCAATATTTAATATGCCCATTCTATGCTTTCTATCAATGAGGAGAGAATTCAGGTTAGTGCTTGTATTTCAAATAATATTTAATCTGACCATGCCCATTCTATGCTTTCTATCAATGAGGAGAGAATTCAGGTTAGTGCTTGTATTTCAATATTTAATATGCCCATTCTATGCGTTCTATCAATGAGGAGAGAATTCAGGTTAGTGCTTGTATTTCAATTAATATTTAATCTGACCATGCCCATTCTATGCTTTCTATCAATGAGGAGAGAATTCAGGTTAGTGCTTGTATTTCAATATTTAATATGCCCATTCTATGCTTTCTATCAATGAGGAGAGAATTCAGGTTAGTGCTTGTATTTCAAATAATATTTAATCTGACCATGCCCATTCTATGCTTTCTATCAATGAGGAGAGAATTCAGGTTAGTGCTTGTATTTCAATATTTAATATGCCCATTCTATGCTTTCTATCAATGAAGAGAGAATTCAGGTTAGTGCTTGTATTTCAATATTTAATCTGACCATGCCCATTCTATGCTTTCTATCAATGAGGAGAGAATTCAGGTTAGTGCTTGTATTTCAATATTTAATCTGACCATGCCCATTCTATGCTTTCTATCAATGAGGAGAGAATTCAGGTTAGTGCTTGTATTTCAATATTTAATATGCCCATTCTATGCTTTCTATCAATGAAGAGAGAATTCAGGTTAGTGCTTGTATTTCAATATTTAATCTGACCATGCCCATTCTATGCTTTCTATCAATGAGGAGAGAATTCAGGTTAGTGCTTGTATTTCAATATTTAATCTGACCATGCCCATTCTATGCTTTCTATCAATGAGGAGAGAATTCAGGTTAGTGCTTGTATTTCAATATTTAATATGCCCATTCTATGCTTTCTATCAATGAAGAGAGAATTCAGGTTAGTGCTTGTATTTCAATATTTAATCTGACCATGCCCATTCTATGCTTTCTATCAATGAGGAGAGAATTCAGGTTAGTGCTTGTATTTCAATATTTAATCTGACCATGCCCATTCTATGCTTTCTATCAATGAGGAGAGAATTCAGGTTAGTGCTTGTATTTCAATATTTAATATGCCCATTCTATGCTTTCTATCAATGAAGAGAGAATTCAGGTTAGTGCTTGTATTTCAATATTTAATCTGACCATGCCCATTCTATGCTTTCTATCAATGAGGAGAGAATTCAGGTTAGTGCTTGTATTTCAATATTTAATCTGACCATGCCCATTCTATGCTTTCTATCAATGAGGAGAGAATTCAGGTTAGTGCTTGTATTTCAATATTTAATATGCCCATTCTATGCTTTCTATCAATGAGGAGAGAATTCAGGTTAGTGCTTGTATTTCAATATTTAATCTGACCATGCCCATTCTATGCTTTCTATCTGTTGAACTGTGTACTCAATGCTAATTCCACCCATTTCACTCTATTTTGGATTCAAAATCTTGAAGGTTACAATTTAATACTCCGTCCCCTATGATATTTTTATTACCCTTGACTAGAGTTAAATTATTCCAACACTCTTAATATGAGTTAATTCTTTGATCTTGCTTGTATCGACTATAAAATGAGAACATCCTTATGAGAACCCGATCCTTACTGATACTTTCCCATCATAACTGCCATAAAAGCTCCATTTGAGATCACTAATATGTTATCAAGATCAAAACTGTGAAATCACTTGTAATAGTCAGAGGCGTATACAGCTTGGCCATTGGGGTTCAGGGTACATTGATGTTTATATTACAGGTGTGGTTCCAAAATAGGAGAGCAAAATGGAGGAAGACTCAGAAGCAAAGAGACAAGGGTAAGAAACCAGCTACCTGTGGAGTTCAGAGCTCACCCTGTACTGAACCTGGCAGTGGCAGGGATCACCCTGTACAAACTGGGCAAATGGGCTCCTCAATTTTAAGTGGACAATCCATTCTGGACAACCAGTCCTTATTAGCTAATCAATCCATATTAGCTGACCAGTCTATATTAGCTAATCAATCCATATTAGCAGGTGAAGCAATGTTAACGAGAACTCCATACGGAATCAATCGTTCTCTCCATGGCGATCATAATGGACAGGTACAAACAAGCCGATCCGTCCTTATAAGGCAATCTACACTACCCGGGCAGTCCATGACACCAGGGCCCTTATATGGACTAAATCACAACCAACGTGACACATCATACTCTTTCCCATCAGAGCTTGCGTTCCTTTACGCAGCACAAGGCTATGATTGGTTGACAAGAATGCGATATAATAACACACCAGGCCAAGACGTGACATTGAGAAATCACGAAAAACTTACAGAAAATGTGAACATTGACACTATGATGAGACATCATAGACATTTGACATTTGGGACTGCATTCATGCCACTCCCTAATGACATCACACATTACTCTTTAATGGACCTTCGTAAAAAGGCCAGAATGCATAGGTTGTAAATTAATGTCACAATACAGGGTGGGCCATAAAATTAAGATATGTGGAACATAGGGTGGGCCATAAAAATGGGGTATGTGGAAAATAGGGTGGGCCATAAAAATGGAGTACATGTATGTGGAATATAGGGTGGGCCATAAAAATGGGGTATGTGGAATATACGGTGGGCCATAAAAATAAGATGTGTGGAATACAGGGTAGGCCATAAAAATGGGGTATGTGGAAAATAGGGTGGGCCATAAAAATAAGATATGTGGAATACAGGGTGGGCCATAAAAATGGGGTATGTGGAATATAGGGTGGGCCATAAAAATAAGATATGTGGAATATAGGAATGGCCATAAAAATAAGATATGTGGAATATAGGGTTGGCCATAAAAATAAGATGTGTAGAATACAGGGTGGGCCATAAAAATAAGATGTGTGGAATATAGGGTGGGCCATAAAGATGGGGTATGTAGAATATATCTAATGGTGGGAAATTCAATGTTATATCATATGTAAACATTATGACAATTAAATATTTTTCTGTCATGGACCTCTGTAAAAAGGTGTGCATAGACTGTCATAATGTTTCTAAACAATGTTGATTACAGGGTGAACCATGAAAATGGGACAATTTGCATCAGGTAGAATATTCCGAAAGATGGAAGATTTAATTGGTTTTAATATTTTATAGATATTATGTCAATTATGTCATACATTTCTCCCTCATTAACCTCAATAAAAACAATACAGACTGTAATTCATTCATTATAAATACAGGGTGATCACGCCATAAAACTGAGTTTGTATCATTCTTTAGACAATTACAGGAAGGCCAGTTTTACCCTTTGTTGTATTTTTACCCGATCAAATGTGAAATTGATGGAGGTAGAATATATTTAACTTACCTCTCTAAAAAATTTCTAGCTAATGCCTTGGTCACATATGCTCCGATCCATCAGCCAGCGCCCGGCCGATTGAGTGTTTTGTTCAATATTGTATTTAATTTTGAACAAATATGCTCCGATCCATCGGCCAGCGCCCAGCCGATTGAGTGTTTTGTTCGATATTGTATTCAATTTTGAACAAAATACTCAATCGACCGGGCGCCGTAGTGAAAATCGGATAAAATGTGACCAAGGCATAATGGAGGGTACAGAGTGATCAATAACGATTAATCATCAATTAATGATCTGTAATAAGAACAATAAGTTACAACATATAGAAGATTTCACTTACTTGATTGGAGGATGTACATTGAAGATGATTTGTGCCCTAGGTGGCGCCCACTCCATGTTGCCACGGATACGCATCTAAAATACAAGAAACATTCTTCAATTGCATATTGGAGCACTAACAATCATTTACTCAATTAATTTTTCTTCAGAAAACAACAATAAATCCTGCCATCTTTATTTTACAAAAGAAGCTCTGACCAGATTTAAAGTTCAAAAACAATATTCTAGTATAAAGTTTGTCAATATTATCTATAAGCTATTTTCTATTTATGTTAGGAAAAATTGCTACCCACAAACTAAGACATCAGCCTGGCCAATATATCCTGGTTTCTTAAGCATAACAAACAAGGCTTTCACATGCAAAATGTCAACACCTGCCATTTGCTACAGATGCCTAACGCTAAACACCAACAGCCGAATACCATTCATAAAAATGTTGGAGACTATATAGCAGTATGTCATCACTTCTGATGGTGACTTAAAATTAGGAAGGTCCACTCTTCTGATAACTTTATGAGTACACCTGACAAAGGCCAGGCAATCTGAAATAGCCTAAAAGATGTCAAATATCGCTTATCTGAGGGTGTGTCTGAAATTAGTCAATCAGAACTAACCTTTTTATCGTCCTGCCAATCATCTGGTGATACTGGGAAGCTGTTTGGAAGTGGGAGGAGCTACAAATAAAAGAAGTAACATAACTATTTAAAATTAAAATTTTTTGGATAAGTCAACTTTTGATGAAATTGCCAAAAATGAAACATGCGACATATTTCACATGATGATCCGTGAAAAAAATGATCCGTGGTCTAAAATCTGTATAGTTTCTGATATTTTCATGCATTTTAAAATGCTTATATGCAATTACTCAGATGCGAGTAGGTAGTTACCAACTTCGCCACCAGGTGGCTGATTCGGGGGAATTAACATGGCAGGGTATTACAAAATTCCCTTAAACTTGAATATGCATCAGTTTTAGTGGTTCACTTTTCATATTACCTTTATGTATCTGATAGTTATATAAATTAAAATATGTCCAGTAAAAGAAAAAATTATCTGCCCAACACAAGAAAAGATATTTCACTTTTTGTGGTTTTACAACATGGGGTCTATGGGGAATCTCCCCGACCTAAAAGTCACATTTTCAAAGAAAATTAAATTTTCATAGTTGATAAACTCTTTTCAAAACCACATTTCTAAATGCAATTTTACATGTAGATTGCAAATATGACACCAGTTTGACTGAATTGTGAATTTTTAATAACGTAAATCAAGATTATTTCTACTCGCATCTTGGATATTGCATTTCAAAACATCGCAACCAAGACATTTTCCTTCACTTTTCTTGAAAGAAATATACAAGTACATGTTATCTAAGATTATTTCATGCTCATGCATATTTCTTTCTGAAATTTGAATAAACAACTTAATGTTTTAAGATTTCTATACAATTTAGAGTGTTGACTACATGCCTGTTTACTTTATTCCTTGCTGATTCCTCTCATTTCTCTCTAAAATTTGACTGAAATGCATGATTTTCTTGCATTTCTATACAATTTAAAGAGTACACTACATGCCTGTTTACTTTATTCCTTGCTGATTCCTCTCTTTTCTCTCTAAAATTTGACTGAAATGCATGATTTTCTTGCATTTCTATACAATTTAAAGAGTACACTACATGCCTGTTTACTTTATTCCTTGCTGATTCCTCTCATTTCTCTCTAAAATTTGATTGAAGTGTCTGATTTTCTTGCATTTCTATACAATCTAGAGTGTTGACTACATGCCTGTTTACTTTATTTCTTGCTAATTTCACTCTTTTCCACTCTATTTTGCATTTTAAAACACGACCACCTTGTCTGATTTCTTGCATTTCTATACAATTTAGAGTGTTGTCTACATTTCTCTTTACTTTATTACTTGCTGATTCAACTCATTTCCACTCTATTTCTCATTTCAAAACACAACCCCCACATCAATTTCCTAAATAACTTACAGCTTGTGGTGCATCCTGTTCCGAGACTAACCACACAAGATCAGAGGCTTTTGGCAACTGGTTCTCTGAGAATCTCTTCAATAGAGAAATTGCGACCGTCTCAGCCGAGTGCAATGTCTGAATACTCTCAGTCAAAGACCTGGAATGAAAGATTTTTATTTTTTCCTCAATATTTTTTATTCATTCTTATTCCATTAGTTTACAAAAGTATATTTTGCCTCAAAATGCCTCAATTCAATTTTGATCAGTCGAAATGCAGTCAATTTCTGTAACTATTTATGGCCTATATTAGAGTTCGAATTTAATGCCATTTTACTTCATTACTCTCACATATTCATTTTCAAATTTTCAGACATTTCACTTTTTATTATTTACGACAGAATTGCACAAGCTCAAGAATCTTATTTCATTTATTTATTTATTCTTTTATCAATTCCCTCTTTTTAATTTTTCTTTTTTTGTTCTTGATGGCAGAAATGGTCTATACAATTGACAAATCTAGAAGTAAATGATTTAACTCTAAATATGAAGCAAATGTTTATCATGAATTTGCCTTGTCTATTAAAATTGTGAATATGTTGAACACAACAATACATACCCCTGTCTATCTATGCTAGGCCTATGTGGGTGTTGAATCAGCTGTCTATCTATGCTAGGCCTATGAGGATTCTGTATTAATTGCTGATTCTGCCTAACAAGATCTGCATCTTGAAAAACATCCATAAAACATACTTAAATTTGTATTTGTTTTAAGTATACTCATATTTATCCTATGCCAAGTAGAGTTTTAGGGAGATAAGTTGGTAAGATATATCCCGTATCCTGATTTTGAGGTTTCCATATCCAGAACCTCAATATCTCCCGCCATATCTCCCGCTTCCGGTGCATATCTTCCCGCTTCCGGTGCATATCTTCTTGCTTCCGGTAATGCAATAAAATGACTTTGCATATGAATGATTTGTCTATTTTTACACCTTGTACTATTGAAATGGCCATATGCCCCTGAAAACTCTACTAGGTATAGGATAAAGCAGTTATGTATGGTCGGTTTGGATATTGGGTTCATCCCTCATGAGATATGCACATCTACCTTCGGTCCCTCAGGTAGATATGCATATCTCCCTCTGGATAAACCCCATATCCAAAACCTCCCAGTACATAACCCTTAAATATTCTGTACTCTAGTTGGCCCTTTATATGATCATACAATTATCAATTTGAAAATATATCCAGGGAAAAGATTGTTTCAGTAAAAGCAACTAACAATGAGATATTTCATGATTAGAATTCTCATTATAATTAACTGATACTAATGAAATGAGTGGAATTTGTCAAAATGTGAATATTATCACAACAGAATACATAGTTTAAAATGAAAATATAATGCATTTTGTTAAAATCATGTTGAAATATGATATTTCATCCAAGTGTGGAACTACCTTAAAACGTTTTACACAAAATAACACAATCTTACCAGAATACATGGAAGCCATTGACAGGGAGAGTCCACTCTCTCTCAGGGAAGACAGGTTAGAGCCTGTAGTCTCTGTTTCGTCTGAAAAATATGATCGAGAATACAATTCACATAAACCATGCATGTAGGGTATACCACAAATCAAGGTGGATTATATCATGGGTGTAATCCCACGGAATTTAAAACACATTCAATTCTCAAATTGGTATTTTTGGATGCAGATTCATCAGAAATGCTCAGAGAGCACAGTATAAGATTTTCTGAATTCCAGGGGATTTTATCTCCATATATGGTGCTGCACCCATGAATACCATATTTGGTAATGCTAGTATGGTGTATTTATTCTAAAGGAAATACAAGGAAATCTTAGTTACTAAATAAGTTCAAGGGTAAAGGCAAGGGTTTTACTAATATGAATAGTTATGTACCGATATGCTAATATTACTAGAAGCTCAAAATATTTAGAAACTGTGTAGTTGTGGATTCAGAATTTAAAAATGAGCAGGGACTTATATTGAATATCTATGGGGGCTAATACGAATTTTTAAAAATCACAATGAGCAGTACCTTCAACTTCATGATCATGTACTTCACCCTCACTGAAGTCACTGCTGTCGTCTGCAAACATAACATTGAACACCCCTTCATATCACTTAGACTGACCCATATTGGAAAGTGGAACAGTCTACTTGATGAAGAAAGGGGTGTCAAGTCTTGCTAATTTAATGTACTAATGGTCAAGGAGGATTGACGGAATTCATATATCTTTAGAATTGGTCAATAGTGAGCCATATTTTTTCCATAAATGATTGCATTTCCATGATAATATGGAAATGGTAAAAATAGTAAGACTTTTTTCAACCATTGAAATGATTAAAATCAAGGTCAAAACAAACTTTGATAAACCTAGGTGATAAATATTGAGCAATAACAATAATGCCAATCCTCCTTTAAATGTAAGGTAATGTTCAGAATAGAAGGAGTCTTAATTACTTTTAAAATTATATAAAGCTCTACATGGTGCAAGAATCCTTATTAACAGCTACTGTATCTTTACTGAATTAATAAACTTATTTTTATAAGATAATATTGGACTTGAAGCAAAACACCTGACCAAGATGTTAACCCAACACAACCAAGACGTTATGAAATTCACCAGATAACGTCCTAGTTGCTGAAGTGAGGGAATTCTCGATCGAGCTGCTGGATATACATGTATTTGCTTGTGACTGGCAAGCTTTTCAGTAACTTGATGTTACTATTAACAAGAAAAAAGATATTCTGGATTTTGGAGCCCTGCATACAGAATATGATGAACATACTTTTAATAAAAAATATGAAAATTTAAACATGGTGCTAAAGAGTATGTAAAAATTCAAGGTTTAATAAAATAGAACTGAATCAAAGCGGAGTAAACTGAATTCCAAATCAGAAAAAAATCTTGTAACATACAGTAAAATGTGTAAGAATTGTTTTCTTTGTATGATAATAGAATTGTGCTGCAGATCCAACAGGAAGTAGTTGCCCACAGATGTACAGTGGTAGAAAATGTGAAATTTGCATTGCTGCATCAATGACACATGTGATGAGTGGTAGAAAGTGTGGAATTTGCATTGCTGCATCAATGACACGTGTGATGAGTGGTAGAAAGTGTGGAATTTGCATTGCTGCATCAATGACACATGTGATGAGTGGTAGAAAGTGTGGAATTTGCATTGCTGCATCAATGACACGTGTGATAAGTGGTAGAAAGTGTGGAATTTGCATTGCTGCATCAATGACAAGTGTGATGAGTGGTAGAAAGTGTGGAATTTGCATTGCTGCATCAATGACACGTGTGATAAGTGGTAGAAAGTGTGGAATTTGCATTGCTGCATCAATGACACGTGTGATGAGTGGTAGAAAGTGTGGAATTTGCATTGCTGCATCAATGACACGTGTGATGAATGGTAGAAAGTGTGGAATTTGCATTGCTGCATCAATGACACATGTGATGAGTGGTAGAAAGTGTGGAATTTGCATTGCTGCATCAATGACACGTGTGATAAGTGGTAGAAAGTGTGGAATTTGCATTGCTGCATCAATGACAAGTGTGATGAGTGGTAGAAAGTGTGGAATTTGCATTGCTGCATCAATGACACGTGTGATAAGTGGTAGAAAGTGTGGAATTTGCATTGCTGCATCAATGACACGTGTGATGAGTGGTAGAAAGTGTGGAATTTGCATTGCTGCATCAATGACACGTGTGATGAATGGTAGAAAGTGTTGAATTTGCATTGCTGCATCAATGACACCTGTGATGAATGGTAGAAAGTGTGGAATTTGCATTGCTGCATCAATGACACGTGTGATGAGTGGTAGAAAGTGTGGAATTTGCATTGCTGCATCAATGACACATGTGATGAGTGGTAGAAAGTGTGGAATTTGCATTGCTGCATCAATGACACGTGTGATAAGTGGTAGAAAGTGTGGAATTTGCATTGCTGCATCAATGACAAGTGTGATGAGTGGTAGAAAGTGTGGAATTTGCATTGCTGCATCAATGACACGTGTGATAAGTGGTAGAAAGTGTGGAATTTGCATTGCTGCATCAATGACACGTGTGATGAGTGGTAGAAAGTGTGGAATTTGCATTGCTGCATCAATGACACGTGTGATGAATGGTAGAAAGTGTTGAATTTGCATTGCTGCATCAATGACACCTGTGATGAATGGTAGAAAGTGTGGAATTTGCATTGCTGCATCAATGACACCTGTGATGAGTGGTAGAAAGTGTGGAATTTGCATTGCTGAATTAATGACACGTGTGATAAGTGGTAGAAAGTGTGGAATTTGCATTGCTGCATCAATGACATGTGTTATGAGTGGTAGAACGTGTGGAATTTGCATTGCTGCATCAATGACACGTGTGATAAGTGGTAGAAAGTGTGGAATTTGCATTGCTGCATCAATGACACCTGTGATGAGTGGTAGAAAGTGTGGAATTTGCATTGCTGCATCAATGACACGTGTAATGAGTGGTAGAAAATGTGGAATTTGCATTGCTGCATCAATGACACCTGTGATGAGTGGTAGAAAGTGTGGAATTTGCATTGCTGAATTAATGACACGTGTGATGAGTGGTAGAAAATGTGGAATTTGCATTGCTGCATCAATGACACGTGTAATGAGTGGTAGAAAATGTGGAATTTGCATTGCTGCATCAATGACACCTGTGATGAGTGGTAGAAAGTGTGGAATTTGCATTGCTGCATCAATGACACGTGTAATGAGTGGTAGAAAGTGTGGAATTTGCATTGCTGCATCAATGACACGTGTAATGAGTGGTAGAAAGTGTGGAATTTGCATTGCTGCATCAATCACACCTGTGATGAGTGGTAGAAAGTGTGGAATTTGCATTGCTGCATCAATGACACCTGTGATGAGTGGTAGAACGTGTGGAACTTGCATTGCTGCATCAATGACACCTGTGATGAGTGGTAGAAAGTGTGGAATTTGCATTGCTGAATTAATGACACGTGTAATGAGGTGTAGAAAATGTGGAATTTGCATTGCTGCATCAATGACACATGTAATGAGTGGTAGAAAGTGTGGAATTTGCATTGCTGTGTCAATGACACATGTAATAATGAGTGGTAGAAAGTGTGGAATTTGCATTGCTGCATCAATGACACGTGTAATGAGTGGTAGAAAGTGTGGAATTTGCATTGCTGCATCAATGACACATGTGATGAGTGGTAGAAAGTGTGGAATTTGCATTGCTGCATCAATGACAAGTGTGATGAGTGGTAGAAAGTGTGGAATTTGCATTGCTGCATCAATGACACGTGTGATGAGTGGTAGAATGTGTGGAATTTGCATTGCTGCATCAATGACACGTGTGATGAATGGTAGAAAGTGTGGAATTTGCATTGCTGCATCAATGACACCTATGATGAGTGGTAGAAAGTGTGGAATTTGCATTGCTGCATCAATGACACGTGTGATGAGTGGTAGAAAGTGTGGAATTTGCATTGCTGCATCAATGACACATGTGATGAATGGTAGAAAGTGTGGAATTTGCATTGCTGCATCAATGACACGTGTGATGAATGGTAGAAAGTGTTGAATTTGCATTGCTGCATCAATGACACATGTGATGAGTGGTAGAAAGTGTGGAATTTGCATTGCTGCATCAATGACACCTATGATGAGTGGTAGAAAGTGTGGAATTTGCATTGCTGCATCAATGACACGTGTGATGAGTGGTAGAAAGTGTGGAATTAGCATTGCTGCATCAATGACACGTGTGATGAGTGGTAGAAAGTGTGGAATTAGCATTGCTGCATCAATGACACCTGTGATGAGTGGTAGAAAGTGTGGAATTTGCATTGCTGCATCAATGACACCTATGATGAGTGGTAGAAAGTGTGGAATTTGCATTGCTGCATCAATGACACGTGTGATGAGTGGTAGAAAATGTGGAATTTGCATTGCTGCATCAATGACACGTGTGATGAATGGTAGAAAGTGTGGAATTTGCATTGCTGCATCAATGACACCTGTGATGAGTGGTAGAAAGTGTGGAATTTGCATTGCTGAATCAATGACATGTGTGATGAGTGGTAGAAAGTGTGGAATTTGCATTGCTGAATCAATGACATGTGTGATGAGTGGTAGAAAGTGTGGAATTTGCATTGCTGCATCAATGACAAGTGTGATGAGTGGTAGAAAGTGTGGAATTTGCATTGCTGCATCAATGACACCTGTGATGAGTGGTAGAAAGTGTGGAATTTGCATTGCTGAATCAATGACATGTGTGATGAGTGGTAGAAAGTGTGGAATTTGCATTGCTGAATCAATGACATGTGTGATGAGTGGTAGAAAGTGTGGAATTTGCATTGCTGCATCAATGACACCTGTGATGAGTGGTAGAAAGTGTGGAATTTGCATTGCTGAATCAATGACATGTGTGATGAGTGGTAGAAAGTGTGGAATTTGCATTGCTGCATCAATGACATGTGTGATAAGTGGTAGAAAGTGTGGAATTTGCATTGCTGAATCAATGACATGTGTGATGAGTGGTAGAAAGTGTGGAATTTGCATTGCTGAATCAATGACATGTGTGATGAGTGGTAGAAAGTGTGGAATTTGCATTGCTGCATCAATGACACCTGTGATGAGTGGTAGAAAGTGTGGAATTTGCATTGCTGAATTAATGACACGTGTAATGAGCTATATCAACTTTCTTTCATTTCAAAACCTTTAAAATCTTTGGAAGTTATTGCATGGCTTAGATCATCCATAATAAAGATATTTCAAAATTGGGAAAAGAAAATATTTTTCTTGCGAAATTAGCTCAACATTTTAGAATAGTGACTGATGTTTTTAATATCATTAGGATTTGATTGAAGGAAATTTTAAAGGAAAATATTTTTATTTTGGTTAGAAAGGACTTGTGTTCAAAGACATGTCAAGAGTCTGACATTTTTCTTTAAAACTGAAGTAAATCAAAAGAGCTAAGGTTCAAGGTCAAGGACGGCTTTGGTGGCAGGAAATCAAACAGTAGGACGTCACTGATGAATGATGCAGTTATATCTGGAAACTATGATAAACTAGTTATTTAAGGTAAGTAAAGGGGGATCCTCAGTTTTTATATCAAAAGAGATGTTGCAAGTTAATTTAGCAGTTAAATCTAAGGCAATGAAAACATTGAAATAACCATGTTGCTGAAAGGCATCATTTAATTATGCAAAGAAGCAATTAAGTTGAATTGATGAATTGTAACCCAGACAATAATTACATCTAAAGGCGTTCATCCAATAAATCCGAGACGCTTTGTTCAATAAATAAACTGAGAGTCATCTAAGTTATCTAATCGTAGCATTGCTGGGTCTTGAGCAAGCTCTGTATTTTTAAAAGTGAGATGGGAAAAGCTGGAATAATTCTCCTGGTAGAACTTGCAGTTTATATCACTGGTGTAGTGTCAGATGATGGCTATATAGGACAGTGGGCCAATGAGGTATTCATCTTAATTGTTGACAGTTGTATAAAAAACAAATGATTCTTGATGGGTTACCTTCACCTCCTGTGTGCTTTATACAGAAAATATCCTAATACACTTGTATGTTATGTCTTTAAAAATTGTTACAAGTTTTTCAGGCAATTTTGAGCAATCCATTGAATATGGTAACACAATATGATGTAAAAATGTAAGAAATAATAAAGAAATCAGGATAAAATAGCAAAAGGTTTGATGTTTAAGGACAGTTGAGCAATGGGGTTGTCGAGTTGACCGAGAGGGTTTGAGCGCCAGCACGTTCAGGCTAGGTGATTGGGCGCCGTAACCACGAGGTTGTGAGTTCGAGACGCGTGCTCCTTGTGTTTATTCATTTAAGAATTACTTTTTTGTATTACAACAGGATTGTGCTGAAAATCCCATGGGGATACTTTGTCCTCAGCTAGAGCAAGGCCAAGGATGTGGAATTTGTAAAAGAGCCACAATGATACGTGAGATGAGTGGAAACTGTGTAGGGGAACTGGAGTGCACATGTACGCATTACAAAAGCCAACCAATAGCTGGCACAAATGGTGAAGAAATAACTGCCAGGTGTGGTAACTATGGACATGCTGAATATGATGATCACCATGATCATCTTTGAATTAATCTGTATAATCAATGGTGCCATCTTGGATACAAAAGACAGAAATTATATTATATGTGAAACATGCCATTTAAAGAAATAAATGAAGAAAAAGTGCAAAGGAGTGGTTTATGCATTCATAAGAACAATAAGATAATAATAACAATGAAATCATTTTTCCCATCTCAATGACAAAAAATGATAAATGAATACCAATCACATAATGAACAATCTGCAACATAAAAAATAAATAAGCATGGAGTGAAAAACTGTTTACACCATGTCCCTATTGTTAGGTATTCGAGTGAAGATTTCAATAGACAACTTAAAAATATTAATGTTCAGGTAATTAAAAGTCAAGAGAATGGCGCATTAAGATTTTCAAATTTCATTATATGAGGGGGGGGGGGGGGTCACCATAACAAATCTGAAATAGTTTTTACAACTTTTAACATTTTGATACAGGACCAAGTAGTGTAATGCTGTCCCATTTTGTTTGCAATACACTATGTGGTCCTTTCCTAACTTAGTGATTTCCATTTTCTATATGCTAAGCTATGTTATTTTTATATGTAAATGAATAAATAATTGTTACCTGAATCAGACAAAGAGGAGTTGATGCTGTGCGGAGATGAAGTGCTAGTTGCTAGAAATTACAACAAACAAGATTGAAATGACAACGTACAAAATTGAATCTACAACAAACGAAATTGAAAATACAACGAGCAATACTGAAATAGCAAGATAAATTACAACAAATAAGATCCAAATTAAAAATCAGTGCCTATTTGCTAGACTTTCAGTTTTTAAAGTTAACATGTAAAGAATTCATGCAATGATTAAGAATATAATCCAAGCTACTACAACATTGAAATAAAGTAATAATATCATATTTAAACATAAAACATTGAATTCAAAAAGAAGCTTAACTTACTGTCTGTGCGTCCATCACTGAATGCTGGGAAACCCCTTGCTTTCTGAAAAAAAATTCAGAATTTCCAAAGTAAACATTTTGCCTACTTGCTGAACTTCAAAAATTCTAAAATCTGATCAACAAATCTTTAATCATCTTAACTTGAACATCTTAAATTCAATCAGATTTTATTGTTCCACGCCCTTATTACAACCAATTTCATCAGGGGTCATTTCTTGCTTACACTCATTTTTCTTGCTTTTTAAATTCTAAAACATTACCCTTGAACATTTTTCAAAGGTTTACCTCCTTCATTCTTTCCCGACGTCGTATTCTAATTCGTTGTTTTAATCGTTGTATCTCCTCATCTGATTCATATTCAATATCAGACTCTCTTGTAGGACGTATCACCTAGGGAAAAAGTAGAAAATGTTAACTGACGATTTTTGAAAAGCAAAATGGCCAACTTGTGAATTACCCAATCAGACTCTCTTGTGGGACGTATCACCTAGGGAAAAAGTAGAAAATGTTAACTGACGATTTTTGAAGAGCAAAATGGCCAACTTGTGAATTACCCAATCAGACTCTCTTGTGGGACGTATCACCTAGGGAAAAAGTAGAAAATGTTAACTGACGATTTTTGAAGAGCAAAATGGCCAACTTGTGAATTACCCAATCAGACTCTCTTGTGGGACGTATCACCTAGGGAAAAAGTAGAAAATGTTAACTGACGATTTTTGAAAAGCAAAAGGGCCAACTTCTGAATTACCTAATCAGACTCTCTTGTGGGACGTATCACCTAGGGAAAAAGTAGAAAATGTTAACTGACGATTTTTGAAAAGCAAAATGGCCAACTTGTGAATTACCCAATCAGACTCTCTTGTGGGACGTATCACCTAGGGAAAAAGTAGAAAATGTTAACTGACGATTTTTGAAGAGCAAAATGGCCAACTTGTGAATTACCCAATCAGACTCTCTTGTGGGACGTATCACCTAGGGAAAAAGTAGAAAATGTTAACTGACGATTTTTGAAAAGCAAAATGGCCAACTTGGGAATTACCCAATCAGACTCTCTTGTAGGACGTATCACCTAGGGAAAAAGTAGAAAATGTTAACTGACGATTTTTGAAGAGCAAACTGGCAAACTTGTGAATTACCCAGCATGCCCAAAGATAATCAAGTCTTGAAACTAGTCTGCTTTTTCACCTGTAAAAATCTCAAGTTGAATAAATAAGCGGTTTCCTGGAATTTTGATGACAATAGTTAACCCAGCATGCCCTAACCGGATCTTGGTACAAGTCTGCTTTCACATCTATATAAATTGAATGTTCATCAGATGAATGGTTTTCTTGCTATCATGATGACAGAATTAATTTACTCCCTATGGGCAAAAGTACATTATGAGAACAACAATATAGCACCTTTAAGAGTGATAAAAATCATGAAAGGTGTCAAACTAATTAGGAAGAGGTGTATGTTTGAAGATGGAATCAACAATACAAATCAGAAAGTTAAATTTTTAAGCCATTCGTGATTTGATGGCTGGTTAATGTATAAACACTAACAAACAAAAAACAAACAAACATACCTGGTTCCACTTCATCTGCTCAATGGCTGCAATCAATGCTTCTGAAATACTAAAATGTGCGTTCTCTTTATCCAACTCAGCACATGTATGAAAGTCTTGAGAAGACAGAAAGTTAAGCAGGGATTGTCCCTGGGTGGGACGTGGGAAGTAGCACTCTGTTGGATGGATGATACTACCCCCTCCCCCAGAGTCTAAAAAACTGGGGGTGGGGAGACTTTGTTGTAAAGAAGAGGGTTCGGGTTGGTAAGGCACACCAAAATCAGACATTGATCGTACATGTACAATTTTCCGAGGTGTGCTTGTGGTTTGTGTAACTCCTTGGGGGTGAATATTAACAGCAGTTTCATTGGCCAATGTACCGTCTGGTGCATCAAATGTGAAAGAGTTTGAAGCATTTTCATTGGTTAGTCTAGTATAAGCACCTTCACTTCTGGCACGTATATCCCGAGTTTGTATATCCATATTTGGCAATGGTGACGTTTCAGTCTCAACATTTTGAGCACTTAGCATCTGATCCTTCATAGCACCGTTTATTTTCTTCTCATTGGTGACAGTTTTCAGAGAACTACTACTTTTCCGTTTTTGTGTTCTTTTCCCAGATTTCCCATTTTTTGATTTAGAGCTTATGTTTATAGGGGAGCCAAGGGTTCCGAATGCACTCATATAAGCATTGCCATTAAATGTACTCGGGGGCCCCTTGGCCTCACCATTATCATAGTTCACATCCAGTGCAATGTCTGACATCATCACAGGGTCTGTATTTGTAGAATAAAGCTGGTCTTTCTCAAATGTCTTTACACCAGATTTTTCTAACACTTCGAGGAGGGCGTCTTTAGCTGACCTTGACCCTCCATCAGGGCTACTCCCTGCAAATATAAAACCACTATGATTTTTTTTATAGTTTTATGGTTCCTTTGTTGAAACGTTACATTATATTCAACATTGACAGGTCCTAAGCCAATGCATTATTGTCCCTGTAAGTTACATTATTTGATTAACATTTACAGACATCTCTTTTGTTTGGTAAAATGACTTTCGAAACTCATGTAGATGCACGTTTACTAAAATGATTTGTATTATTTTTTCAAAGAATTTTTTTTTTTAAATATCTAAATTTTAATTTAAGTTTATTAGTACATGTATTATTAAGAACCACTATTGCATGAAGAATGTCACAATGCCATTGTTTTAAATGTTAAATTGCCTGTGCTTTATAATGTCAGATTGCAAATTACAGTTAAACATGTCTAACCCAAATGCCACTTGGACTGCCGTTAGGATTAGCAGGTGCTCACATTTCCAGGTTTCTTAAAATGTGAATCAATGGGAGATAACACAATTAAGGGGAGGCATCAAAAGTTCGATGTCGGATAGAAAACTTAATAAATGAATAAACGCACGGAGCACACCGCGTCTCGAACTCGCAACCTCGTGGTTACGGCGCCCAATCGCCTAGCCTGAACGTGCCTGGCGCCTAAGCCCTCTCGGCCAACTCGACAACCTCAAAAAAAGTTGTTTTGTTAGTCGATCTGACTAGGGGCAGCTGATGTTAACGCTCAAACACACCAGAGGAAGCACAGTTGACATTCCCTACCCTTTCAATTAGCCACCCTTTCTAGTTAGGGGGGGGGAGGGGGTTCAAACCCATTTCAGTTTGCTATCCAACAAATTTCAACATTTCAAATTTTTGGCTATTTCGACTCAGAATGCCTTGGAATGGTTTAAAAATAAAGATTTTACCTGATGCTTTCTTCGTTAAGATCATTCCAATGGTTTGAAGCCGCAAATTACGATAGGAATTAACAAAAAAAACTAGATCATGTTTAGTAATAATTTTTCAAATTCTCGAACCGGAAGTCAGCGATCAACTTTCATGGTATTTAGTTTTGGGGGGAGGGGGGGGGGGGGGGTCAGAGTCAAAACTAGATTTATTTAGTTTCCGATCCGACATCGAACTTTTGATGCCTCCCCTAAGACCAAAAGAAAGTGTTCACATTGAGAGGTGTCTGGATAAGACAGGTGTGTGAATATATAGGTTTAACTGTATATATAAAGGTAAGTGTGAACACTGTGTACATATAGAATTTTTTTCAATCCTCATTGAAGTCACTTGTTATTTTCAGGACCACGCTACTCATTTCATATACAGTCTACATCTTTCACTTTCACACAAGAGTACAGAGAAAAGTGGTTTTGTGAAATTTTTGACAAATATAAAATTCAATGACATACTTTTTAAAAGTACACAATAAGTAAGTCACTGAATTTTCTTATTTTTCAAACATTTTACAATACATTTTCCTAGGTACATAAATGCACTCTCTGTGCAAAACTGAAAGATTTAGACTCTATATGGAATGAGTTATGTGTTCCTGAAAATAACATGTGACTCCATTTGAGGATTGCATATAAATTCTACATTAAGGTGCTCCTAGTTCAATAACATTTACAATTGTTAATGGATGGGAATATCAGTATACATATCAGGCCCGTAGCCAGGATTTGCCAAGGGGGGGGGTTCAGTTTTCAAAAATTTCCAGGGGGGGTTCACATTTGACAATTTTGGCCCAAATATGGCTAAAATCACTTGAGAAGTGTTCAAAATGGTGAAAAACTGCATGATTTTGAAAGAATTTTTGGCCAGGGGGGGGGGGGGGTTCGCCCGAACCCTGCGAACCCCCCCTGGCTACAGGACTGCATATACAATCCTTACATCAGTATCTCATTAAGCCCTTGCACCCCCCCCTCTTCCATTGTATAGCTTATATGAAAATACGTCAAAACAAGACTAGTCTTATGTAAAAGTCCAAAGGAAGATCATTACCTTATCAAGTCAAACTTACCCTTCGTGTCTGGCATAGCATGCTCATCAGACATCGTCAAAATAGATTCACTTTTTGGTGATGAAAAAGGTGGCGCCAGTGGGTCGTCTGTTAGTCTCCTCATTATTGCTTCTGGGTCAGGGATGTCTTCAGTGACAGTGTTAATAGGTAGTGAAGCACTCCTTATATGGGAGATTTTACGATGTTTGTTCAGCTGGAAACACAAAATTATGGTACATTACAATGTATCTATCGGCAAAGCTGACACCCTGCAATGGCGCTGGAATGCCGTCCGCATTTTGTGGTCACTTCTGATGCATCTCGTGGCCAATGATGGCGAAACACAGGTAAAATCCGTCCTTACCATGAGGTTCTACACTATACTACTGTACTATACAATATTTTGTATATTGAACATTTTTTAGAAAACATTAGAATAGCAATAGCAATAGAAAGCCAATGATTTGGATACACCACTCATAGTTTGTAAAACAATTTCTATATTATGTACAAGTACATACAAATAGTATATTTTTCATGGAAGCAATATGTAATATGCTTACATTATGCCTTTAGGTGGTTGATAGCAAGTGATATAAAATTTACTGATTGTTTATTCAGTGACCATCCTTGTTGTATCTGTTATCATTTATATTACTATATTCCTTTTTAAAAATTTTCTGAGTGTGGAACTACCTTAACACGGAAAGATGGCGTGACATAATAATTCAGTAGTGTTATTTCAGTGCATATATTATCATCTATATGTCCTTCATCAACCGCAACCTTTTATAACATCATGTTCTATAGCCATGGATGTGACCTTTCATGGATTTGATCGATCATGTTTAATAAACGAAATGAAATATCATTTCATCGTATTACTAAGTGCTGAAAAATGATGGTGGCAATTGCAGAGAGCAACTTTGGACGACTAATATTTCTATTATTTTGCCTCTTTGGGGTTGTCAAAACAGAAGGTAGGAATCGATATTATCAAAGCTAAAACAACTAAGATTTTGTTTGGCAAAACTGTTTTTCACAATATTGTTTGTTTTGTTTTCTCTTTCTAATTTAGTACAGCTTCAGGAAAGCCATGCTCAATTATCTTGAGTATAATTGGAATTTGAAATTCCAAACAGCTACTGTACCTTTTTGACATTATTTTAAAACTAAGTTCAAAAAGGGGATTTTTTGAAGAAAGAAAACTCAAGATGGAGGTGAGGGTTTCTTTGAAATTAGACAATTAAAGGGTGATTTTCTTTAAAATAATGCAAAGTAAGGGGAAATGTTATAACCTTTTCCTGACCAATCACGCTAAGCTAAAATAAAATGACCTTGAAGTTGGTTCAGAATAAAAACACAGTGCTTAGATTTAATTTGTATTCTTTTTTATGTTTTATCTTTTAGAATATATAGTACTATACTTTCATGGGGTAAACTTACTAAATGACATGTTAAAATGGTTTAAAAGACAACAAACGAAAATTCTGCATAAATTAGTTAGTTCTGGGCACGAAAGAGTTAAGGATAAATTTTCTTTAATTGGAATGAGATATTTTCTTTAAAAACATGAAAATTAAGAGATTTCCATCAAAGATGATTTTTTCATTTTGTGTTAAACGTATTATTAAATAGCAAAAATGATATGCATTGAATGATATCTCATTTCCTGGAGAAAATTGCCAGGAGTTAATGCATTATTGGCCCGCCACTATAACGTCACATATTGCTCAGGTCGATATAGTAAAATAAATGCCTTCTAAACTAGCACTAAAACCCCTAGAACAGGCCGGGCAAGGTAGTAATAATATACATTGTATGATGTTCATTTTGAAATTATTCCTGTTCAGAAAAATTGTAAACATTCTTATATATAGATTGTATAAATAGAACAAAAGAGCAACACAGATGATTGCAAACAGTTCCAATTATTGTAGTTAGTATCACCCTCGGTATATGCAGATACCAATGATGTTGTACCATGTTGTACTTTTAGAAAAATGTGATGCTCCTCACCCATACAAACCAGCATATGGAAGAAGGTCTCAAGGCAGAACTACCGTCCCATTTTTTGTAGGGGAAGGTATCTACTTCTTTTGTAACAGCGGTTACAAAATTTTTGGAAAGGACGTTATCATATGCCTTAGTGATGGAAAATGGGATGCTCCTGTTCCGAGTTGCAGTAAGTCTCCATATACATTGTATTTCCATTTTACTCCATTCATCCTTTTTGATTTAGTCACATGGAGAAAGGTAAACTATAACTTTATGAACTCCATCCTTTGATGAACTGTTAAACTAGGTTCACAATGACAGGTCTTTTTCACAGAACTTTTAAGAGACCTGTGAAGACCTAAAATGCCTTGCACAATGGCCCAATGTGTCCTTCTGGGACCTGTTAAGTGATCATATTCCATGTCAAGTCGCATAGAGTCCTGTGGGACCCTCTGAAGTCATGTTTGAATGATTCTGTTCCTATAGAATATGCAGCCTTGTTAACAAAAAAGTAAACCATTCCACAAATAGTCCAGCAGTTTTTTTATTGCGGACTCCATCAGAATTCATCGGATTCAACAGGACTTCATGATATTTTATAAAAGACCTGTTAAGGCAGGCAAAAGTGCTGTAAAATCAGATCATAAAATCCCATTGGAAATAGACAAGAGATCAAAAAGACTGCTCCGTGTAATCCAGGCAAGTAAATAATCTGGAATTTTTTTATGTGTCTCAGGGTTGCATCTGAATAGTATATCATTTCTTTTGTTGTTCTGTAGTATATATAGTAGAGACTACTCTACTGTATTGAACATTGTCTTACACATACTAGGACTTATTGCATAACAATAATATGCAACCATAATTGTATGCGCAAGGGATAACTTCTAAGAGTGATATATCAGCCATCAAAGGTATTCAAGGGAGTATGAGATATTTTCTTAAAAATGGTTATTTCATTATAGTTAAAACTGAGTTTGTCCAAAGCGACTATGCTGTAAGACTTATGGGGAATTACTCTAACAAGGGAAGAGTTGAGGTCTTCCATAAAGGTATAAAGCAAAAACACAACAAAAAGTGGGTGAGAGTCTGTAATATAGGATGGACTTTGGAAGATGCACAAGTCGTCTGTAGGCAACTTGGTTATGATCCCAACAAAACCAGGATTCCTATATATGCTTCTGGTAAGATAAAATACATGGGCCTAGCCAAGATCAACCTTGAAAATGGCAACTCCAGGGAGTAACAAATCCCAACAAACAAACTCATATTCATTAATCTGTAAATGTGACACAATATAATATTAACCATCTACTCTACCCTTGATTTGCAGATAATAAAAGACAAACATTGAAGATATATCAGAATTACCACCAATTTAAGAATCTGGGTACAAAAGGCACAAGTTATAAAGATGATATAATATTTATGATCTAATAAGTACATGTATAAACTATAGCAAATTCCAACTTTATGCAGCCATTTTGAATTTTCTGAGGCAAAAATGAGAATAATAATATCATAATCGTTATATTCTCAAAAATCCTTCAATTTGAGTATAATATAGCCATTTACGAGGGTTGATCCAAAGGTTCTGCACCCTTTGCTCTAAAAATCTTAATTCTTCTTGATACTGTTCATATTTGGCCTCAACCACACCATATATAATAGTTTCATGTTGTGTAAAATTAAGCAATACATTTGACAAGTAACATAGGTATCTGGTTACCATAGCAACATGACAACAGGAGAACGACACATTGTAGAGTTGGAAAAAAGTTGACACTTGAAGGGTGTTACGGGGTACCAAATTCAAAGGTATCAGTCGTGCCTGTTAATCAATATCTTTTCATTAGACCAATTCTATGTGTGATGTGAAATAATCCATCCGTAAAGCTCAGCGGTAGCGCGTGTATCTCTTACGTAATAGGTCCCGGATTCAATCCCCGGTTCAGGAAAGACTCATGCCTTGGCTTACTTATGCACATTTCTCACCTGATCTGCCTCCCTCTGAGTTTTATCTTTATGATGAACTGAAGGACAAATTACTAGGAAAGGACATGTTACTGAATGTTAAAGTGAAGTCTGCTTCGCTGTTCTTGAGTGGCTTTCTGAGACGGGCGATGGGTAATTTAAGGGTGTGTTTAATCCGCAGACATTCTAAGTGTATATAAGGGGAAAAGAGACTACTTTGCGAAATTAAATTAAGAACTAACAATAAAATATGGTCAAATTAAAAAAAATATTGATTAACAGGCACACTTGAAATTTGGTACCCAGTTTAACACTCTTTAAGTGACAACTTTTTTCAAGCTCTAGAATGTGTCATACTCTTGCTGCAAATACCCTGTTGTCATGTTACTATGGTAACCAGACACCTATCTAACTGGTCAAATTTATTGCTTATTTTTACAAAACGTGAAACTACTATTGGGTTGTTAAGGCCCTATATGAATATGAAATACTAAGATTTTTAGAGCAATCTAGTCTAAATTGCCTTTAGTTGAGGATAATAAAGCTTTACTTCAGAAATCTCAAAATTAATAAACATGCCTGCTTTCCCAACCCCCTACATTGCCCCAGGAAGTCATGCCAAAAACATAAAATATGCATCAAAATTTCAAACAGTAATAGTCATTACTGTGGTTATGAATGAAAAATTTAGATTTTCTGGAAAAATTCCTGCAATTCTTTAAAGCGGTGGCCATCTTGACAAAGACAAAGAATTTCATCAGCTATTGCCCCGAACTGGTCCGTCTTCTCGTTGCAAGCAGATTGCCCCGAACCGGTCCGTCTTCTCGCTGCAAGCAGGATGAAATTCTTTGTCACAAAGTTTGGCATTTTTTATAAAATCAAACGCGCGTCACTGAAACTCACAAGATGTAAATAGCATGTCATTTACATCATACCTTGATGGGGAAAAATAGATCTTATATGTTAGAAGTACTAAATAAAAGTTATCGTGAAAATGAGACAGTCGTTCTCGAGAGAAAAGAGCATAAATGCGCATTTAGAGAGTTTTGGTCCGTTTAAAAATCTGTAAAAAATTGGGGTACTTAAAAGCATCGAGAGGCATCATATATTTAAGGAATAAATAATGATAGGCCATTCAATATGGTGAAATTCAGCACGAGTTGGACAGAATGTTGTACAAAGCACGAACCGAAGGTGAGTGCATTTGTACTAACATTCTGTCCAACGAGTGCTGAATTTCACCATATTGAATGGCCTATCATTATTTATTCCGATTCAAACATAAAAATTAGTAAAAGCCGTGTCTGTGGAACGGGCATGAAGGAAGAATACGCATGCTGTCAAGATTCTGAAGTCAGCCGGAACAATTTTAGAATTTGTTTGGGCTGTTCTATTTTACTCCCCGTTTTAGATTATTATATTATATAGTCAGCCATAGTTAAATAGTTACAGTAGTTACGGAGGGAGTAAAAAAGAACAGCAATCCCCGGACAGAGCCCCAGATGTGCAGCTGAGATGTGACGTCACTCAAAACAATGCAAATTGCAGATTGAATAGAGCATGGTCGTGCATCTATGGAGAATTAGAGAACGTTCTATATTGGCTATGCTGCATTCTGATTGGTTGAGAAATTCGAATAGAGCACGGTCATGTTTGAATTCAAATTAGATACGAGGAAGTCAATATTGAGCAAGTTATGGCTGTTTTAAATTCAAATAAAACCGTTAACCCGTACCGGTCCAGCTTTTGACCCGTACCGGTCAATTTTCGTTAGCTGCGTATACCAAGGATGTGATACAAAGTATTATCTCACGCTAACTTTTCTTAAGACATTCAAAATGGCTGCCATGACTGGGCTAACAAGTCCAAAACCTAATCAGATCTAGAATCAAGTGAGCTGAACAGGATGTTAAAGTTTTAAAAGCAACAGTGAAGCCATTTTTCTTAACGTTTGCAGACAAGGATTTTAGCATTTGACTTCAAAATGGCCGACAGGAAGTAGGTATCGAGTTGAAACTTTTTCATCCACATCTGTATGCACTCATAAGTTATCCCTGAAAATTTGAATGTGATATTGGTAGCGGTTTTGGAGAAAACTGCCGGATGTACGGACTGACGGACAGACAGACGGACGCGCCTAGGCCGAAAATATGGCCCCACACTATGTGGTGGGGACATAAAAAGGAGAGAAAAAGGCATTCCTGGAAAGAAAAATTGCAATACATGAATTTCCTAGGGACTTTTTGACTTTTTCTATATATGGGTGCTAATGAGAATGGTCTGAAGGATGTTTTTTTCAATTTTCTAAGTGCCCTGGGCGATAATTCTAGAGAATATGGTATAGTGCTTTGTGAGATTATTTTTGTCAAGAAATATTTTCTGTATTTTTTTCTTCCAAAATGTCTGTAGTTGCCTCAGATAAAAGATATATGCATAGATAGGAATATCATACATCATATTCCAGCTAATCACGCAATTTGCATTCTGTATTTTAAAACTGATGATTGATTAATTTCAAAACCAGCAAAACTGATCCATTTCATAATGCAAAAGATTAATTTTCCACAGAGTAAAACTAATGTAATGATTTAAGTCCCTTTCCACCAGTATTGATTACATGAATTTATAATTTGATTGGAAAATAGGTTTAAGAGACAAGTTAATAAACATGATACGAAAAGATAAATTGATGATGATGATGACTAAAGTCCTTTTACTATTTCCTTCTATACAGATAGCATTAGAGATAGGATGAATGCCAAAGAATGGGGCCGTGGAGTTAGAGGCTATGGTGTTGCAAACTTCACTTGTACAGGGAGAGAGGAATATCTTGGAGAATGTCCTCACAACCCTTGGCAACAAGTTGGTCACTGTTATGTATGTACATGTTTCAATCCTTATTACAAGACTTTTATGCAAATCATTCTGACATTCTTAGCACTCTTCTGCACTATAGATGCTTTTCCAGAAAAACATAGAGGAAACAGGATATCTATTTAGTGTTGTATTTGATTTACTAAAAATCTAAATGTTTACTTGTAAATTGGAATTCAAATGTTTGAAAATCTTAAAAATCAATAACTTTTTCAAGTCACTGCTCAACATTTTATTCAATGTCTCAAATAATTGTTGGAGCTTTGACATATTATATTCAAATAACTGAACCATATTTTCAAACTTTATAAAAGGCCTTTAAGCGGCTTACATCTTTTGCACATGTCCTTTAGCATTATCCTTTATACCAAATTTTTCAGAAAGACCATGATGCCATTGCGATATGCAATGAGCATGTATCAAAAGTTGATATAAAGTTTGATGAATCACATGACATCCAATTGCTACATGATGGAATCTGGGGTCATATCTGCCTTTCCTCACCAGCGCCAGAAACCATTGGCAAAGTGTTATGTCGACAATTGGGAGAAGATGGAACAAACGGACAAATCATTCAAATGCCAGGAGACTATAAATGGGCAGGAGAAGGACCAGTTTGGTATCATCAGCTTCATTGCTATGGCAATGAGAGTCATATCCAACAATGTAAACATAACGAACCTGTTAAAAAATTATACCAAACCCACTGTCCCGGTACTAAAATTAGCACTCTCATATGTCAGAAAATTCCACTAAACCTAAAATCAACTAACACTGCGGTTCAGTTTGGATACGTTGAAGCTAACATTGTCAAAAGATGGCATCCACTTTGTAAGGTGAATATACATGCAGCTAGGTTAATCTGTCAGGGTTACGTACAGGACCCAAACTATGCAAGATTCCGTTACATTGGAATCCAACGAGAATCTTATAATTTGTTAAATTACACTGCACCACCGATTAATATCAATTGCAAGGGAAAAGAAAATACCATAGAAGAATGTCAAATAAAGTCGATGCATATGACTTTCCATACTAGTTATATCCCAACTGGCTCAGATGTTTGCCCCAAAAGACTTGTACAGGTTCAATGCCCTACTGCCAAAAATTGTAAGTTAAGTATAGAACTGTTTTGTAAGGTCTGAAGTGTTTATAATTCAACTATTTAAAAGATCAGATTTCATAACAGGATGATTGAAACTGCATTTATTGTTAGGATTTAACAATCTGGGTCAATTATCATATTTACAGTTATCTCAAGTAATGTCAATCATAAACTCACCTCCTTATTTGAAGAATTTGTTTATTTCTTTGATCATGTTATTTCTCTATCTGTCCAAAACTTTTTTAGTGATTGTTGGTTTTGAGTTCCGCCTAGAAGATTCAGTGCGTGGCCTATTACTTACAAAAGCTAAGAATGAAACAAGTTGGATTCCAGTTTGTGCTACTAGATGGAGCTATAACAACTCAAGAGTCCTGTGTCGATCGATGGGTTATGATTCAAAAAGTGTTATTCTCTCAAAACTGATTCGACATAACCCTGTTTACCTGAAGACAGACATAAGATGTAATGGGACAGAACATCATTTGAAAGACTGCATCAATTACATTTGGGAAAAGGCGAGTGGAACTTATCAAGACAGGTGAAAGCATTATTTGAGATCATAAAGCTCACATACTGTAGAAGTGGAAATTTTAATGAGGCATAACATTTTAATGAGGAGAGAAAGTCAGCAATGTTAAATAAGATGTCACACAAATACCTTATATTAACAAAAAAGTGCTCTTGTTTTTGCAAGTTTTCCCAGTTTGCATATTTGAGACAAATGTTTGCAAAATGTGCTTACGTTTGTCTATTGCTTGTACTGAGCAGATCACATGACTTAATATCCTCCAACAATCATTATGTTTATTGACATGTCTTTTATAAACTAGAGCCAACAAAAAGTTCTATAAAGTAAACCCAATGTCCTGTTTAAGAATCCCTATACTTACTATTGAAAATGGATTGTAGTAATACTATCTAACATGACTGTACTTGATGAAACACAAATCAACTTGTGTTCTTCTGAGAAAATGAGGATTTCAGCAAGGGTGCCATTGACTTTACAGGGGGATGCAATTGATTTTGTCCTGCATATCTACAGGATCATGTTTCACTTGTTGAGATTAGTCCATTAAAACTTTACAAAATATAATGACGTGTCATGTCATGTGATTTTTTAGAATCATGGACCATTTAGAAAGGACAGGTATCAATATGGTGAACTGAATTCAACAATGTTTTTCTCTTAAACCAATTATTGAAAACATTCTGTAAAAAAACACTGTCCTTTATGTGATCTTGACTGATTCGCAACAATTTAATGCAAAAATCATTTATATATATTTAAAAAACTGTTTTTGTTAACATTTTTTGTTTTTTAGTGCAATTGTTTTTTATTCCTTTCTACCAATTCTTGAGAATGAAATAAAATGTCTTTCCGAACCTCGTTTGAACAAAATAGCATATACAACATTTTCTTATAATAAACACATTGTGTTCATGTCGTTTTGTTCCAATGAGGTTCGGATAGATGTTTCATTTCATTCCGAACATATGATACCAAAAACAAAAGAAGTGTCTGATGTGTTTTCTAAAAAAATATAGAGGAAAGGATATATATATATATATTCAAATTATAATGTCACCATCCCAAAGATGATCATTAAATTGACGATGTGCAAACTTTTCAGAATGTTTTGATGACTGGTTTAAGAGAAACGAGTTGTCTTCTAGACGGACAGACTAAATGACGGAGGGGTTAACTATATCTCTACCGAACTTTGTTCGTTGAGATAATGAATGTGTAAAAAGTGTTCATTTCTCATTAAACATTCCTCATATGGTTGTTATTACAGAAGGTTGGTTGACTGTTCACAGATAGTTTTATCATGCGACATGAGGCAACTGCGTGTGCGCCTGGAGAGTGAGGGTTGTTATACTGGTATGTAGGAACTATAATTTTATTCAAGTTTGAATAAAATTTTGCAAAAATAGCAATGTCAAATTTAAGAAGTATGGTAATGAACAAAATTAAAAAATATTCCAATAGCTTCAGAAACAAAAGTAGGTAGACATTTTGATGAGTGAAAGGTTTTCACGGAACATTAATATTCCCCTGATAGGTCTGCCAGCATTTGACTTCTACAATGAAGATAGGATTGCACATATAGTACAATGTAGAAATTGTAGAGTCTGCATCCCAAAATGGAGAAAATGGGGCATACAAGAAGCTAAAACAATCTGCAAAGTACTTGGCTACCCGCCCCAATATACTAGTATAAGAGTCCTCCATTTTAACACTAAACATACAGAGGATAAGTTTATACAAGGGTTTAAATGTGAAGATATGTTTGATGGAGGTACGGTCTGCCATTTGGTTGCTAGTGGTTGTTATTATAAATGGAACTGGCGGCACACAGCTGTTTACTGCCACAATGGACCTGCAGGTAACATTAAACTCAGTGATATCCCAAGCATTTAAGCAAGTGGGTGCAGCACCCACCTGAGATTTTGAAAATAGGCTTGCACTCAACTGAAATCCATTTGCACCAACTTGAAAATGAGAAAAATCATGAAAAATTTGCATATTTTGACCAATGTTGGTCTGAATTGTGAAAATGAGAATTTTGCACCCACTTGAGGAAAATCCTGGGGAGATCACTGTGTTGAATATTCTGTTTGTTCAGGGTTTGTTGATTTTGTGTTTTTATATTGTGTTATTGTGTTGTTTGTGTGACCTATGTTTTAGGCTTTTTTGATTTCCTGTGTTTCAAATGACTAGTGTTTGTGTTTTGGTACCTTGGTCTCAATAGGGGCAACTTGGAGCATGTAGTGTAAATGTTTACAGCTCTTGAACCAGTTGACTGGTTGTATTGAAAAAAAACCATAGAACTGTTCCTGAGTATACATAATTTTATTGATGTCACTTTATTAGTTTGGGAGATATTGCATACTTTAATGGTCTCCTTTTTCCGGTCACCCTGTACTTCAGAGATCTGTTGAGAAAAAATGATGTGCAGGTAAATGAGCTGCTCTTTATTATTATTCCTGAACCAATAAACTGATTGTATTGAAACTTTCAGGAACAAATTTCCATAGAACTGTACTGGTTTCGTTGATGTCACTTGATACTCCTCTTTTTCCAGTCACCCGGTATTTTAAAATCATTATTTTACAATCATTTGTTAAACTACATAAATTAGAGGATATCCATGGACTAAAATAAATGTATTCGCTCTATCCCTAAACCATTCATAACACTTTTCAGAGGCCCTTCCAAGTAACTTTACTGCTAAGCCAGAGCTGCTCTCAAAAGGTTATGGGCAGATTGAGATTCATTACAACAACAAGAGGGGTGCAGTATGTGCCCATGGCTGGGGGATCAATGAAACAAAGGTTGCCTGTAGGGGATATACTCCCACTAATTCAACAAGTAAGCTAAAATTATTTTTCTTAGACTTGTTCTAACTTCTCGAACCAAAACATTAACTGTTGATTTGAGTAGAAAAAAGACTGCATAGAAACTCAAGAAAAACAGGAAATTGATGTTATCACAAAGCGATGACCTCTTGCAACACCTTAATTACATCAATTGACAAAAATCAATGTTGTCATTTTTTGCTCAATTTTGATTTTGAGCTCAAAAATGTAAGTCAACCTAGAAGCTGTCTGATGTTCAGTTGCAAAGGTTTACGGGAAATTTATAAGTGGTGGACTGTTTCAGAACGATACATAATGACAGATGACCAGACTAACAATTTTGCCCACTTTGGTGCTAGGCACAACCTAAATGATGTCATTGTTATGAGCGATGTAAAATGCAATGGAGATGAACAACATCTATCTGAATGCGCTTATAACCATGGAGCGAATGTGTCTTGTGAAGGACACAAGCGGGTGACTGTTTTTTGTGAACTAAGAATAGAAACTACGAAAAAGAAAATCAATAAGATCAAAATTGAGGAAACTTTAATAACAGTCGGAAAGTTGGAACCGAGGTATTTCTGCACTGACAAGTTATATAATTCTAGGGGCATAATGAGGGTAGTATGCCGTCAAAAGTCACGACAAACTAAAGATGTTCGTGGGATGGATCTGTCTGTCTTGAGCAGGTCAAAGCCAGCTTTCATAACAGCTGATTGTAATGGTGGCGAGAAAAGCATTTTAGAATGTAGCTCACATTTGTCTCCTTGCATCTGGGCAGTAGCTATAGTAAAATGCAAACATTAAAGGGAGTTACCGACATTTTATCCATATTAAAACCTGTAAAAGAAGTAATAAATATGACTAAGTGATGGACTGAAATTGAAGCAAAAAAATAAAAACATTTGACCTCATCAAAATTTGAACCTGCTCTCCCAAAATTAACTGATCAAACAGTTTAGCATTACCCCTGAGCTACCGAGACAAAATAAGTGAAGCAAATGTGTGACATATACACAATTTGAATGAAAGAATGGGTATCGATATGGCGAACTTTTTGAACACACGTTTCTCTTAAACCAGTCATCAAAGATTTCTGAAAATCTTACAAGTTGTCAATTTAATGGCCATCTTTTGAATGGTAACAATATAATTTGATATACATAACATACTTTCATCTATATTGTTTTAAAAAACACATCAAACCCTTGTTTGTTCTTGGTATCATGTTTCCAGAGTGAAATGAAACATCTTTCCAAACCTCATTGGAACAAAACGACATAAACACAACCAGTGTAGTCATTAACGGCCTTCCCGGCGGACATTGTCCAGTAGATTGAGCCCCGGTCCGGCAATGTTTGCAAAAGTGCCGGTCATTTGGACCAGCATGATATTTAATCGCCTACCTAGCGGTAGAATTCATGTCCGTGTTGTTATTCTCCTAATAATTCGAGTTGTCGATGATTAAATTGCCAGATTTAAGTTATTAACAAGAATTCATAAAAACATTTTTTTGTTTTTAATTTTTTTCAAAGAACAATCGTTTATATACCGGTATAGCGAAATGATACATTAAATTACCGAACGTACAATATAAAATGTTTCGAAAGTCGATATAGCGAATCAATTTCTAGCTAGTTTTAGATTGCTTCTGGTATGGTTACATTCACTGTGACATTTGGCTCAATATCTTGGATATCCTCTATGGATTCCAAGGATTCCACTAAGATCAGAGAAGCACTTTTAGTCTTCTTTGTCTTAAATCAGTAACATTAAATCAAAGGGTCCTTAAAAGGTCCTCAAAGGTCCTCAATGGCCACATTAAGTTCATTCTCCGAGTCATAGTCATTGTCAGTGTCATCAAATTCATCACAACTGTCATAATCAGAGGTTACATGTTCTTCAGATCATTCATTTAATTATACTGATTTAATTTTAAACATGACTCATAAAACAATTTGTTGATATATTGTTCTTTATTGTTTAACAAGATTTTGATTGACCGGTCACACTTCATACGGACCAGGGACTTTTTTGAGGCACTGGTCATTTTGTCCAGCCTATTTTGATACGGACCACTTAACTTTGAAGATCAACAGGTCCGTATGACCAGTCTCTTTTTTCCCCTTAATGACTACACTGAACACAACATGTTTAGGTCTCTCAATATTGTAATTGTACAAAGGAAATTTTGGTTGATTTTAAAAAAAGTATCTTGTTAATGAAATAAAAGGTTTTTCTTGATTTTTACCTATTTTGGGGGGATTTTGTTTTAATTTTTTGAATACTTTTTTAAAATGAACCAAAAATTCCTTTGTATAACTTTTATATTGAGAGGTCTAAATACATGCTGTATATGCTATTTTGTTCCAACAAGGTTCAGAAAGACATTTCATTTCATTCTCAAGAATTGGTAGAAAGGAGCGAAAGCAATTGCACTAAAAAACAAAAAAAATGTTAACAAAAACAGTTATTTAAAATATTTCTAAATAATTTTCACATTAAATTGTTGTCAATCAGTCAACATTACATAAATAAAATACAGTGTTTTTTACAGAATGTTTTCAATGATTGGTTTAAGAGAAAAACATTATTGAATTCAGTTCTCTATATCGATACCAATCCTTTGAAACCATTAATATAAAAAGGTGGCATGACATAATAATTCAGAAGTGTTATTTCAGTGGCAGTGATCTCCCAAGCATTTAAGCAAGTGGGTATTGCACCCACTTGAGCTTTTGATAATATGCTTACACCCAATTTAGAATGCATTTGGACTCACTTAAAAATAAATAAAAAATCGTGAAAAATAGGTATAGCTTGAGTAAATTTGGTCTTAATTGTAAAAACCATCTGAGAATAAATTCTGGGGAGAATATTGAGTGCATATATCATATTCAATATATCCTTCAACAAACCGCAACATTTTATAACATCATGTTGCACAGTCACGAATTTGACATTTCATGGATCTGACCTTTTGAATCATGTCTAACAAAATGAACTTTATTGTATTACTAAGTATTGGTAAAACATGGTGGGGATTGCAGAGAGCAGCTTTAGACCAATGATATTTCTATTATTTTGTCTCTTAGGGGTTTTCAAAACAGAAGGTAGGAATTAACGTTATATGTGAAAGTAAAATATTGGAGTCATTTTAGTGATAAATTCTATGACTGATATACCTGTCATTTTGTGTATTCCAGAGGCCAATTGGATATTTTCTTCAATATGGTCATTTTCTTAAAGTCAAAGCTCAGGATGTTTATAACAGATAAAACATTTCCATTCAAAAAATAAAATAAAACTAAGGGGATACATCTTTAAAACTGTCATTTTCTTATAGCAAAAGCTCGAATTATCTACAGCAACTATGATGTAAGACTCTTAGGGAATCACTCTAATAAAGGAAGAGTAGAAGTCTTTCATGGCGATATAAAACAAAAACATAACAAAAAGTGGGTGAGAGTCTGCAATGTTGGATGGACTTTGGAAGATGCAAAAGTTGTCTGTAGGCAACTTGGTTATGATGCAAACAGAACACAGATTCCCATATACGCTTCAGGTAAGATCAAATATATGGGACTAGCCAAGATGGTAGACTTTGGGTGGATAATTCTATTGTCACCAAGCATGTACAAATGACCAGTAAATAAACAATTCAATTGGTTGACAGTATTCACCAACAGTTAAATCCAAAGTAAAGGAGTTGTATCGATATGGTGAACTTTTTGAACACACGTTTCACTGAAACCAGTCATAAAAAAAATTTAACACATTATCAAAATAATGGTCATCTTTTGAATGGTAACAATATAATTTGAAAAATATATTATAGTTTCATCTTTATTGTTTTAGAAAACACATCAAACACTTGTTTTGTTCTTGGTATCATGTTTCCAGAATGAAATGAAACATCTTTCCGAACCTTTAAATTGGAACAAAATGACATAAACGCAACATGTTTAGGTCTATCAATATTGTAATTGTACAAAGGACATTTTGGTTGAATTTAAAAAAGTATCTTGTTAATGAAATAAAAGGTTAATCTTGATTTTTATCTATTTTGAGGGGATTCTGTTTTAATTTTTTGAATTAAAATCAACCGAAAATTCCTTTGTTTAACTTGATATTAAGAGGTCTTAAAACATGTTGTATATGCTATTTTGTTCCAACAAGGTTCGGCAGGACATTTTATTTCATTCTCAAGAATTGGTAGAAAGGAGCAAAAGCAAAAAACAAAAAATGTTAACAGAAACAGTTATATAAAATATTTCTAAATAATTTTCCAGTCAGTCAACATTACCTAAAATACCGTGTTTTTCACAGAATGTTTTCAATAATACTGGTTTAAGAGAAAAACAATGTTGAATTCAGTTCACCGTATCGATACCTATTCTTTCTTATATATTAAAGGCAAATCTTCTGTTATAACAAAATATTTGGACATATATAATTTTACAATTTTCATATAGCTGACGAGATTATTAATGCTTTAAGTAAAGCGCAACCATTTAATAAATAAAAATAAATAAAAAAAAGGTTGAACAGGGACTTGGACCACCATCAAATGTGTACCAAGATTAGGATAGTGACACGAAACCACTGGGTCATTTCCTCCAACGTGGAACACTTTCTAGAGGTACCAAATAAGTTCCAATTACACAGGTTTTACTATATATCTTTACCTAACAAAATACATGTAAAAAAATTCAGCTTTTACTTCTTTTACTATTCCCTTCTATACAGATAGCATTAGAGATAGGATGAATGCCAAAGAATGGGGCCGTGGAGTTAGAGGTTATGGTGTGTCAAACTTCACTTGTACAGGGAGGGAGACATACCTGACTAATGTAATGACTAGAGTCCTTTTAATATTTCCTTCTATATAGATAGCATTAGAGATAGGATGAATGCCAAAGAATGGGGACATGGAGTAAGAGGTTATGGAGTGTCAAACTTCACTTGTACAGGGAGGGAGACATACATGACTAATGTAATGACTAAAGTCCTTTTAATATTCCCATATATAAAGATAGCATTAGAGATAGGATGAATGCCAAAGAATGGGGCCATGGAGTAAGAGGTTATGGTGTTTCAAACTTCACTTGTACAGGGAGGGAGACATACATGTCTAATGTAATGACTAAAGTCCTTTTAATATTCCCATATATACAGATAGCATTAGAGATAGGATGAATGCCAAAGAATGGGGCCGTGGAGTTAGAGGTTATGGAGTGTCAAACTTCACTTGTACAGGGAGGGAGACATACCTGACTAATGTAATGACTAAAGTCCTTTTAATATTCCCATATATACAGATAGCATTAGAGATAGGATGAATGCCAAAGAATGGGGCTGTGGAGTTAGAGGCTATGGTGTGTCAAACTTCACTTGTACAGGGAGGGAGACATACATGACTAATGTAATGACTAAAGTCCTTTTAATATTCCCATATATACAGATAGCATTAGAGATAGGATGAATGCCAAAGAATGGGGCTGTGGAGTTAGAGGTTATGGAGTGTCAAACTTCACTTGTACAGGGAGGGAGACATACATGACTAGTGTAATGTTTTAATATTCCCATATATACAGATAGCATTAGAGATAGGATGAATGCCAAAGAATGGGGCCGTGGAGTTAGAGGTTATGGTGTGTAAAACTTCACTTGTACAGGGAGGGAGACATACCTGACTAATGTAATGACTAAAGTCCTTTTAATATTCCCATATATATAGATAGCATTAGAGATAGGATGAATGCCAAAGAATGGGGCCGTGGAGTTAGAGGTTATGGTGTGTAAAACTTCACTTGTACAGGGAGGGAGACATACCTGACTAATGTAATGACTAAAGTACTTTTAATATTCCCTTCTATACAGATAGCATTAGAGATAGGATGAATGCCAAAGAATGGGGCCATGGAGTTAGAGGTTATGGTGTGTCAAACTTCACTTGTACAGGGAGGGAGACATACCTGACTAATGTAATGACTAAAGTCCTTTTAATATTCCCATATATACAGATAGCATTAGAGATAGGATGAATACCAAAGAATGGGGCCATGGAGTTAGAGGCTATGGTGTGTCAAACTTCACTTGTACAGGGAGGGAGACATACCTGACTAATGTAATGACTAAAGTCCTTTTAATATTCCCATATATATAGATAGCATTAGAGATAGGATGAATGCCAAAGAATGGGGCCGTGGAGTTAGAGGTTATGGTGTATCAAACTTCACTTGTACAGGGAGGGAGACATACCTGACTAATGTAATGACTAAAGTCCTTTTAATATTCCCTTCTATACAGATAGCATTAGAGATAGGATGAATGCCAAAGAATGGGGCCGTGGAGTTAGAGGTTATGGTGTATCAAACTTCACTTGTACAGGGAGGGAGACATACCTGACTAATGTAATGACTAAAGTACTTTTAATATTCCCTTCTATACAGATAGCATTAGAGATAGGATGAATGCAAAAGAATGGGGCCGTGGAGTGAGAGGTTATGGTGTGTCAAACTTCACTTGTACAGGGAGGGAGACATACCTGACGTAATGACTAAAGTCCTTTTAATATCTCCTTCTATACAGATAGCATTAGAGATAGGATGAATGCCAAAGAATGGGGCCATGGAGTTAGAGGCTATGGTGTGTCAAACTTCACTTGTACAGGGAGGGAGACATACATGACTAATGTAATGTTTTACTTCTTTTAATATTCCCTTATATACAGATAGCATTAGAGATAGGATGAATACTAAACAATGGGGCCGTGGAGTTAGAGGTTATGGTGTGTCAAACTTCACTTGTACAGGGAGGGAGACATACCTGACTAATGTAATGACTAAAGTCCTTTTAATATTCCCATATATACAGATAGCATTAGAGATAGGATGAATGCCAAAGAATGGGGCCGTGGAGTTAGAGGTTATGGTGTGTCAAACTTCACTTGTACAGGGAGGGAGACATACCTGACTAATGTAATGACTAAAGTCCTTTTAATATATCCTTCTATACAGATAGCATTAGAGATAGGATGAATACTAAACAATGGGGCCATGGAGTTAGAGGCTATGGTGTGTCAAACTTCACTTGTACAGGGAGGGAGACATACCTGACGTAATGACTAAAGTCCTTTTAATATCTCCTTCTATACAGATAGCATTAGAGATAGGATGAATACTAAACAATGGGGCCATGGAGTTAGAGGCTATGGTGTGTCAAACTTCACTTGTACAGGGAGGGAGACATACCTGACGTAATGACTAAAGTCCTTTTAATATCTCCTTCTATACAGATAGCATTAGAGAAAGGATGAATGCCAAAGAATGGGGCCATGGAGTTAGAGGTTATGGTGTGTCAAATTTCACTTGTACAGGGAGGGAGACATTCCTTGGACAATGTGCTCATAATCCTTGGCAACAACTTGGTCACTGTTATGTATGTACATTCCAACACTTATCATGAGATTTATCATGCCAATTCTGAGCTAAAATTCTCTCAATTATATCAGATCTAAATTAAAAATATTTGCTGCTAAATTGATAGTAAAATCAAAGATTTGAAAATTTGGAAAACCAATAACTTTTGAAGTCACATTTTTTTTCAAAAAAGTCTCAAACATTAATTACAAAATGTCAACAATCAATATTAGGACGATAACCCTATACTTTTTAAACTTTGAATGGGACCTTTAAGGATTTATATTGTGTACTGTACCTATTTTTATAACAATTTCTTCAGAAAAACCATGATGCCATTGCAATATGCCATGAACACGTATCCAAAGTTGATATAAAGATTGATGAAGCACAAGAAATCCAACTATTACATGATGGAATCTGGGGTCATATCTGCCTTTATACATCAGCGCCAGAACTCATTGGTAAAGTGTTATGTCGTCAACTCGGAGAAGATGGAACAAACGGACAAATCATTCAAATTCCAAGAGACCATAAATGGGCACAAGAGTTACCAGTTTGGCATCAAAGGGCTCAGTGCTATGGCAACGAGAGTCATATACAACAATGTCAACATGACAAACCAGATATATCATTCCAAACTGTGTGTTCGGCTACTAAAATTAGCACACTCACCTGTCATAAAATTCCAATAATTCTAAGATCAAATAACAAGGCACTTCAGTTTGGAATCGTTGAAGCTTACATTGCAAAAAGATGGCTTCCAGTTTATAGAACAAATCAACACGCAGTTCGGTTAATCTGTCAAGTTATTGGACTGGATTCAAGCTATGCTCAGTTGCATTATGTTGAAATCCAACGAGGATCTTATAATTTATTAAATTACACCCAATTTCCAATCAATATTCATTGCAAAGGAACAGAGCATACATTAGAAGAATGTCAAATAAAGTTGACATATATGAGTTTCTCGGGGACTTGGGGGATGGACTCAGACCTTTACTCCACAAAACTTGCAGGGGTTCGATGCCCTAAGCTCGAAAATTGTAAGTTATCTATACATTTTTAGTCTAGCTCACAGGATGTTAATTTTGTTATAGTTTGACCTGCTCTCCCCATCTGTAATGAAATTTTAAAATGTTGATTTGTCTCTGACGTGAATATTAAAAAAAAAATGACACTTACAAAACATTCATAACCACCTCCCCCTAACAACATTTGTTATTCCACAGTTACTAGTAATTTGAAGGCTTTAAGATTTCATAAAAGAATGATGGTTGAAAGTGTATGTACACATTGCTTTAATAATATTTCCCTTCACCTGTGGTTGGTTAAAACTTTATTAGGACATAATTCAACAATTAAAATTTGTTCACCATTACCTTATCTTATGACTTGGTTCATTATTTGTTCATGTATATTTATTGTTTGTCTACCTTATTTTCATCTTAACAAAAACACAATTACTATCACTTTTGGTGGTATTTCAGTGATACTCGATTCTAAGTTCTAAGCAATTACCTATATCACTTTTTGGTATTTCATTGATACTAAATTCTAAGTTCTAAGCAATCACTTTCACTTTTGTGGTATTTCATTGATACTCAATTCTAAGTTCTAAGCAATTACTATCACTTTTGTGGTATTTCATTGATACTCAATTCTAAGTTCTAAGCAATTACTATCACTTTTGTGGTATTTCATTGAGACTCAACTCGAAGTTCTAAGCAATTGCTATCACTTTTGTGGTATTTCATTGATACTCAACTCAAAGTTCTAAACAATTGCTATCACTTTTGTGGTATTTCAGTGATACACAATTCTAAGTTCCGCCTGGAAGATTCATGGCGTGGTCGTCTACTTACAAGTCCTAAGAACGAAACAAGTTGGGTTCCGATATGTGCACATAGATGGAGCTATAACAACTCGAGAGTCTTGTGCAGATCGATTGGTTATAAGGATTCAACAAGTGTTATTCTCTCAAAACTGATTAGATATCGCCCAGGATCTGTTTATGTTAAGGCAAACATAAGTTGTAATGGGACAGAACAGCATCTTAAAGATTGCAGCCACTATACTTGGGAAAAAGCGACTATAACATATGGAGATAGGTATATTATCATCAATAACTGTAACTATATCATGTGCTTAAGTCAAAAACGAGCCAGACTAGAAAAACAGCAACTCCACGGAGTAGCAAATCCCACCAAACAAAACATGTTTTGATAAATAGTGGCCATATAAAATTTGAGCCAAATCCATCCACTGGTATTTGAATTATCAAAGATTATGTTTTTATGAAACATGGTTGCCATTTTGAAATTCAGTTGTCATCTTTAGATTTCTTCTTTAGCAGAGCTCCTATGTCCCAAGGCATCAGCATATAGAATTTAATCCAAATCTGTCAACTGGTTCTTGAGTTATCAAGGATTACATGTTTAATGAAAAATGGCGGAGATTTTGATAAATAACAGCTACCTTGAAAATTTCTTCTTCAGTATATGAAATTTGAAGTCCAATGGTATTTGAGTTATCAAAGATTACCTTTTTTTATGAAAAATGGCAGCCATTTAAAATTCAGCTGACGCCCTTGAAATTTCTTCTGAAGCAGCTCTCCTTTTTCCCTAAACATCAGCATATAAAATTGGAACCAAATCCATATTGGTATTTGAGTTATCAATGATTATGTTTTTTTAAAGAAAAATAGCGGCCATTTTGAAATGCATTGGCCATCTTGAAAATGTCTTCTTGAGCAGAACTTGTTTGTCTCTAGGCATCAGCATATATAATTTGAACCAAATCCATCAACTGGTATTTGAGTTATCAAAGGTTCTGTTCTTTTATGAAAAATGGCGGCCATTTTGGAATTAAGCTGCCATCTTGATCTTGAAGACATTAGACATTTATTATATGATTGTGTGTTAATTAAAAATCTATGGAATATTCTAAGTGAAACACTAAAGGTGGATATTACTTGGAAAAATATACTTCTGGGGTACCAAAGCATGAACAGCAAATTAGAATTTAGAATGTTGCTTTACACAATATTGATGAAATGTATTCATGAAATTTGGACAAAAAACTCAGACAATCCAACTCAATATAAACAAGCAAATTTTAAATCAAAAATAGCATCTAAATTAAATATTTATGAACACATTTTTAAACTGCAAGGAAAAGTAAATATTGCTCATGATTTTAAGAAAATTATAAATGCCTTTGCTGCTCACTAAGATTGAATGGATTTTCTGGACTTTTACTATTGTATAATGATCAAAATTTTGATAGAGTATATAATGCTGTGAAAATCCTATTTTCCTATTGAATAAATTCTTATCCATGATATATGTATATTTCCGTTCGTGCATAGTTTTATTGATTTAAGTATTGTTTGTGTTTATGTATTTTGCGTTTATGTTTTTGAATAAATATTTTTATAAAAAAAAAAAAAAAAAAAAAAAAAAGCTGCCATCTTGAAAATCCCTTCTCAAGCAGAGCTCCTATGTCCCTAGGCATCAGCATGTAAAATTTTAACCAAAGCCATTCAATGGTTTTTGAGTTATCAAAGATAACGTTTTTTTACAAAAAATGGCCGCCATTTTGAAATATGGCGGCAATCTTAAAAATGTCTTCTTGAGCAAGGCTCCTTTGTACCAAGGCAACAGCCTATAAAATTTGAATGAAATCTGTCAGCCGATGTTTGAGTTATTGCCCGGACACACGAACGGACGGACAAACAGACTGACGGCTTTTCTATATGCCCCTCGAACTTTGTTCGGTGGGATAATTATGGTAACTTAAAGATGCAACAATTAGCGCAGAGAAACCATTCAATGATCATGGACCAGTGTCAAAATATGTTTAAGTTTGGATATTTCATCAAGATTTATTTTTATTATCTCTCAAAGAAACCCCCTGGGTGAACATTATTTCAGCTGATATTTCTCTTGAAACGTGGTAGATCTTAAAAATCTAAAAGGGGACTCCCTTTATAGAAGCTATGAGCTGAATTTACATCCATATATTTAAAAAAAAATAGGAATGTCAAAGATGTTAAGCCAAAGGATTGGTATCGGTATGGAGAACTGAATTCAACAATGTTTTTCTCTTAAACCAATCATTGAAAACATTCTGTAAAAAAACAGGGTATTTTATGTAATGTTGACTGATTGACAACAATTTAATACGAAATTATTTAGAAATATTTTTTAGAAATTGTTTTTGTTAGCATTTTTTGTTTTTTTATTGCAATTGTTTTTGCTCCTTTCTACCAATTCTTGAGAATTAAATAAAATGTCTTTCCGAACCTTGTTGGAACAAAATAGCATATACAACATGTTTTTAGACAGTTTTTTACAGATCATGACCATGACAACCTAAATTAATCATACATACCTATTTTTATCTTAAACATTTTCACAAATAATCATTTTACCATTATCTGAATTTTTGTGGACTGAACTGTAATAAAGAAAATTGAATAAATAGAAAAATGTTCCAATTTTTATTGGCCCACCCTGTACTTATTGAAAACCTCTCGTTTGTTTGTAGGAATTTGTTCCCTTGTTCACAAATTGTTTTATCATGTGACATGAGACAACTGAATGTAGAGCTGAGGGGAACTGTACCTTATTCATGTATGTAGAAACAAGGACTTTATCGGAGCTTAAATTTGCTTAAAATTCTGCCCAAAATGGCAGTTTTGATCTTAAAAAATCTCAATTTGTATGCTAATTTTGAACAAAATTATGCCAGTCTTTCCTAAAAAATATTCCATAACTTTTGTTCTAAAAGTATTTCAACAAATGTGACGAGTGATAGCTCTTGTTTTCATTAAATATTATTATTCTTTTGACAGTTTGGCCAGCATTTGACTTCTACAATGAAGGAAGATATGGAACTACAGTCCTGTGTAAAACATGTAAACTAGTCTGCAATTCAAAGTGGGGCATAACAGAGGCTGAGACAATCTGCAAACTTCTTGGCTACCTGCCTCAATATACCATCACCAGATTCACCTACTTTGAAACTGTAAGGCCAAAGGATAGGTATATGTATTTGTATATGGAGGGCTTTGAATGCAAAAATATGTTTGATGGCGGTACACACTGCAAGTTGGTTGATACTGGTTGTAATACATGGAAATCGAAACAGCCAGGTGTTTATTGTTATAACAGAACTGCAGGTAACAAAAAGTCTCTTTCTGTCACTTGATAATTTATAGGATGCCCCAGAAACAAAACAACAAATCTGTTCTGCTGAATATATGTTCTGCTTTATTGGGTCACCCTGTAATTTTTAGGTTGTGCATTCCTTTCTATTTCTATGTTCTCTTGAAGTTTGAAAGTAAATCTCAATCACTATCATTTTTATGGGAATTAAGTGGACCCCAATTTGGAGTTCCGCTTAGAAGATTCAGAACGTGGCCTTCTACTAACAAACATAACAAAAAAGGACAAAACAAGCTGGCTTCCTGTATGTGGCAATAGATGGAGCTATAACAACTCAAGAGTCATGTGCCGATCAATGGGTTACAATGATTCAACAAGTGTTATTCTCTCAAAACTGATCAAACCCAGATTTGGATCTTATAGCGTGGAGACAATGGTGATATGTAATGGAACAGAACGTCATGTTAAAGAATGCAAACATTATATTTGGAAAGAGATATTGACTGGGTGAGTATAAGTATATCCTATGCAAAGTAGAGTTTTAGGGAGGTAAGTTGGTAAGATATTTCCTGATTTTGAGGTTTCCATATCCAAAACCTCCATATCTCCCGAATCTCTGGCATATCTTCCCATTTAACTTCTTGAATCCCAGGCTCTAAAATCGGTTAAAACCAGAGAATTTTTCATTTTTGCCACCTTTGACAATTTACTACAACCCTTTACAACATACCTATTACCTATACAACTAAAAATGCTAAACTTAGTAAAATTAGATGGCAGAGATCATTTCTTCACATTTTAAAACAATTTTCCTGTAAATTGGATGAAAATTGTTTAAATTAGTGAAACATTTTGTGATGGATTTTCTCGTCACTCTGGATTTCAAAGTCATTTCTGAGGTGATGAGAAATCTCGTCACTCCAGGTAGTCAAGAGGTTCAAAAAATTAAAAATAAAACTATTACATACTTAAAATGAATTTAATATGAATTATATGTTTATTTCCACACCATGAAGTATCATGGCATGAAGTTAGGCATGGTCTCTCAGGTATATATGAATATCTCCCTCTGGACGAACCCCATATCCAAAACCTCCCAGTACACATGGTGGTGACATAAAAATGGTTCCTTCTTTTTTGCCCAGAAAAAATGTTCAGTGTTGGTAGGTGCTCACTACAGAGAGGGTAATTCATACAGAAGTCAGTAGAGTATGAATGGAGGAAGGGTGTCTTCTAGAGGGAGGTGTTCAGTAGAGGAAGGTGTTCACTCAAACATGTTTTACTGCATGTTTGTATTTACAGGAGTTGGGCCCCTTGTTCACTGATACTTTTATCATGTGACATGAAGCAACTAGGTGTCCACCTTGAGAGTGAAGGACCCTATACAGGTTTGTAGAAATTAGAATTGGAAGGTAAAGGTCCATGTGCAGTATGGCAAGTCATATCTTAACCATGATTACATTCTGGCCATAAATACAGTGGTTTTTATTAAAACAATATTCACTTGAAAGAGAACTGCACATGGACTTTTACTAGAAGTGGCAAATTTTGAACATAATAATGCCAATATATCCTATCTCTCCTAAAAAACTTTTTCAACAGAAGGTCACTCTAGGTGGTTAAAATCTAGGACTCGGGCGTCTCAAAAGCTTACCCCAAGCCTCCATTGTACATATACATCATTTCATTGGTAGGTCTTCCAGTATTTAACCTCTACAGTGTATAACAGTGTATATTGTGTAAATCATACAGTTTGTGATTAAAAATCGGGTTTACATGAGCCTACAACCTGAAATGACTTGTTCAAAGATGGATAATAAAAGAATTGAAACTGATCTATGCTGTTTTAATTGACCTAGCAATCTACCTGTTTGAGTGAACAGAGTATCCATCTTTTACATTGGAATAACATTGACTCATGAACTTGACCTAGACCCCAGCTTATCTTGTCATAGGTCATCAAGGGTCAAAGCAGCCCTAAAGGGTCTTAAGAACACAAACTAAATTGAACTTTAAACGCTGCCCTTATCCTCAGGTTACCTAACCATGGTTGTCAAGGGTCACAACAGTCCCTCATAGTCTTTAACATGCTGAATACCAAGATATTGACCCTTGACCTTGGAATGCCCTTGACTTATAAAAATTGATCTTGACCTTGTTCACCAAATCATGGGTTGCCAAGGTTAACAGTAGCCCCTGAATAAATTAAAATGCATGATAACTAAATATTGACCTTTGAATAATTTTGACCTCAGGTTACCTAATCATGGGCAATCCAGGGTCACAACATCCCTAGGGGTTTAAAAACCCCAAATACCTAGATTTTAACATTTGACCTTGACAAACAACAGCTGACCTTGACCAAAGATGACCTAATCATGGGTTGCCAAGGGTCACAGAAGCCCAAAAATGCCTCAAAATACCAAATACTTAGATAATGACCTTGGAATGACCTCGACATCAGGTAACCTAATGATTAGTCCCCCAGGGTCTCAGCACCAAATACCTAGTATATTCACCTTTGTCCTTGGAATGACTTCAGTTTCTGACCTTCATAGAATACCCATTCACTTAGTATGTTGACCACGTGTTTTGTCCATAAGGCTGAACAGTCTAGGAGAAGTTTGGACAGAGAGATAGATATAGAAACAGAGAGATAGACAGAGACCAGGCTATATAGTAAGAAGATATCATTTCATTGATAGGTCTACCAGTGTTTGACTTTTACAATGTAACAGACAGTGGACACACAACATGTAAATCATGTAGAGTCTGCAATCCAAAATTGGGCATACAAGAAGCTAAAACAATCTGCAAAGTACTCGGGTACCTGCCCCAATATAGCAGCACGAGAACCCTCCACTTTGAAACTACACAAACTAATGATACGTATATGCGTGGGTTTGAATGTGATGATATGTTTGATGGGGGTATAGACTGCCAGTTGGTTGATACTGATTGTTTTCGATGGAATTGGCGACATATAGCTGTTAACTGTCACAACGGACCTCCAGGTATCATCAACCTCTTTAATACAAAAGCATTTTACCATACACTATGTTGATACATAATGTTTGTAAATTGAACAAAATATGTCAAGTTTGCAGCTAAAATTTTAGTGACAATTATCCGTCACTCTGGGTTTTAAAGAGGTTAGAGACCTTTTTGTTGTATATTACCAATACTTTTGATGTACTTTTATCTTCAAATACTAATTAAAAAGTTATTTCTGTCAAAATTTCTGTGGTGACATAATTATCATCATTATGTTTAACAGCATATCTATTTCAAAGAAGGTGCTAGAGGACTTGTATGTGCTAAACATATATCTATAAACTTTATCCTTGGGCCTTTTTATCTCCTGATGATATTTTTCAGAGGCCCCACCCAGAAACTTTACTGCTAAGCCAGAGCTGCTCTCAAAAGGTTATGGGCAGGTTGAGATACATTACAACAACAAGAGGGGTGCAGTATGTGCCAAAGGCTGGGGAATCAATGAAACAACGGTTGCCTGTCGGGGATATATTCCCACTAATTCAACGAGTAAGCTGAAATTATTTTTCTTTTAGACTTAGTTCTTCCTCAAAACATTCACTGTTGATTTGACTAAAGGAAAGACAGTATAGAAATTCAGGGAATACAGGAAATTGCAAAGCAATGACCTCTTGCCATACCTACGTTACATCAATTGACAGAAATCAATCAATGTTGTATTTTCAAAATTTTATTTTTTGCAACCTAGAAGCTATCTGATGTTCAGTTGTAAAGGATTATGGAAATTCATAAGTAGAGAACTGTTTCAGAACGATACATAATGACAGATGACCAAACTAACAACTTTGCCCACTTTGGTGCGGGGCACAACCTAAATGATGTCATTGTTATGAGTGATGTAAAATGCCATGGAGATGAGCACCATCTATCTGAATGCACCTATAACCATGGATCGAACATGTCTTGTGATAGACACAAACGGGCAACTGTATTTTGCGAACTAAGGATAGAAAATACGAAAAAGAAAATCAACACGAATGTATTTCATGAAACTTTATTAATGGTCGGAAAGTTAGAACCGAGGTATTTTTGTGTTGATAAGGTAAATGTTACAAGCATACAGTGGGCTGTATGCCATCAAAAGTCACGACGAATTAAAGTATTGCATCATTTCAGACCATATACCAGATCAAAGCCATCTTTCATAACAGCTGATTGTAAAAGTGGTGAGAGCCTTTTAGAATGTAACTCACACTTGACTTCTGTTTGCACTAGGTCAGCTGTTGTTAAATGCCAACATTAAAAAGGATACCATCTTGCGCCAAAATAATGTCTACAGGGTGTCCAATAAATAAGGTGAAAGATATTGTAACTTTCTTAATATTGCACCAATCTTGATGAAATTCTCAGAGTTTGTAGTTCAAACTATTTTACCCTTATTCAGTGAATTTAAAGCGTCTTCTATTTGATTGGCCAGAGTTGTGGTTGCTATAGCAACCGAAACAACAAAAATTATTTTATTGGACACCCTGTATATTGATACAGCGCATTTATAGGTCAGAATTAACTGTTCTTGCATAATATGCGCTATTTATAACTACCCCAGACAGCTTTCTATGGGCACCCAAATTCACCTCTTAAGGAAAAATATGAAGGGTTTAGTAATTAACTTTTGTATGGGTGTGACCTTTAATATGAAGCAAATACTTATAATTTGTATGGAATTATGTCTATTTCATGATATTTGAATAAATATACTGTTGTATGCATAATTCACAATAATTTTTTTTAATTATGATTGAACGACATTTCCATAATTGTTTTTGAATATTTTTCTGAAAAGGAGTGGTATCGATATGGAGAACTTTTTGAACACACGTTTCTCTTAAACCAGTCATAAAAAAAATCTAAAAAGTTAACACATCGTAAATTTAATGGTCATCTTTTGAATGGTAACAATGTAATTTGAAAAAATGTATATACTTTTCTCTATATTGTTTTAGAAAACACATCAAACACTTGTTTTCTTCTTGGTATCATGTTTCCAGAGTGAAATTAAACATCTTTCCGAGCCTCATTGGAACAAAACGACATAAACAAAACATGTTTAGGTCTCTCAATATTGTAATTGTACAAAGGAAATTTTGGTTGATTTTAAAAAAGTATCTTGTTAATGAAATAAAAAGTTTTTCTTGATTTTTATCTATATTGGGGGGATTTTGTTTTAATGTTTTTGAATACTTTTTAAAATCAACCAAAAATTCCTTTGTATATGTATAAATATAATATTGAGAGGTCTAAAAACATGTTGTATAACCTCTGTTCCAACAAGGTTCGGAAAGACATTTTTTTTCATTCTCAAGAATTGGTAGAAAGGAGCGAAATCAATTGCACAAACAAAAACAAAAATGTTAACATAAACAGTTATATAAAATATTTCTAAATAATTTTCACATTAAATTGTTGTCAATCAGTCAACATTACATAAAATACCATGTTTTTTACAGAATATTTTCAATGATTGGTTTAAGAGAAAAACATTGTTCAATTGAATTCAGTTCTCCATATCGATACAAATCCTTTGAAACCATTTATATAAAAAGGTGGCATGACATAATAATTCAGAAGTGTTATTTCAGTGGCAGTGATCTCCCCAGCATTTAAGCAAGTGGGTATTGCACCCACTTGAGATTTTGATAATATGCTTGCACCCAATTAAGAATCCATTTGGACTCACTTGAAAATAAAAAATCATGAAAAATAGGTATAGCTTGAGTAAATTTGGTCTTAATTGTAAAAACCATCTGAGAATAAATTCTGGGGAGAATATTGAGTGCATATATCATATTCAATATATCCTTCAACAAACCGCAACATTTTATAACATCATGTTGCACAGTCACGAATTTGACATTTCATGGATCTGACCTTTTGAATCATGTCTAATAAAATGATCTTTATTGTATTACAAAATATTGGTAAAACATGGTGGGGATTGCAGAGAGCAGCGTTGGACCAATAATATTTCTATTATTTTGCCTCTTAGGGGTTTTCAAAACAGAAGGTAGGAATTAACGTTATATGTGAAAGTAAAATATTGGAGTCATTTAAGTGATAAATTCTATGACTGGTATACCTGTCACTTTGTGTATTCCAGAGGCCGATTGGATATTTTCTTCAATATGGTCATTTTCTTAGAATCAAAGCTCGGGATGTTTATAACAGATAAAACATTTCCATTCAAAAAATAAAATAAAACTAAGGGGATACTTCTTTAAAACTGTCATTTTCTTATAGCATTTAAAGCTCGAATTATCTACAGCAACTATGATGTAAGACTCTTAGGGAATCACTCTAATAAAGGAAGAGTAGAAGTCTTTCATGGAGATATAAAACAAAAACATAACAAAAAGTGGGTGAGAGTCTGCAATGTTGGATGGACTTTGGAAGATGCACAAGTTGTCTGTAGGCAACTTGGTTATGATGCAAACAGAACACAGATTCCCATATACGCTTCAGGTAAGATCAAATATATGGGACTAACCAAGATGGTAGATTTTGGGTGGATAATTCTGCTATTGTCACTAAGCATGTACAAATGACCAGTAAATAAACAATTCAATTGGTTGACAGTATTCACCAACAGTTAAATCCAAAGTAAAGGAGTGGTATCGATATGGTGAACTTTTTGAACACACGTTTCACTAAAACCAGTCATAAAAAAATTTAACACATTATCAAAATAATGGTCATCTTTTGAATGGTAACAATATAATTTGAAAAATATATTATAGTTTCATCTTTATTGTTTTAGAAAACACATCAAACACTTGTTTTGTTCTTGGTATCATGTTTCCAGAGTGAAATGAAACATCTTTCCGAACCTTTAAATTGGAACAAAATGACATAAACGCAACATGTTTAGGTCTATCAATATTGTAATTGTACAAAGGACATTTTGGTTGAATTTAAAAAAGTATCTTGTTAATGAAATAAAAGGTTAATCTTGATTTTTATCTATTTTGAGGGGATTCTGTTTTTGAATACTTTTTTTTAAAATCAACCGAAAATTCCTTTGTTTAACTTGATATTGAGAGGTCTTAAAACATGTTGTATATGCTATTTTGTTGCAACAAGGTTTGGCAAGACATTTTATTTCATTCTCAAGAATTGGTAGAAAGGAGCAAAAGCAATTGCACTAAAAAACAAAAAATGTTAACAGAAACAGTTATATAAAATATTTCTAAATAATTTTCCAGTCAGTCAACATTACCTAAAATACCGTGTTTTTTACAGAATGTTTTCAATAATACTGGTTTAAGAGAAAAACAATGTTGAATTCAGTTCACCGTATCGATACCTATTCTTTCTTATATATTAAAGGCAAATCTTCTGTTATAACAAAATATTTGGACATATATAATTTTACAATTTTCATATAGCTGACGAGATTATTAATGCTTTAAGTAAAGCGCAACCATTTAATAAATAAAAATAAATAAAAAAGGTTGAACAGGGACTTGGACCACCATCAAATGTGTACCAAGATTAGGATAGTGACACGAAACCACTAGGTCATTTCCTCCAACGTGGAACACTTTCTAGAGGTACCAAATAAGTTCCAATTACACAGGTTTTACTATATATCTTTACCTATACATACATGTAATACATGTAAAATTTAGCTTTTACTTCTTTTACTATTCCCTTCTATACAGATAGCATTAGAGATAGGATGAATACCAAAGAATGGGGCCGTGGAGTTAGAGGTTATGGTGTGTCAAACTTCACTTGTACAGGGAGAGAGGAATATCTTGGAGAATGTGCTCATAATCCTTGGCAACAAGTTGGTCACTGTTATGTATGTACATGTTTCAATTCTATGACCCCTATGAATTACTTTATTAAAGTATAATATGAAGAGCAGGCTTAAACAGTCTTATAATGTGATGTGTATTCACCCAGTCTTTTCAGTCCTTGTACTAAATTAATTTTTCTGTTTTCTTCTGACCCGAACCGAAATTACCTGACCCGCGAACTTTTTGTGGCCTGACCCGACCAGAAGAATATCTGACCAGTGACACCTCTAACATATCTTAGCCACTCTAATATCTAGATAACTGAACCATAATTTCTAAATTTTACTGAGGGACTTGTATGCATGTCTTTTAGCACTAGCTATTATAACAAATTCTTCAGAAAAACCATGATGCCATTGCTATATGCCATGAACACGATTCCAAGGATGACATAAAGTTTGATGAATCACATGACATCCAATTGCTACATGATGGAATCTGGGGTCATATCTGCCTTTCCTCAACAGCGCCAGAAACCATTGGTAAAGTGTTATGTCGACAACTCGGAAAAGATGCAGCAAACGGACAAATCGTCCAAATGCCAAGAGAGCAATGGGCACGAAAGAGACCAGCTTGGTATCATCAGGTTCATTGCTATGGCAACGAGAGTCATATACAACAATGTAAACATAAAGAACCTGTTCAAAAAATATACCCAATTCACTGTCCTGGTACTAAAATTAGCACCCTTATATGTCAGAAAATTCCAATAAACATAAGATCAACTAATGCTGCAGTTCACTTTGGAATCCTTGAAGCTAACATTGACAAAAGATGGCGCCCCGTTTGTAAGACAAATATACAGGCAGCTAGATTAATCTGTCAAGGTTTTGGAGGATACCTATACTATGCTACATTTCGTTATGTTGCAGTCCAGCGAGGATCTTATAACCTGTTAAATTATACTGAATCACCAATTAATATTCATTGCAAAGGAACAGAAAATACCATAGAAGAATGCCAAATAAAGTCGATGCATATGACTTTCTATATTAGTCGTTCTAGTGATGCTTGCTCCAAAAAACTTGCAATGGTGCGATGCCCCAATGTCCAAAATTGTAAGTTGACTAAAACCTAAAAAACATGTCTAATTCAAATACCTCTGACACTGGACAAAAGTGTTCCGATTAGTAGGTGTTCACATGTATGTGAAAAGGAGAAAATAATTTTGGCTAACATGAACTGTTTACTATTAAACTATTTAGAGGATTACATTTTGTAACAGAATGATTGAAATTGCATGTTTTGTATGCATCGCTTACATTCCTTTCATCTGTGGTAGGGGTTAATAGCCATAGTTAACCATCAAATAGGTCAATAATCATATCCAATATTCTCAATTAACGTTCATCGTAACCTCATCTCCTTATTTGATGAATTTGTTAATTCGTGCATTTTTCTCTGTTTGTTGTCTGCCATATTGTCACTAAAACAATACCACACTTTATATAATATCAATTTTGTGGGATTTTAGTGGTATTCAGTTCTAAGTTCCGCCTAGAACATTCATGGCATGGCCGTCTACTTACAAGTCCTAAGAATGAAACAAGCTGGGTTCCGGTATGTGCCCATAGATGGAGCTATAACAACTCAAGAGTCCTGTGCCGATCGATGGGATATAATGATTCAACAAGCACGATTATTTCAAAACAGATACCATATAACTATGGATATATTGTAGTTAAGACTGACATAAAATGTAATGGGATGGAACATCATCTTAAAGACTGCATCCACCTTACTTGGGAAAAAGCTACTGCAAAATATGGAAACTGGTGAAAGCTTTATTTGAGATTAAAACATGACCGTGCTCTAATTGAATTTCTCAACCAATCAGAATGCAGCATAGCTAATATAGAGCGTTTTCTATTTCTCTTTCGGTTTGTGCCTAGTACGACATTCTGTCCAACTCATGCCGAATTTCACCATATTGAATGGTCTATCACTATATTTATTCCTAATTATAAAGTTCTTATACTGAAAAATCACTTGTTTAAGCCAGAGGGAAATACTAAGCTAGACAATGGTTATTTAAGGTACTGACCACTACTATCAATTAGTTATAGATAATTTTTCATACAGATGCTTCTCATAGACCAAGATCAAATATGAAATAGATTGATCCATTTCTGTGTAAAAAGTGTCTATTACCTACTCCCTTGTATGTTTGTAATTACAGGAGTTGGCACCCTTGTTCACAGATAGTTTTATCATGTGCCATGAGTCAACTGAATGTGCACCTTAAGAGTGAGGGGTCTCATACAGGTATGTAGAAACTAGAATTGCATTGGAGCTTTAATTTGCTGATACGATGTTGATTTTAAAAATGCCAATTTGTATCAAAAGTATGCTGAAGTAATCTTGAACAAAGTTATGCCAATTTAAAAATATTCCAGAACTTTTAAACCTAAATTAGGTTAGCGTTTTCATAAGTGAAGGCTCCCTGGTTTCTATTGAATATTATTATTCTATTGAAGGTCTGCCAGGATTTGACTTTTACAATGAAGGAAACTTAGGAAGTACAATATTATGTAAATCATGTAGAGTCTGTAGTACAATATGGGGCATACAAGAAGCTAAAACAATCTGCAAAATCCTTGGGTACCCTCCCCAATATACCAGCACCAGAGTTCTCCACTTTGAAACGTCACTGACACAGGATATGTTTATGCAAGGGTTACGATGTAAAGATATGTTTGATGGAGGAACCCACTGCCAGTTGGTTTATTCATGTTATAGCTGGAAGCGGCAACACCCGGCTGTATACTGCCACAAAGACACAATAGGTAACGATGAAAATTATTTTTTTTAAACAAAGCTGCAATTCATACATTTAATCCCTTGCTTTTGCTAAATTGATGAAAAAGTCCTGGAACATTTCCAATGTTGCTTTGACATATAATGTTGAATTTTAACAAAATGACAATAACGTCTACCATTTTTGTGGAATTTTAGAATTCAAGTTCCACCTTGAAGATTCATGGCGTGGCCGTCTACTTACAAACACTAAGGACGAAATAAGCTGGATTCCAGTATGTGCCCATAGATGGAGCTATAATAACTCAAGAGTCATGTGTCGATCGATGGGTTATAAAGATTCAACAAATATCCTGTCAAAACTGGTCGAACCAAGATTTGGATCTGTTATCATGGAGACAAAGGTTGAATGTAATGGGACAGAAAGTCATCTCAAAGAATGCAAACATTATACCTTGGAAAGGAAGGCAGCAGTGTATAGAAACGGGTGGGTATAGGCATCATCAGAGTGTTTTATTTTTAGATTATTATATATGGAGTATCAATACTACAAAACCACCAGTAAAAATCCAAGGGTAGTATGGCCAGCGATTTACACAGCAAAGATTCCTCAATGTTGATTGAACATGAAATAAACATCGATTCAACCTTGATTTTTTCAAGCATTGATTCACCCATAATTGCTGGATGGGTTGATGTAGGGGTTAAATCAAGGCTTAAATCAATAATAAATCAATGTTAAATAAAGGTTGAAACATTCATGCTACATCAAGGTTGATGATATTCTAGGTAAAATACACTTTGCCTTTTTGACTTATCTTAAAAGATTTCACTTTATATACACTCTGAATTGTTAAGAAAAACCACTGAACGCACTAAGTCAACTGTCCATATCTTGTAGTATGTTTGTAATTACAGGAACAGGTACCCTTGTTCAATAATACTTTTATCATGTGACATGAGTCAACTGAATGTACACCTTGAGAGTGAGGGACCTTATACAGGTATGTACAAACTAGAATTTCAAAAGAGTTTCAGTTTGGAGAACAAAGTTCATCAGTCTACTGGGCTAATATTTTTTATGAAAAATATAAAAATAATGCCCAAATTAAATTATGGATATTCAAAAGAGGACCTTTAAATCTACAATTTGAAAAATATCAAAATTGCCCAAAGCAGGCTAACGTGCAATAGACTGATGAACTTCGTTCTCCAAACCGAGTCTAATCTTTTTGCAAAATATGGCCAATTTTTATGTATGCTATAATAACCAGAACAACGGCAATGCCAAAGCGTAGCGAATCCCATCAAACAGAAATGGCTGGCATTTTTACAAACGAAATATATAACAAAATAATAGCAAACATCATAAAACAACACACCAGAAAGGCCACCATTTTCAAAATGGTTGCTCACTAGCCAAGTTGTCATCAGAAGAAATGATATGCTTTTAAGTAGCCACCTATAAAATTTTTGAAAAAACGCATACATGTACTACTCCCCAAAGTTATATAAGACAATGTTCCATGCTGAAAGTATTCACATATCAAATGTGAACAAAATCGCTCCACTACTTTTCGAGTTATAGTAAAAAATGTAAAAATGGTGGCCATTTTTCAAAATGGCCACCTACTAACCAAAGTGTCATTAGACAGTTTGCCATGCTTATAGTATTCATATATAAAATATGAAACATACCAAATATGAACAAAATCGCTAAACTACTTTTCAAGTTATAGTAAAATACGTTAAAATTGGACCATTTTTAAAAATGGCCGCCATTATCAAAAATGGCCGCCATTTTCTAAAATGGCCACTTTCTACCAAAAGTGTCATTAGACAGTGTGCCATGCTTATAGTATTCACATACCAAATATGAACAAAATCGCTCCACTACTTTTCGAGTTATAGTAAAAATCATAAAAAAATAACAAGTAAAGGCCGCCATTTTTCAAGATGGCTGCCATGTGCTTCTTTAATATCTATATTTGTAGCTTTATTAATGTCCTTCATAATTTTTTTACATTTAAAACATATTGCTATTACAGTTTTACATATTGCACTGAAATAACTGTAAAATCGACACTAAAATGGCCGCCATTTTTAAATGAGTGTCCATTTTGAAAATCGACTTTGGACTAGAACTTCTACTCCTATAGGGTATATTTGTACAAAATATGAATAAAATCAGGCCAACGGTATTTGAGTTATTGCCTGGACGGACGGACAGACGGATGGACGGACGTACATACGGACGGAGGCGTTCCCTTTATCCCTCCGAACTTCGTTCGATGGGATAATCAATCTTAAAATTGTTTCAAAAACAGATTTTCAACTGGAGGTAGACCAGATTTTCCCTGAATGATTTCCCTGAATAAGTCTAAGAGTGAGGCTGTCTCAAGAGTATGACACTAGTCCTCTCTTATGCTTCCATTATTCTATTGATAGGTCTGCCAGCATTTGACTTCTACAATAAAGGAAACTTGGGAACTACAACATTATGTAAATCATGTAGAGTCTGTAGTACAATATGGGGCATACAAGAAGCTAAAACAATCTGCAAAATCCTTGGGTACCCTCCCCAATATACCAGCACCAGAGTTCTCCACTTTGAAACTTCACTGACACAGGATTTGATTATCCAGGGTTTTAGATGTAAATATATGTTTGATGGAGGAACCGACTGTCAGTTAGATGCTAGAGGATGTTTTCGATGGAATTGGCGACATTGGGCTGTATACTGCCACAATGGCCCCGCAGGTAACATTAAAATCTTTAATATAAGAGCACTTGTAAATATGTTAATTATTAATTCAGAATTGAACAAAAAAATATGTCAAAGTAGGAGCCAGGTATTTTAACAGACATAACCCTACTATCACACTAAACTAGTTCTCGGGCGGGCTTAAACTGTGCATGAACGGATTTGACATACTAAAAACCCACTAAGAACGGTTAATACTACGTTGCACACCAACGTGGTGCGACCTGAACAAACTGCGAATGAGATGGACGTATTGAACACTGTTTATGAAGGATGTAGCTAATTATTTAAGACATATATCCCGACCGCAGCCAGATTGAGCCCGTTTTACGAAATTTTCATAGGACTGGCAAGAACGGGTAAGAACTAGTTTGGTGTGATAGGGGGGTAAGTGAAAACTGAATCATTATACAGTATATAGATATTAATATAAAGTTATCTCGCTTTAATGTTTTAATTTTTGTCTTGAAGCAAGATATATATATCACATATCTTAAAATACTAATCATGTGCAGTGATCTCTTTAAAGAAAGTGGGTGCAGCACCAAACTGCAATTCAGAAAATAGTCTTGTACCTACCTGAAGAATTGTGAAAATGAGAATTTTGCACCCACTTGAGAAAAAATCCTGGGAAGATCACGGATGTACATATAAATCATAATTTTTGTAAGAATACATGTCAATGTTGATGACATATATTGGATCCATGGTACACCTTGGAACTAATCTAAATATATGATAATCTTCTCTGCATTAGAAATAACCCTCATAAGACATACAGTAGTTGCAAGGTGTGCTATGTGGTATCTTGTATCCGGCATTGTATATTCTTGGAAAAAGCGTATATGTGCATGGGAGAATAGGCTGATACATTGTCTTAACGGTGTAATAAATCCATTTTACTCCATTTATATTACATCATACCATCATAGATTCAGATACCTGTATATTTACACCATACTGATTGAAGGCCACACTTTACAATGGTTTACCAGAACACTTTTTATCATGGAATAGGGAATATAAAGCCAGCATGTGTCTGTTTTTGCGGCAAAACTGATTTCATTTTCAGGGCATAAATTTTACATCACATGACACTTCATCAGGAATCAATTTCGTAAATAAAACCCTGGCCTGATTGCATGATTTAAGGCTATTTTTATCTATTTTGCAAAGAGTGTGCCAGTTGAGTGAATCCTATTGTTCTGTGGGTTAAGTATGAACTAATAAGAGCTTGTGACTGCAACTTTATTACATCTTTAAACATCTTCATAGCAGTAGGGAGTCAGGAACATTACAACAACAGGGGTCCCATTCTTAAGGTTGGGCTTCTCTTAGGGGCAATTTTTTAAATCTTCAAAATCCTTGGTGATTCAACATTAGAATGATTTATGTTAATGAAAACAAATCCATTAAGTGACTCTTATCCCGAAACCTTTCTATCTCCTGATATTTTTCAGAGGCCCTACCCAAAAACTTTACTGCTAAGCCAGAGCTGCTCTCAAAAGGTTATGGGCAGGTTGAGATACACTACAACAACAAGAGGGGTGCAGTATGTGCGAAAGGCTGGGGAATCAATGAAACAAAGGTTGCCTGTCAGGGATATACTCTCACTAATTCAACAAGTAAGTGACATTGTCCTAACTCTCCCTCAAAGCAAAAGATTAAGTGTAAAGAAACTCTGGGAATACAAGACACCGATGTCATGACAACCACAACTACCCTGCAAATGTATACAATTACAAAAATTGACAATCAATGTTAACTTTTCATAATTTGACATTTTGCTCTATTTTAATTTTGGCCACTTGTGCCCCAAGAGTAAAGAATTATAAAATTGCCCACAAAGTAGAAAGATAATCTAATACCGTCTGCTCTTCAGTTGCAAAGGATTATGGGAAATCCATAAGTAGTCGATTGTTTCAGAACGATACATAATGACAGATGACCAAACTAACAACTTTGCCCACTTTGGTGCGGGGCACAACCTTAATGATGTCATTGTGATGAGCGATGTACAATGCAATGGAGATGAGCACCATCTATCTGAATGCTCCTATAATCATGGACTGAACATATCTTGTGAAGGACACAAGCGGGTGACTGTATTTTGTGAACTAAGAATAGAAACTTTGAAAAAGAAAATCAACAGGATCAAAATTGAGGAAACTTTAATAACAGTCGGAAAGTTAGAACCGAGGTATTTCTGTGTCGACAAGATACACGCTACAGGTATAATGTATGCAGTTTGCCGTCAAAAGTCACAACAAATTAAAGATATTCGTCTGATGAATCTGTCTGTGCTAAGTAGATCGGAACCAGCTTTCATAGCAGCTGACTGTCGTGGTGGTGAGGAAAGCATTTTAGAATGTAATTCACATTTGGTTCCTGTTTGCACTAGGAGTTTAGCTATTGTAAAATGCATGCATTAAAAGATATTCCATCTTACACCGAAACATCTTCTATATTGACAAAGTTCATATATAGCTTAACATTTAATATACTGTGATAAGTGCTATTCAATTAGTATCCCAGACAGGTTGCTCTGGGCACACAATTTCCCCTCTATGAAGAAATATGAAGAATAGAAACACTAACTGTTGTTTGAGTGTGATGCATAAATCTTTATTTGCTCAGCATAATGTCAACTTTATGATGTGTGAGCACCATGTTGAAAACTGAATAATGACACCATAGTATTCCATGGTCGATCATGATCGGCAACTCTGACCATGGTGGCAATGATAATGCCTCCTCAGTTTTGACCATGGTATACTATACCATGGTTGAATATATAAGCACAAGTGCCAAAGGGAAAGGACCAAAAGTTGTAATGGAACTTAGCAAGAAAAGGCAAACTCTAAGTGCATACCAGTCCAAGTTGACTATCAAAAACCATGGTATTTCATTGCCAAAATTATGACTGTCATTAATACAATGGTATACCATGGTATTTCATTGTTGTTGGCATTTCTTTTATTTCACTTGATCATCAAATAAAAATGTCATACATTGGTATTTCATTGCAAAAGACATGTCATTTACTATGGTATTTTATTGATGACAGCATTTCATGGTATTCCATGGTCAAACTTGACCATCAAATACCATGGTCATAAAATGGTATTTCATTGCAAAAACTATGCTGTCTTTACCATGGTATTTTATTGATGACAGCATTTCATGGTATTACAACAAATACCAAGGTCATACATTGGTATTTCATTGCAAAAAATCATGCTGTCATTTACCATGGTATTTTATTGATGACAGCATTTCATGGTATTCCATGGTCAAACTTGACCATCAAATACCATGGTCATAAAATGGTATTTCATTGCAAAAATTATGCTGTCTTTACCATGGTATTTGATTGATGACAGCATTTCATGGTATTCCATGGTCAAACTTGACCATCAAATACCATGGTCATAAAATGGTATTTCATTGCAAAAATTATGCTGTCTTTACCATGGTATTTTATTGATGACAGCATTTCATGGTATTCCATGGTCAAACTTGACTATCAAATACCATGGTCATAAAATGGTATTTCATTGCCAAAATCATGGCTATTATTAACGATGATAATGTCATTGAATTTCATGGTTGATGATATTTTGCAGTATTTCATAGTTAAAGCTGCTGTGACCATCAGCTACAATGGCTATTTCATTGCCAAAAGAACTCTATATGGGAGTATGGTGTAAAATTGGTCAGAGTTGATATCAATCATGAAATGCAGTGATATACCATGTTTGACCATGAAATGCACCATTGCACCAAAGGCACCATTGCATTTCATGGTCAAAATCACTTTTTTAAGATGGAATTTTCTATTGAAAAAAAACTGCTCTTTCAATCAGCAGTATTTCCTGTTCAAAAACTACCAAATGCAGTGATATCATTGTCAAAATTCTTGAAATATGCAGTATTTAATAGTCAAAACCATCAAATGTAGTGATATCATGGTCAAAATTCCTGAAATACTGTGAAACAGCGTTTTCTTACACTGGACAACTCCATGTTAAATTTAACTCCATGTTAAAAAGTGCTGTTGACCATGAAATGCAGTGGTACAAAATTCAATGATCAACCATGGTTTGACCATGGTATTTCAATGCATTAAAGGCCATAGACCTTGGCCCATTGAAACATAGTACAAAATAAAAAAACTTACCAGGTTTGGGCTAATGTCTGCCAATAGGGAGGGTTCGTTCTGTTCTAATGCATTAAGGCAGATTAGCATGGCACCTACGTGTTCAGGACTCCGGAGAAATGCACACTCTGAAAATACACAATTAAATACTCCTTTCATTGAAAACTCATGAATCAGATAAGCATGGCACCTACGTGTTCAGGACTCCAGAGAAATGCAGACTCTGAAAATACACAATTAAATACTCTTTTCATTGAAAACTCATGAATCAGATTAGCATGGCACCTACGTGTTCAGGACTCCGGAGAAACGCAGACTCTGAAAATACACAATTAAATACTCTTTTCATTGAAAACTCATGAATCAGATTAGCATGGCACCTACGTGTTCAAGACTCCGGAGAAATGCACACTCTGAAAATACACAATTAAATACTCTTTTCATTGAAAACTCATGAATCAGATTAGCATGGCACCTACGTGTTCAAGACTCCGGAGAAATGCACACTCTGAAAATACACAATTTTTTGTTGTTTATACCTGTGTTTATTCAAAGTATATAATAATTAAACACAAATTTATCTCAAATTGCCAACAGCATTGACAAGATAACACAAAAAAGCTTTGGTACATAATCTCAGCCTGAGAGGAGGCTAAAGCCCAGACTTTTAGCTGCTGTTTTTTCAATTAAACTAATTTCCTGTCAAAACCTGTACAACTGCTGGCAGACATAATGATGTAATGTTACATGACAGAATATTTAATTAACCAGCACTTTCTTATTCAATGAATACATTTCCGTGAATATCAATTAATCTGTTAAATCAATAAGACAACTAAATAAAAGAGTGTCTACTAAAGGTCTATAAAACATACAATAATTTCATCAGGACTTTTTAAGGGTCTTTAATCCTAATTTTACCTAATCTGAATATCAATAATTCCCTCTTTTGGTTACTCTGCGTGCAGAGTATAGTTAAACTACACTCTGCCTAGTAGAGACCATATTACAGTTTAGTAGCCCCGCCTCCAAGATGGGTACAGTGACAGTTTGGGTAATAAATCACTTCTGACCTTCCTTCCACCATTCAGCGAGCTTGAAGAAACATACGCCAAATGCGTTCTAATTAAATATGCGCATGTCATTGGTCAATTCCGGGCTCAACGATAACATCAGAAGGAATGACCATATCTAGAACATCGGTCAAATTTGACCGACGAACACTGATTGGCGCGGTGAGTTCACAGGTTTATAGACAAAGCTCTCTTTTAAGAAGTGAAGTCAAACGAATGCAAAGGGTATCTTTTGGTATAGTAGTGCTAATTAAGTACTTCGCAGATGGCAGTGATGTGGTTAAAGAAAAGATCTAAAAAGACTACTTGACTGTACTGCCATCTTTTCAAGGTCAAAAACAAATATTTTTTCTGCATTGGTCAGTTCAAAATTTTAAGCTTCAGGTCTGAACATTTTCAAACAGCTCAATTGATTCCGTTTTCAGATTTTATAAAGGAGTGGTGTTTGAATTGTGTTTTACTTGAGTTATTGCCCAGACGGACGGACTGAGAAACATACGTACAAATGGACAGAGGCGTTCCCTTTATCCCTCCGAACTTCATTCGATGGGATAATAATTTTCAGATATTTTTAAAGGGTGAAGCAACCAGTTTCTAACCTAATGCTATGGGATCACTGAATCCATCAGGTAATCCAAACCAGTCTTTGTCTCATATTCTGTCAATTTCCGTGGTCCAAAATGTTGTCATCATATATATGTATAATATCCACTTTAAATATACATATGGCATGCATACATGAACAATGTATTTCACATCACTTATATTTAGAATATCTAAGCTTCTTTTCAGATGTTCTTCTATCCATTTAGTTGATGCAAAATGTTGTCATCAAATATATTATATCCACTTTAAATATACACATGACATGCATACATGAACAATGTATTTCACATCATTTATATTTAGAATATCTAAGCTTCTTTTCAGATGTTCTTTTATCCATTTAGTTGATCCAAAATGTTGTCATCATATATCATATATATATCATATCCACTCTAAATATACCACATGCAAGTATACACGAAACAATGTATTTCACATCACTTATATTTAGAATATCTTCTTTTCTTTTCACCAGTTCTTCTATCCATTTAGTTGATGCAAAATGTTGTCATATATTATATCCACTCAAAATATACCACATGCAAGTATACACGAAACAATGTGTTTCCAATGAGTTATCGTTATATCAACTTCTTTTCCGATGTTTTTTGCGTCATATTTATAAAAGTCATCATGCTCTATACTCGGATTCTTTTCCTTTCCTTTGAGTTTATGATAAATCAAGTAATCAATAGGACAACCTAGTTTCTTTGATTCAAATGCTATGGCCATGTGCACAGTACATTTATAAATAACTCAAATAAATCACGACTCATTTTATTTATAAATATCTTAAATGATAGGTTTTATATCTAGTTTACCCTTGGAATGACTATTTTTTGCATCAAACAAGGTCAAGTTCATAGGCATCTACATTTCAGCTGTCATGTTGTTTCATAAAAAAGACAAAAAAAATCCAATTTAATATCTTCAGTTAAATACCTTTTGACTGGTCTCCCCATTAATTTTTTATATATTTTATACATTTAAAGCAATTTTTCATTGGCACATATTTGCACTGTCTACCTAGTAATTTAACAAACTTTTGCACTTAAACTTATAACATCTGCTTGGATTATATAAAACAGCATATGTACTAGACATTAGCAGTGAAACCTCTATAGTAAACATCTCTCTCTCATCAAAACCTGCTCCTAGTCAGGCCCGTAGCCAGGATTTACAAAGGGGGGTTCAGTTTTGAAACATTTCCAGGAGGGGTTCACATTTGACAATTTTGGCCCAAATATGGCTAAAATCACTTTAGAAGTGCTCAAAATGGTGAAAACTGCTTGAGTTTGAAAGAATCACCCTGCACACCCCCCCCCCCATCCTGGCTACGGGCCTGCTACCATGTTTAAACGTAAACCATGATACCATGGTATACCATGGTTTACCATGGTCTATCATGATCGGCAATGAAATTACCATCAACTCTGACCATGGTGGCAATGATGTTTTTTTGGTCAATTTTTGACCATGGTATACCATGGTATATCATGTTATACCATGTTTCATGGTATTTCATGTCCAAAGTTTGCCATCAAATACCATGGTATTTCATTGCCATGTTCCTGACCATCATTTACCATGGTATTACCATGGTATATCATGGTTGATTGCATTTCATGGCATTTCATTGTAAGATGTGACAATCAAATACCATGGTATTTCAATGCCATGTTCCTGACCATAATTTACTATGGTATATCATGGTTGATGGTATTTCATTGCCATGTTCCTGACCATCATTTACCATGGTATTACCATTGTATATCATGGTTGATGGTATTTCATTGTACAATTTGACAATCAAATGTCATGTTCATACCATGATATTTTATTGTTATGTACCTGACCATCATTTACCATGGTATTACCATTGTATATCATGGTTGATGACATTTCATGGCATTTCATTGTACCGTGTGACAATCAATTACCATGGTCATACCATGTCATTTCATTGCCAAAATCATAACTCTCATTTATCATGGTTTTATCATTGCATTTCATGGTTGGTGGTATTTCATGGCATTTTATTGTCAAACCTGACCATCAAATACTATGGTCATACCATGGTATTTCATTGC